TTACAAAACGTTTCAAAGAGCACAAAAAGGTCGATCCTTAATTTAATATCTTATCAATATCTAACAACAAACAGTTCACTATTACTTAACTATTAGGCAAAAACGGACTAACAAATTTTTAAAAATCAAAACATCCATTAAAAATATGTTAACAAAGTCATTACATATTCCTCAATAATTCTCCTAATAATAGCGCCAAATATTTTCGTTTTGCCATTGAAAAATATCATTGAACTGAGCTTGTTTTTATTCGATATTTCTTGCGATTCACAATCGATTGAAAATTTTCACCGCACTAGATTCTCATCAACAATAAACGAAAATTATGTATTTACAACTAACGGCACTTCCATCGGTTGATTAGAACCCGCGTTTTCGTTATCGAAATTCAAGAGTTGCTTCTTAAGCAACGCGGGATCCAGAGGTACAGGCGGAGTACTCTCCGGCTGTTTCACAGGGAGATTTGTCAACTCAAACTTATCGTCGATTTTTAACATAACATTCGCGTGCTTCTGATTCGTCTTGTAGAACCCAGTTTTATTCGAATGCGGAAGCGCGTACTTGAGCTTGTTCCAGAACCAAGGCTGTCCCCATTCGATGTAAGTATTAGTTTTCAAGTAGGCCTTTAAGTCCGGATCCATTCGCTTCTCGTCCAATTCCCCGTACTTCACCACGATCAGTCTCAGTCTGCCTTCCTCCAGCGCCTTCAAGTGCGCCGCCTTGAACTCCATTATACCCCAGACGCTGTCCAGGAAGTTGTTGGACAACACCACCAGCGTCCTGCGGGAGTTCTGTATCGAATCGTTGACGTTCGTCAGGATCATCTTGCCGGGTTCCCAGTCCCTGACGTGTATGCAGATCTTGTACGGATGCGGCCCGGACTCGAGCACCGGCAAGAGGTTGTGAAAGACGAAGTCCTCGTCCTTGTGCGAGTAGCTGAGGAAGATGTCGTAGGATTTGTCCTCGTCGAGCTCCTCCTCGCTGACGAACCACATGCAGAGATTCTTGGAGAACAGCCAGATCTTCACCTCTTGCCTGTAGTAGATGTAAAATATCAGGCTGCCTACTGTGAGCACGAGGAATGTAAACACTGGCAACACTGTGACTAGAATGATTGATTTGCACAGCTCGTGTTTTTCCACCAGCGGTTTGTTGTCGTCTCTGCAGATTACATCCGTAGATTTCATTTGTAACTGAAAATTAACGGACGAGTCTAGTTTATTCTTGCTTGACTAACAGATTTTTATTTGAAATATTTTTATAGATACGTATAAGGTATTAGAGTAAAGTTAATTACCTTTTTGTAATTATCCTGGATAAATATTTGGAAATTGAGAGCAGAACAACCGCATGACCAAGGATTATGCGACAATTTCAATGTAGTCAGTGAGGTTTTATCCATTATTTGCAGAAGCTCCGGATCCAGATGAGTCAATTCATTTCTATCCAATGTTAATCGCTGAAATAACAAAATACTTGTAAAAACAATGCTAACTTTCTCACTAGTTTATGATAACCCTTACCTCAATACCGAGAGGTATCCATTTCAACTCCCTTAACTTGTTATTCGACAGATACAAGTTCTTAACGTTCCGGTACCCGAAGCTCGAATTCAATCCCCCGTGGATGACGTTCCCGCTCAAATTCAACTCGATAGTCTGGTTGTCGAGCTCCGGCAAGCGCGGAAAACTCGTCAGGTTCCTGTTCGAGCAATCGAATACCGAAAAGTTCCGGAACGGCCGCCAATACGACTTGCACTGCTTCGGGCATGCCTTGTTTTTCATTTCGCAGAACACGTGCTCAGACTTCAACGCCGATATGTCGACGTGCCGGAAGACGTCCGGCTTTGTGCATTTGATGCCATCCACCCGAAGGGCCAGCCGATCTCTCACCTTGGGGTTCATGGTTTTCTGGCAGTAGCGCACCAGGTCGTAGTTGAGGCAATCGCACACCAGCGGGTTGTTCTTCAGATTTACTTGAATTTGCTTCGGTACCACTTGGTCCTTGTTATCGTTATTGCGCGTGTCTTCGGATATCAACCATTCCTCTACCATCGTAAAGTCCACGAAAGTTATCAAGTTGTCGCTCAAATTGAAGTCCGACAAGTGTATGGATGGTATCGAACTCATCTGGAGAACCTGCGATAACAATAACCTTAGTAAACTATAATAACAAGCTTCGTAAAAGTTAATCAAATACGTAAAAGTTCTAATGTTAGTACCAATAATTTGTTTATGAATGAATTTAAAAGGATTTTCATCCAATAAAAAACTATCTAAACACTTACAGGTAGCACCGTAATTTTATTGTAGCTGAAATCCACGGTTTCCAATTTGAGCAGCGTGTTGAAATCGGGAACATGATCGATCAGATTGTGGCTCAGATTCATCCTAACCAAGTCTGTGCAGCCGCTGAGCGGGTTCTCTTCGATCATGTCGTTCATCGGGTACTGGTTGAAGGACAGATCGATTTCCGTCAGGCTCGTCAGGCTGCCGAAGCTGTTGACTTCGATCGAGGCGATTCGGTTTTCGTTGATCAACAGTCGCTTCAGCCGGTCCGTTCGCCTGAAGAGGTCATTGGTGATTGCGGTCAGGTGGTTATAGCTCAGGATGAGCTCTTCGAGAGACGTTAGGCTGTAGAATATATCGTCGGGAAGGACGGTAAGTTGGTTTAAGCTCAAGTCTAATAGCTTTAGGTCATTCAATCCGTCGAATAGGCTTTCGGGTAAGGTTTTCAGTGAGTTTATTGACAGTATGATGGTAGATATTTTGGTGGAATTCTTGAATATATTCCCCGGGAGTGTTTTCAAATCGCATTCCTGCAATGTCACGATACGCAAGTAGGGTTTGTTCGCGTAAATATAATCGGGCAGCTTTAAACCGCGATTAGACTCATGCATGAATATATCCCCAGGCACGCGGATTAGATGGTTAGAATCCAAACTGATTAACTCCAGATTCTTCAGATCAGCAAAACTATTCTCTTCAATGTCTGTTATGCGGTTACTATTCAACTTTAGGGAAATCAGATTTTTCAAGCCCGCGAACGCGCCGTTTCTGACGCGACCGATCTTGTTTCCCCACAGGTGTAACCGTTGAAGATTGGTCAGGTTTTCGAAAACACCTACGGGCACCTCGGTGATGCCCAAGTCGACCAAATACAGCAGTTCTAAAGACTCGGGAAACTTCATAGTGCTGATGATTTCGTGGTGGTAGCTGGACAATTGGAACGTAGTCAAATTAGTTAAATGCTCCAAGACGTCGTCGTCGATCTTGCAGTAGATTTTATTTATCAACAGCATCTTCATGGACGACATTCCCACGAACATTTCCTTTGACATGCTTTGTTTCGCCGACGACTCGGGCACGGTAACGTCGTTCAACAGGAATGCCAAAGGGTTGTGTACTTCTAATTTGTCCAGGATCGAGCGGAAATTGCCGTCAGGCAGCGGGCAAAAGCGGTACCTGAAAAAGATGTTGTCGCCGCCCTTGTAGACGGGCAGAAGGGCCGTGTCGAACCTGTCTATGTCGTCGCAATCGATGTACACGGTTTTATTTGGTTCCGAGTGTATGAGGATTTTCTTGTTTACGGGCGGGCATTGGAATTCGTATTCTGTGCCGTTGAATAAGCATAGGCAGTGGTCGGATTGAGTGCTGCAGCCCGTGGACTCTGTGGAGAGCGCCTGCAAAGCGACTAGCCCCGTTAAGAGGAAGAGAATGGGAACGTCCATATTTTTATCTGCAACAAAACGATCGGTTCAGTGATAGGCGACGAAAATTTCATTTGCGGTTGTGGATAAATTTTAGGAATGTCGGTGATTCAATTCGGAATTTAATTACATATCTAATTAATCTCCTAAATCAACAATTTAGTTTACTCTCCTAATGATATAAGACATGTGGAAGTTACTTCTACTGTACCTATACTGTGCCTATACCGAGCGGCCAAAATCGAGCGCTGCATTCATCCGCCAATTCATCGCGCCGATGCCGCGCCTCTCCTCAGTTCGACTAATTCTCTCTTTCTACTGATTGTAGCGTTCAAACTTGTACGCTCGGTATATAGGTAGTTTGTTTTCGATTCCAAACAAACACTAACCTGGAATTTTTGTAAATGGCAGTATCAGTTCCATTTATAAATTCATACGACAATTCGTAGCCAGGATAATTATTATTATCCTATAGTACAATTATTGTACTCAATAAAAAGTAACATTTGTAAAAATGTTACTATGATTGTACGAAAAAATAATGTCGAAATGGGTTTTTTTGAAATATCTTATTTTCAATGTCAAAATTATAGCATTTCTTAATTTAGTTTTCAAAAATAGAAATAATAAAACGAATAATAAAGAAAAAATCATTAATAAACAATAATGTGTACTATAACGATACCAGTAAAAATTAAGTAACAAGCAATACAATAGAAAATAATAATCATCATACCTTCAACATACTTACAATTTCACTTCAATACTAAATTTGAAATTATAATCATTCGAGTTAGTTGAAACAAATTTTAAACGAAACCGTCTTGCCTGATCAAACTTACTTTTCGAAATGAATTGAAGTAATCTTCTCTGAACTCTGAACCTACTCCAATGAACCTCCAACCTCCCTTATCAACCAAACGAAATATCAATAAGATTCTCTTAAAAATATTTTGACTGATTTTGACAGTTGTACCACTTCCGCTTTTACCGGAGTTGGTATCAATTTTGTTATTTCAAATGAAACACACTGTATATTGATGTATTTTTGAAAACTACGTAAAATGCATACTTTTTTTGCATAATTTTTAATTATTTTTTTTATTAACTATTCTATGGTGATTGTTATTTTATTGTTAAAAAAGTAAATGACAAAATTTTATTTTGTAGCAGTTTTTTATTTGAAATTGATTGGTACTATTAAGGACCTAGGATGGAAAGGATTTCAGTTCAATTAAATATGAATACTCGCATTTTCAAAAAATTCAAAATACTGGTTAATGAAAAATATCAAATTGCACATTTTATTGATCAATAAAGTGTATGAAAATTACGCTTACAATTAGTATTGTATAAACATTATATAAAAAATTCGTATATATAACTAGTCAATTTATAAACTAAATAAGCCTATGAAATGTTTAAAATCAAAAATATTCAAAAAAAAAACAAAAAGAAAAATTATCAATGAATTAACATTAAAAATTAAAATTTTTGTAAAAAATATAACCGTTTAAGTGTAAACAATATCACAATTCATGACACTTATAAATATACTTATTACAATATTTAATTACAATTTGTACATATTTAGGACAGACCTTTTCAAGAACCTTGTTTAATCAGTTCAATCTTACTTTTTAAAGACTATATTTAGAGAGATTAAGTAATTTACAAAACGTTTCAAAGAGCACAAAAAGGCCGATCCTTAATTTAATATCTTATCAATATCTAACAACAAACAGTTCACTATTACCTAACTATTAGGTAAAAACGGACTAACAAATTTTTAATTTCAAAACATCCATTAAAAATATGTTAACAAAGTCATTACATATTCCTCAATAATTCTCCTAATAATAACGCCAAATATTTTCGTTTCGCCATTGAAAAATATCATTGAACAGAGCTTGTTTTTATTCGATATTTCTTGCGATTCACAATCGATTAAAAATTTTCACCGCACTAGATTCTCATCAACAATAAACGAAAATTATGTATTTACAACTAACGGCACTTCCATCGGTTGATTAGAACCCGCGTTTTCGTTATCGAAATTCAAGAGTTGCTTCTTAAGCAACGCGGGATCCAGAGGTACAGGCGGAGTACTCTCCGGCTGTTTCACAGGGAGATTTGTCAACTCAAACTTATCGTCGATTTTTAACATAACATTCGCGTGCTTCTGATTCGTCTTGTAGAACCCAGTTTTATTCGAATGCGGAAGCGCGTACTTGAGCTTGTTCCAGAACCAAGGCTGTCCCCATTCGATGTAAGTATTAGTTTTCAAGTAGGCCTTTAAGTCCGGATCCATTCGCTTCTCGTCCAATTCCCCGTACTTCACCACGATCAGTCTCAGTCTGCCCTCCTCCAGAGCCTTCAAGTGCGCCGCCTTGAACTCCATTATACCCCAGACGCTGTCCAGGAAGTTGTTGGACAACACCACCAGCGTCCTGCGGGAGTTCTGTATCGAATCGTTGACGTTCGTCAGGATCATCTTGCCGGGCTCCCAATCCCTGACGTGTATGCAGATCTTGTACGGATGCGGCCCGGACTCGAGCACCGGCAGGAGGTTGTGAACGACGAAGTCCTCGTCCTTGTGCGAGTAGCTGAGGAAGATGTCGTAGGATTTGTCCTCGTCGAGCTCCTCCTCGCTGACGAACCACATGCAGAGATTTTTGGAGAACAGCCAGATCTTCACCTCTTGCCTGTAGTAGATGTAAAAGATCAGGCTGCCTACTGTGAGCACGAGGAATGTAAACACTGGCAACACTGTGACTAGGATGATTGATTTGCACAGCTCGTGTTTTTCCACCAGCGGTTTGTTGTCGTCTCTGCAGATTACGTCCGTAGAGTTGATTTGTAACTGGAAATTAATGGACGAGTCTAGTTTATTCTTGCTTCACTAACCGATTTTTTTTGAAATATTTTAATAGATACTTATAAGGTATTAGAGTATTAGAGTAATTACCTTTTTGTAATTATCCTGGATAAATATTTGGAAATTGAGAGCAGAACAACCGCATGACCAAGGATTATGCGACAATTTCAATGTAGTCAGTGAGGTTTTATCCATTATTTCCAGAAGCTCAGGATCCAGATGAGTCAATTCGTTTCTATCCAATGTTAATCGCTGAAATAACAAAATACTTGTAAAAACAATGCTAACTTTCTCACTATAGTCTATGATAACCCTTACCTCAATACCGAGAGGTATCCATTTCAACTCCCTTAACTTGTTATTCGACAGATACAAATTCTTAACGTTCCGGTACCCGAAGCTCGAATCCAATCCTCCGTGAATGACGTTCCCGCTCAAATTCAACTCGATATTCTGGACGGCGATCTCCGGCAAACGCGGAAAACTCGTCAGGTTCCTGTTCGAGCAATCGAATACAGTAAAGTTCCGGAACGGCCGCCAATACGACTTGCACTGCTTCGGACATGCCTTGTTTTTCATTTCGCAGAACACGTGCTCAGACTTCAACGCCGATATGTCGACGTGCCGGAAGACGTCCGGCTTTGTGCATTTGATGCCTTCCACCCGAAGGGCCACCCGATCTCTCACCTTTGGGTACATGGTTCTCTGGCAGTAGCGCGTCAGGTTGTAGTTGAGGCAATCGCACGTCAGCGGGTTGTTCTTCAGATTTACTTGAATTTGCTTCGGTACCACTTGGTCCTTGTTATCGTTATTGCGCGTGTCTTCGGATATCAACCATTCCTCTACCATCGTAAAGTCCACGAAAGTTATCAAGTTGTCGCTCAAATTGAAGTCCGACAAGTGTATGGACGGTATCGAACTCATCTGGAGAACCTGCGATAACAATAACCTTAGTAAACTATAATAACAAGCTTCGTAAAAGTTAATCAAATACATAAAAGTTCTAATGTTAGTATAAATAATTTGTTTATGAATGAATTTAAAAGGATTTTCATCCAATAAAAAACTATCTAAACACTTACAGGTAGCACCCTAATTTTATTGTAGCTGAAATCCACGGTTTCCAAATTGAGCAGCGTGTTGAAATCGGGAACATGATCGATCAGATTGTGGCTCAGATTCATCCTAACCAAGTCTGTGCAGCCGCTTAGCGGGTTCTCTTCGATCATGTCGTTCATCGGGTACTGGTTGAAGGACAGATCGATTTCCGTCAGGCTCGTCAGGCTGCCGAAGCTGTTGACTTCGATCGAGGCGATTCGGTTTTTGTTGATCAACAGTCGCTTCAGCCGGTCCGTTCGTCTGAAGAGATCGTTGGTGATTGCAGTCAGGTGGTTATAGCTCAGGATGAGCTCTTCGAGAGACGTTAGGCTGTAGAATATATCGTCGGGAAGGGCGGTGAGTTGGTTCAAGCTCAAGTCTAATTGCTTTAGGTCACTCAAACCGTCGAATAGGCTTTCGGGTAAGGTTTTCAGTGAGTTCACTGACAGTATGATGGTAGATATTTTGGTGGAATTCTTGAATATATTCCCCGGGAGGGTTTTCAAATCGCATTTCTTCAATTTCACGTAACGCAAGTAGGGTTTGTTCGCGTAAATGTAATCGGGCAACGTTAAACCGCGATTCTCCTCCATACGGATCGATTCCAAACGCTCGTTATGCTTGAATACGCCCGCAGGCACGCGGATTAGTTTGTTCAACCTAAGACTGATAAACTTTAGGTTCACCAGATCAGCAAAACTATTCTCTTCAATGTCTGTTATGCTGTTCACGCTCAACTCCAGGGAAATCAGATTTTTCAAGCCAGCGAACGCGCCGTTTCTGACGCGACCGATCTTGTTCCCCCACAGGTGTAACCGTTGAAGATTGGTCAGGTTTTCGAACACGCCTATGGGCACCTCGGTGATGCCGCTGCTGGTTAAATACAGCACTTCCAAAGACTCGGGGAACTTCATAGTGCTGATGATTTCGTGGTGGTAGCTGGACAATTCGAACGTAGTCAAATTAGTTAAATGCTCCAGGACGTCGTCGTCGATCTTGCAGTCGATATTTGCCATCGACAGATACCGCAAGGACGGCATGTCCTCGAACACTTCCTTTGACATGCTGCGTTTCGCCGACGACTCGGGCACAGTAACGTCGTCCAGCTGGAATTCTAAGGGGTTGTGCACGTCTAATTTATCCAGGATCGAGCGGAAATTGCCGTCGGGCAGCGGGCAAAAGCGGTACCTGAAAAAGATGTTGTCGCCGCCCTTGTAGACGGGCAGGAGGGCCGTGTCGAACCTGTCTACGTCGTCGCAATCGATGTTCAGGGTTTTATTTGGTTCCGAGTGTATGAGGATTTTCTTGTTTACGGGCGGGCATTGGAACTCGTATTCTGTGCCGGTAAATAAGCATAGGCAGTGGTCGGATTGAGTGCTGCAGCCCGTGGACTCTGCGGAGAGCGCCTGCAAAGCGACTAGCCCCGTTAAGAGGAAGAGAATGGGAACGTCCATATTTTTATCTGCAACAAAACGATCGGTTCAGTGATAGGCGACGAAAATTTCATTTGCGGTTGTGGATAAATTTTAGGAATGTCGGTGATTCAATTCGGAATTTAATTACATCTCGTAATTAAGTTTAGTCTACTCTCCTAATCAGATAAGACATGTAGAAGTTACTTGGAGGAGGAATTGTATCATTACAAAAAATTAAATCTAATAAACTGTGATCGTTGGACCATATACCTCGTAGATATGCAAGTTTTAAGCATGAAATCATTTGCGAAAAATAAAATGTTAAAAATAAATGTCGGACTTTCCATTAATAAATGTAATCGGTTCGTTTACTATCATTTTCGTACCGCTGTTGAAAAATACGATTCAAATTATAAATAACTTTTTGATAAAAAAACGCTGTGCATTATTAATTGTGGGTATAATTGTAATAAAATGAAAAAAAGTTAGTCGTTGAATAAATTATTGCACTGTAGAGTCTGATTTTTATTCCTGATTTATTTTATTGGTTATATCCAATAAAACTATAAATCAAATTGTTCTATCTATCACGAATTGTACAGGCCTCACCAAATAAACACCTAAATATTATTCCTTCCCATAGTTAGCACCAAACTTTTTAATTACGTATTAATCCGATTATTAATCCAATGGCTGAACTCTTTTTATTAATTTGGAATTCTAAGCTGAATTATTGCCATGACATATACCATATACTTTGATATTTTTACAACAAATTTTTCCTTATCATAAAAATTTATTCACGCAATTTTCAAAACTTAGGCAGGTATGTAAACAATTATTACAGTTATTGCTATTTTTAATAATTTCAATTTCGCTAACCTTGTATCGGAGGAACCTTGAAAACGGATTGGTTTGTTATAAAACGAATATAATGCACCTACATATAGGTAGTTTGTTTTCAAGTCCAAACAAACACTAACCTAGGTGCAATTTTTGTAAATGGCAATATGAGTTCCATTTATAAATTCATACAATTCGTAGCCAGGATAATTGTACTCAAACAGCAATATTTCAAATGCAAAGGCGATAAATTAGTTCTTAGAAACGAACTAACGAACCAATTTCCACTTTTAGAATAACTGGCAAATCGAATAATTAATTTGTTATTTATTAGACTGTTTTAATTAATGAAAACAAGCGATTTAATTGATGCGAAAAACATTGGGTTTTTAATCAAATTATTTGTAAAAATGTTACTATAATTGTACAAAAAAATAATGTCGAAATGGGTTTTTTGGAATATCTTATTTTCAATGTCAAAATTATAGCATTTCTTACTTTAGTTTTCAAAAATACAGATAATAAAACGAAACAAAGAAAAAAATCATTAATAAACAATAATGTGTACTATAAAGTAGATACCAGTAAAAATTATGTAACAATCAATACAATAGAAAATAGTCGTCATACCTTCAGCATACACTTTCACTTCAACACAAAATTTGAAATAATAAGCATTCGAGTTAGTTGAAACAAATTTTAAACGAAACAGTCCTGCCTGATCAAACTTACTTTTCGAAATGAATTGAAGAAATCTCTGAACTGAACCTACTCCGATCAACCTCCAACCTCCCTTATCAGCCAAACGAAATATTAAGCCCTGTCTACACTATTCAAAAATTTCCCCGAGATTCCGCAATTTTACAAAAATTGGAATCTAGTAGGCTGTTGGAATCGTTTCAATTTGAAAAAAAAAATACAATTACTTTTTTATCCTTATTCCTCTTACGCATTAATTAATGTTCCATCTTTGTTATTACATTTTTTTATTAGTAGCTCGTGGTTTTACTTAACAGTCGACAATGTCATATTCAATAACTCGAACGAAAACGTCAAAATGACATTAAAGAAAAACAAAATGGTATTACAATATGGTAATTTACAAGAAACTATGAGGAATCGGGTTTAATTGCACAAATAGACGTCAAATAAGGGAAAATTCAAATACATATCTGTAAATATTTTATTCAATTGTCAACGATGACATTTGACATAATTATGTAAAATTGACGAAGCACAAACTTCACGTTAGTGAACTATTATTATTTAGTGGATGAAGGCCTTTAGGAAACATCTTTCCGCAATAAGTTTGGTATTAAAGCATCTGCGCTGGCAATAATAACGTAATTTCCAAAACTACGAAATTACTACGAAGGGCTAATCCATTGCCCACAAAACCCTATTAAGTATAATAATCGTTACATGAAATTCACAAACAGGAAGCACAACGGGACGTCGCTAAGCACAGCAGATTAATAGGCATATGCAGCCGATACGTAAGATTCCTTGGGGAAAAAGAAAATTTTTATTTAGATACTTCATTGCTTCAAATTTAAAAAATACGGTTATTTTTTTCAGCATTACAGGGTGTTTCATAAGGAATGTTGAATATTTTATTCATAAGTTCCGTACCTCCAAATATTCATATTTTACTAAATATACAGGGTGTTGAAATTAAATTTTATTTTTCGTTTTTTTTTAATAATGTGTGCATAATATATCTACTTAAATGAAATTTGGCAAATAAAATCAACACTGCAGTCACTAATTAAATCTAACATTAATTATTTGACAACTAGATATCATTTTTGACTTTAGTTTTCAAGCCTATGTTGAAATATGGTAAGGTAAATTAAATAGATACTATTAGTTACTGGTGGGTAGAATATTTTAAATGGAAATATCTCGATATGAGCTGAATTTATGTTAAGTATACCTTTTTAGTAACACAGTTATTTAGTAAAATATGAATATTTGGAGATCCTGAACCTGTGATTAAAATATTGACCATTCCTTATGAAACATCCTGTAAAATTAATGAATAAAATTTCCGAGGAAAAGAAATTAAAAAAACGTATAATTGTATTGGTATTTCCTAATAATTAGCCATAAAATCTACTTGTGCTCGGATCATAAAATGTGTAATAAAGTAATTATTTTTTATAGATATGCATAAAATAAAGTAAATATGCTTAAATAAAATAATATACTTTTTTCTATTTAGAAACATCCCATTAAAATGACAATATTGCCCTATCAATATTTACAACCAACATCCCGTTTTCTTCACACATTTCCCAAAAAATTTTTAAAATTCCCCAATGCACGTCGAAAGTGCTAATTTAAATTCCAATAACACCGTGAGGACACACCTAAAATAAACCAACTATTGATTCTACTTGCATAATTTTGGGCTCAGGTTATGGGTATTTCGAGTTTCGAGTTCACCGGTTTCCTACTGCTTGTTAATTGATAGAAAATACTGAAAACAAAACCAGTTCCCAGCGCCGCTGGCGTTGTTTGCGTATGTTATGGCGAAAACGATTCCATATCAGAATTTATTGTCCGAAACCGGTTGATTAAAGACAGAAACAAACTTTGTTGCAGAATCAACGAAACTTTGGAAATCCCGCGGACATTCGCATACAGCAATAGCCATTTCATCAGCGCTTGTTTATTATAATTTAGATTAAAGAGAAGATTTTTTTGACAGTTTATTGCGACATACTAATGGAAAATTAACAGTGATTTTTTATTTGTATTTAATTGTAAGTTGTGGCACGCTAATGAATGCAAAAGAAACCACTAACTGTATAAAATATACTACACTAGGTGTGTCCACAAAGTATATTCCGTTTGATATTTGAAGAAAATCGGACACAGTTACAGAAAAAATAATTATTGCGCAATAATATACGATTCTTCAGCTGCATTTCTACATATGTCTCGAATTTATCCGGGCATTTTTCCGAGCGTGGCACAAGATTTTGTATGCCATCCTCGTAGAAAGTTGCCGTCTGTGTTTACAAATAGAATTTATCCGCGGTTCTCAACTATCGTTCTGTTGAAGTGAATATTAAGGAAAACCATTAGCTTACAATTCACGATCTTTCTATGGAATTTCCACAAATATCTCGATCACTATAGTTTATTAAATTGTTACTGAAAAGTGCATTTCCAAAACTTCTGCGGCCAAAACACAGGCGACATCCTTCCATGAGGCGTGTATAGAAAAACTTATGTCACTTTCGGGAAAATGCAGAATCTGGAAGCATGTGCAATAAATATTTTTTTTCTATATTTATACAGATTTTTTTAAATTACCAAACGGAACTAACTTTGTTGATACGCCTAGTATGTCCTCCGTTTAAATATCACATAATTTTATACTAATGTAGGGTGTTTCAATAAGACCGCAAGATTTGAATTGCCCGTCATGTTTGACAGTCATAATGACACGTGATTGTAACATGACAGATCGAAAGTTGACAGTTGGGAGTTAGTAAATATGGATCATTGAATCTGGATATGGAACATAATCGCGTCTTAATTGTTAAACATTACTCCCGGTCAGGTCATTTCCCGGTTTGGTGACCAGAATTGGCCGCCACGTTTTTGTGATTTAACACCTTTGGACTTCTGGCTGTGGGGTAACTTGTAGTCACAGGTTTATGCCAACATGCCAGCGACCACCGAAGCGTTGAAAGCCGAAATTAGACGCTCTATCAATAAAATACTGCCACATGTATACAATAATGCTATTGAAAATTTTATCAAAAGAGTACGCTTGTGCCAGCAAAGCCGTAGGGCCATTTACAAGATATTTTGTTTCATATATAATTCCTAAATGTACACATGATAAATTAATAAATATTTCCATATTTTGCTACAGATAACATTGTTTTATTGAACCTTAGAATCTTGCGCTCTTATTGAAACACCCTTTAGTACTAAAATTAGATTACTTCGTAGTAGTAAACATATTTTCAATATTTAAAATAATAACTACAGGGTGTGGCATGCAAAAACGAGTAAATTCGACATTAAAAGGCTACATTGTAAAAAAAATTATCAATTATGCATAATTAACGAACCAACATTTGCTGATTAAGAAATAAGTGGAATTAGTTCATTTATCCGTACAAGTGATAGCAACGTCCCGTTTTCGGATTTGCGTGTTCTTTCAATATAAATTAGCAATAAATGTTATCTAATTAAAAACAGAATTATCAACAAAAAAACGTGAGAAACAGGGAAACATGAACGAAAATCATGTAATAATTTTGATGAAAGCAATCGAAATAATTCCAATTGGACGATATTTCACAGTCAGCAATTTTTCATTGATTATTATCAAAATTATTGAACAAATTTACCCTAATTTGTAAAAAAAATGTAAATTAAACAGAAAAACTTGCCATTTCTTTACCTAACTCAGACAAGGATAATTTCATTTTATACATAATTTTTTCGCAAGTTTCCAATTCTCAATTTGCAAAATTTTCGAAATTCATGATTCTCTTTTAGGTTTTAAGTTTTGACTACCATTGAGACACAAACTACAACAAACTAATAAGTCCTCATAAAATGTGTTGACAATAAATATTTTAAAACTGAATAACAAACGCTTATTTTTAATTAAAGAAGCTACTTAAAGACCTTATTATCAAGAATTATAATAAAAATCATTAAAATTAAAATACTGTTTTATGGCATGATCACAGAAAATATAATACTTAAAGAATTATTGAATCTATACAGGGTGTGTCTAAATAATATCGAAAAAAATTAAGGGGTTATTCGGTGGTGAACATTAACCCCGGGTATTTCGGTGATGGGTAGTTGGTATATTTTCATCACAGAATCACCCCTGGAATTTTTTCGGTGTTATTTAGATGCACCCTGTATAATTATTACCAGTAGATACATCCAAGCTTGTGAAAAATGCTAATGTTACAGGGTTATCCAGAACATTATCAGTATTAAATTAATGTCTGTTAAATTAGTATTTTTTGCATTCAACTGGAATTTGCTCAACCTAAATATTTCTATCTATACACATAAGTGCAAAATTTTTTGCAATATTGCAACCAATTCTATGAGTTATGAATAGAACAAAAAAAGATTATTATAATAACAGTGGTTGGAGTGAGAAAATTACAATCCCACAGTATCACTCTTTCTTTTTCCTTTATATGAGACTAATGGAAGTTGTCTTTGTTGCACCTATATATCATATTATGTACAAATTTGCACACATATTGTGTACAAATACATCAGTACCTGCTTATCAGTTATGTTACAATACATTTCCTCTAAAACATCCCATCAAAACCTTGATTTAATCTTGAAATAACATTATCAATCATCCTACGAGTAAATAAAAATAACTAGTATCGAAAAAGATATATTTATTATTGAATATATTGTTTTAGTATTTTCATTTTTGATTCATATGATACATTTTGCAATAAACTGAATCAGGCCGACATTAATTTGTTAAGGACTCCAAACTGTAGATTATTCAGCCACATTTTATATTCAAACGAAAGGATTACGAAAACTTTCGAGCGAGACTCAAAAGAGAAAAATTGAACAAGAACTTACTTAGCATGTAAAAAACAATTTACAAAAATAGTGGAGTCACTTTGTGTAAATTACACATCATTGAGAACATATAAAAATTACATTAGAGAATAGAGCACCAACAAAAACACCTACTTGTGTTGAAATAATTATTAAGAAATGTCTTGGCAATTTTTACTTTTAATCAATCACGTTTTAATGTGTTTCTAGCAATAACGTGATTTTTTTCATCTCCGTGCAGATTAGATGAGGCATTTTTGCAATAAAATGTTGTATAAATAAACAAGATTATAAGTTTTCCGATTTTGATACGATTTATTAACAAGTGCTTTTGAAAATGATTACACTCACCTGGAGATCTTTGTGTGAGCTGTGATTTAACGAACGTAACTGGCCAATTAATTTCTTGGAAATAAACAATCCGACGTATCGTCCATATTGTTAATAGATAACACCGAATTCTTGGAAATCGCTATCTAGATTTCATTAATTTACTATACGTCACGCAATGGAACGTTGAAAAATGCTGTATTTTACGTTTAGGAGTCCTCAGTTCTTAAATTAATTATTCAATAATCACATTTTCGAGAGTTACTTTGTGAACTAAGAAACTACACAAACAATCCAAACATTCAAACTACATACTCCCACTGAACGACGTGACGTGATTACTTATTTGACTTTTCATTAATCGCACTCGCACTCGCTGAATCGTATTCAATTTTTTTGAACTGAACTACTCCTACAGTGTTGCCAGATCGGCAATTTACGTTTCTTGTTTGAGTAACGATTTCTTATTTTATATTTGTTTTACTTAATTTGTACTAATTTATTTTTATATTTCAATAATAAATTGATTAATTTCGCGTTTAGATAATAAATTAAACTAATTTGATGAGAAAAACATCGCCAAATGTTATACAAAATCAATGTTACTAAATTAATCTTGAACTTTATCAACACCTGGCAACGCAGATTTTAATCAACAAGTGCCTTACGCGACGTTGCCAGTTGTTGAATTATAGTAAGACTCTGGGGCACAAAAATAATTAGTTTAAAATTATTAAAACTTTATATTTAAAATAAATACAGTCAAAACCGAATAAAATCGAAAAAAATATACAATTAAAATTTTCCCAAGCAACTAGTATCCTGTAGAATTTCGGAAATTAATTGTTTGTCTTTCAAAACGTTCGTAACTTCCTCTTCGTCCCACAAAAGGCTAACTTTGTTCAATCTAGGCTCCTTTTTGTTCGTAATGCTCAATATTCCTCGAGTTTCGATGAGAGAACACAAGCCCACGAACTCCGCCTGATCAACCGAACCGATTTTCCTTTTACCACAAACCCTCTTGTACACATCGTGGAGTTTCCCAATTGTTATGTCCTTATTCTTCAGCTTCTTCAGCATCAAAAGCAGCGAGCAAATTATAATTTTTTGCTGCAGAGGAATCGAATCGTCGACGTTGCCGTTAAGGTTCTGGGAAGTTCCGTACACGTTGTTTAAAACCGTTAAAACCTGCTTTAAATCGACGCTGTTGGTTTCTTCGTTGATTAATTCGCTCGCTAAATTCTCCATGGATTTCAGAGCCCCGTCCTTCCGGCTTCGATCGGCTAGTTCTATCACCCTTCTACCTATATCGAGAGCCCTTCTGATGTCCCCCGAGATCGAGGCCACTTTTCCGGCCAGCAATTGTACAGCGGTCGGGGAAAACACGTCTAAAACGCCTGCTGCTTTGAGCCTGGAGGTGAATATGTCTACTATTTGCGCCTTCGTGTAGGGAGCGAAATGTAAGAGTTCCGGTTTGAGCTCGCAACGAGTCTGCAGCCTCGGTAAAATTCTATCCGTGAGATCCAGGGCGTTCGCTATACCTATTAGGACTAGCTGAGAGTTAGGTTTCGAGGGCCATTCGAAAATTGTGTACAATATCGATTGGTTTTTGGTTTCCAATTGGTCTATTTCATCGAGCACTAGTAGACTAGAAATTATGACAAATATTGTAGTATTTGTGAAAATATTCTTATTTTATACTTACATAGGCTGGTGTTTTCTTTTTAAATATGCTTCGATCGTGGCTACATGATTTTTTTCAGTCTTGTTTGTTAGCTTAAGTTCGTTCATGATCCTCGAATATATAGCATTTGGGGATTTAATAGCTGTACAATTTACGTATACATGAGTTACCTTACTATCTACCTGAAAAAATATTTATTAATTAGTTAAATGTAGTTCCTAGTAGGTACTGATTTATACAGAGTGTTCCAAACAAATCAAATCACAGTATATGCAAACTTTTCTATACATATCATTGCTTATATGAGTCAGGACACAATGTATGTAATCGAATGAAATTATTACTTACATTCAATTCGCTTAAAATCACATTCAATGAAGCTGTTTTGCCTGTACCGGGAGGACCGCTCACGTAAATCGAGCCGGACGTTTTGTGTTTTAAATGTTCGTCTATAAAACTTTTTAACTTTGCCAGTTCCTTTTCTCTTCCTGGCATTTCAGTGGGAAAGGTTCCGTGTAGAGCCTGCCTGGCATATTGGTAAGCGGAGGGAGTCGTTTTAGGCAAAATTTCATCGTGTTTTGGTTCAGAATCCGAAGTTTTAGTAGCATTAAGAGATTCTGCTCGTGTTGTATTTTCCGAATGGCTTTCGTTTTCTTTGAATAGGTTTTTTTTGCTGGATTTCGGTTTCTTCGGGCTTACTAAGGACAGACGTTCTAAGGAAGGAGTTTTCACGGGTGATGTGAATTGTTTTCGGTTCTTCGAAATGGAATTCAATTTGCTTTGTTTCGGTGGTGTGGAGTCGCAGTTGTTGAACTTTGCCTTGGTTTTTCTGGGTGTCGAATGCTGGGAATCCGAATCTGTAAGTTCTTCTTCGTCCGAGGAATCGATAATATAAATAATATCACTTTTGGTTTTATTATTATAGTTGGTCTGCCTTTTTTCCGCACTTCTTAAAGAGTATCGAGTACTGGCCATTTTTATCACTTTTATTGTTTTCCTAGGATTAAATATATTAATTATGCATCCGTATTTTATTACTCGATTCCACGTACTCACTATTATTTAATTTTGTTTACAGAACATTCGTAATTTTATAATTTCAACACACAACTCATGATGTTACAAAAAGTGGAAGTCAACACAAAATATTTCCCGCTCTTAATTTAGCATGTCAATAAAGTCAACTGTCGAAAATGCAGGGTCGCAAACATGCAGATAATAGTTTTTTTTTAAATCCTTTGAAAATATATTATTTCAATATTTCAATACATCTAAATGATTAATTAAAGCAAATTAATGTAGAAAAACTACGATAATTGATTCTTATTGTATTAAATCGTTTTTATACAGTTTAATGTAAATTTTACATTAAAGAGTTGGTATTACTGTTCTGGCATGACATTACATGTAAGTGTCAAAATTAAGTTCTCTTCCATTTTAGTTTTGTACAGTTACTGTGGAACACGTACAAATTCGAATTTATTAGAGGAATCGTCTAGTTTTTTATAACTAGACTTCTTTTAATAAATTAAGAATGAGGGCTAAGGTTAGTATCAAATAATATTTTTCTTCCGATTTACTAGTAAATTCCAGAAATATTTTTTATAAAAAATCGGTATTTCATTGACGATAAATAAACACGTTTGTTTGAACAACCAGTGATTGTAATATTGCTATTATACATGACTGGTTGAATTGATTTTTTATTGGCATATTTACCCCTGGAAGGAAGATTTGTACATTTAATTAAGTGCATTTTTTTTCTTTTAGGGGTTATATTAAATTTTGTGTTTCCACCTGCTTTGTGATTTCATAGCAAGAGCAGCCTAAGAGCACAATACATTACATATTTCTATAACCAATTACTGCTTTTCTTTTTGTACGTTTTATTAATATTTAATTTTTCTTTTAGTGGCGTAAGAAGCGTATGCGAAGGCTAAAGAGGAAGCGCAGGAAGATGCGTGCAAGATCTAAGTAGAGATCTATGGTAAGTTTCTTTATCACATAAAATTCTCAATTTTACAATTGTAAAATTATGATATATTCATCATTTCATTTTGCAGTTTACATGTGCTTAAAACACATTTCATTGGACTTCATTAAATCAAATCGTACAAATGAAGCTGCATGGTGCTGATTTGGTTTAAATCATTAATTGATACCCTTGAAAATTCTCTATTTAATGTAAAAAATTTGTTTCAGGAATTTCCTTTCTGCCTTTTCTACATCTGAAGATTTTGGGAGAATCGAAGTTGCATTCGCTATTTACTGTGTAAGGGAAATTGTCATCAATTTGCCATTTTTTTTAATAACGTGACTTGTTGATGTAACAAAACAAATATAGAGTAAACGCTAAACACCCAAATGTTTTATTTTATACCTTCTAAAAAGTTTTACACCAGAGTGCAAGTTTTGAGCACATGGTTTATCAGTGCAACAAAGACAGTTATTACTCTTGAAAAAGAGTAATATTGTGGAATTGTAAATTTGTCACTAACCACTTTAATTTTAATTTATTCAACACTTGGATTAAATAAATTGCAGTTTTATTGAGTGTTTAATACGAATACAAACTTTAATCACATGTAATTGTAAAGAGAAAGATATTTTGTCAATGCAGTAAATATCAAGTTGCAAGTAGCTAATTTTTGGATAGTAAAAGGCCCTAATTAAAAAGAAGAACGACAATTGACAGAAGGAGTAATGTCACATTTGTCAATTTTGTCAAAACATCGTTACGTTTAGTTTATCTACAAAGTAGTTGTGTTTCGTTAAATAAGACTATTTTCTAAATATTGTATTTGTAATTAAACCGTAATGCCAGAAGTGGACAACAGCGAAACGCGCTCCCCTCGTCGCAAGCGCCGCAGGTCCAAGTCCGGCGAGCGCAAGGAAGAGAAATCGTCCAAAAGGAAATCATCGAGGAAACGTTCATCGGACGACGATTACAATGAGCGAGATTATCCGCGCTATTACGGCGAAGATCGGCCGAACAGCGACAGCTACTGGAACAAGTACCCCAGAAGAGACAACATGAAAGTGGGGCGTAGGTATTACGATCACCCAGATCACGAGAAGAATAGGGATAGGGATGCTTCGAACGAGAAGAGCAGAGATAGAGATAGGGAAAGTACCAGAGGGAAGGAGTACTCCAGGAAAGAGGAGAACGAGGATAAATCCGTAATTAAACCCAGAGAACGTAAAGTCGTCGATATGCTGACTTCCAGAACAGGAGGAGCTTACATACCACCAGCGAAACTCCGTCTGATGCAAGAGAGCATAACAGACAAATCATCAGCTGCTTACCAACGTATCGCCTGGGAGGCCCTCAAGAAATCTGTACACGGTTACATCAACAAAATCAACACGTCCAACATCGGAATAATCGCCAGAGAAATCCTGCACGAAAACATAGTAAGAGGCAGAGGTTTGCTTTGCAAATCCATAATCCAAGCCCAAGCCGCCTCTCCTACTTTCACCAACGTTTACGCCGCCTTAGTGGCTGTAATCAATTCAAAATTTCCCAATATCGGGGAGTTATTATTGAAAAGACTGGTGCTTCAGTTCAAAAGGGGCTACAAGCAGAACAACAAGTCTATTTGCATTTCTGCTACCACGTTCGTAGCTCACTTGGTGAATCAACGGGTGGCTCACGAGATTCTGGCCCTTGAAATTCTGACATTGCTTGTCGAGACTCCTACTGATGATTCCGTAGAGGTGGCGATTTCTTTTCTGAAAGAGTGCGGGCAGAAGCTCACAGAAGTCTCGAGTAAAGGTGATTATTTTTATAACCTATATTTACATTATTCTTAATTAAATTCTCAACTATTCCAGGAATAACTGCCATATTCGAGATGTTGCGTAACATCCTGCACGAGGGCCAGCTCGAGAAAAGAATACAGTACATGATCGAGGTGATGTTCCAAATTAGAAAGGACGGTTTTAAAGACCACGCTGCTGTAACAGAGGAATTGGATTTGGTAGAAGAAGAGGATCAATTCACCCATCTAATCATGCTCGATGATGTTAAGGAGGTTAATGCTGAAGATATTCTAAGTAAGATCGATGGAAAATTCACCTCAGCTTTGGGTCTAACCTTATAAACTTGGCTTATTTTAGATGTATTCAAGTTCGATGAACATTATGAAGAAAACGAAGGGAAATACAAAACTCTCAGCAAAGAAATCTTGGGGAGCGACAGCGAGTCAGATTCGGGATCGGAGGGATCTGGAGAGGAATCCGAAGGCGAAGACGAGGAAGAAGAGGTCAAAGATGCCGGAAAAATCATCGACAATACCGAAACAAATCTAATAGCTCTCAGAAGGACAATATATTTGACTATACAATCCAGTTTGGATTTCGAGGAATGCGCTCACAAGCTTTTGAAAATGGAGTTGAAACCCGGCCAAGAGATCGAATTATGCCACATGTTTTTAGGTATGTATAGTCCAAGAAACCCAAAAACCTTCCCTACCCTACCCATGTATCTTGGGTATTTCGCACTTTACCCGGGTAAACATAGGTTTAGTCGTTTATCTAGCCTTATCCGTAACATCCTAATATGTATAATGTACTCTTTCAGATTGCTGTGCTGAGCAAAGAACATACGAAAAATTCTACGGACTGTTGGCTCAAAGGTTTTGCCAAATAAACAAAATATACATCGAGCCTTTCCAGCAGATATTCCAAGACACCTACTCTACCACCCATCGGTTGGACACCAACAGATTGAGGAACGTTAGCAAATTCTTCGCTCACTTGCTCTTCACCGACGCCATAGGCTGGGAGGTGTTCGAGATCATGAAACTCAACGAAGAAGACACCAACAGCTCGAGTAGGATTTTCATTAAAATTTTGTTCCAAGAATTGGCCGAGTATATGGGCTTGGGAAAGTTGAACGCTAGATTGAAAGATGAGTAAGTATCGAAAGGTGAATTTATTTGGTACAGTGTTAAGAGTTAGGGGTGTTACTACAAATATTTTATCATTAGAGCCTGGAAAATATGCAAAATGCATGTAAAGTGCATACGTTCTTGACAGTTCAAAATGATTCTGGAGCGTTCTAAACAGTTCTAGACCCAGACGGTTCTAAATGATTTTGGAACCTCCTAAATGGTTCTAAACAGTTCCAAATGATTCTGGAGCGTTCTAAATGGTTCTAAAAAGTTGTAACAGATTCCGGAGCATTATAAATGGTTTATAACAGTTTCAAATGATTATAGACGTTCTAAATAATTCTAGGCAGTTTTTAATTATGAAACGAATGAAGTCCTTGTGTTATTTTCTTCTACAGATGCAGATTATAAATTATTTTCAAAAAATATTAGTCTCTTTTTGTTCAAAATAAAATCATATTTGTAGCCACAACTTTAACAATACTGATGTTTAAAATATTTTTCTTTTTTAGAACGCTTCAGCAACATTTTGCAGGGTTATTTCCTAGAGACAATCCGAAAAATACCAGGTTTTCCATTAATTTCTTCACGTCCATCGGTTTGGGCGGTCTAACAGACGAACTTAGAGAGCATTTAAAGAACGTCCCTAAAATTATGGAAACTAAAACGGCCGCTGTGAAGGAAGAAAGCGATAGTAGCAGTAGTAGCAGCAGCAGCAGCAGCAGTAGTAGCAGCAGTAGTTCGAGCGAAGAAGAAAGCAGCGATGATAGCTCTGGAGGTTTGTATTTATTTTACAGTTAATGTTAATGATCACAATAATGATGTTTTTTTTTTCATTATAAAACCTATTTTGTAGATTCGAGTTCCGAGGATGAGAAACAAAAATCCAAAAAGAAGAAAAAGAAACGCGACTCGGAAACTAAACCTTCAAAATCGGATGCTAAAAGTAATCGTAAAGCCGAAAAGCGCGACAGTAGTAAGCACAAGAAGAAGAAGGACAAGGAAGATCGCAAAGAAACCCATAAAAATAAAGAAAACAAAAGCGATACGGATAAGCACGTTTCAAGGGAGAAGCAAAGTTCGAGGCAAGATAAAAGAAAAGACGACGGGGACGTTAAAGAAAAACACAGAAAAGATGATAGGGAGGACAGGGAGAGGCAACGGAGGAACGAAGAAAAAGGGAGTGGGAGGAAAAAGGACTATGAATGGATGAAAAGTAGACACGAAGATAACATACATCAATTAAAAACTACTAAAAAAGCGTTTGAAAAACCATCAAAGCACAGATCGAGATCGAGGGACAAAATTAGCAGTAAAGAAAAGGACAGGAGGCACAGGAGTAAAGAAAGACGAAAAAGTTAAGCTTAAATCATCCTTAAATTTTCAACATTTTTCTTATGTGACCAATTAGGACCTTTTAACATATTCCTGTAAAAAAATTTATAATCTCTGTTTCCGTTTTGTTCAGTAATTTTTTTAAGTCAAATACGCAACGTATGTAATTGGTTACCGCATAATTTAATAAACCATTTTTTTATTTGTGCGAAAATATGCCGGTACGAATTCATTTCAAATGTTCACGTAAACGTCCCTGCAATCGGTTTCGTCTATTTCGTCCACTCGAATTTCCGTTCGATGAGGGAAGTGCAGTTCAATTAACTTTTTGAAGGTGTCCACGCAACATAGCCCAGTCTCGTCGTGAGCTACGCCCTCTTCCCACAGTTTATTGAAAGCTCTGTCTGTTAGGGGATAACCAATTTTTTCGAATAGTTTCCTTATAACCTCCGGTTTCCTAGGCTAAATTATGATTATTGCATTGTGTAAATGTTTTGGATTGTTATCGTACCATAAAGAAATCCCTGAACGTTAATCCATATCTAGTGTAGATACTAGGATTTATAGTTGTTTTTATTGTAGTAAAATTGGGTAAAGTGTCCATGTCTGCTGTGTGAATGCCTTCGGTTTTGTAAGGCCTCTCCAAGTCTGTTCTAAACGATGGCAGACCAGCAGTTGGCATTTCTATAACACATCAATTTCCTCGTATACTTCATTAAGCGTAGTGAATGAACTCACTTGAATTGTCATAATGTTCCTTATCAGTTGACATCTCTTGAGTACCGGTAACGTAGTAAAGAGAAGATTCAGGCAAATCTGGAATTCGCATGTTTAACTCGTGCTTCAATTAGCTTTTTCTTACCTTTTATCGGCATTATTTCCGGCGTTCTAACGTTCGGGTCGATCATTTTCAGGAAGTTTTTGTAATCGACCATTCCCTCTTCGTCGACGACTTTGATTATTTTCAGGAAAGGCTGCATGTCTTTCATCGAGAACTGAATGTGGTACTTTTCGCAAAGCCCGTAGAATTTATCCTGCGTCATCAGGCCGCTTTTATCCTGTCAGAACAGAAACGTGTAAATTCGGACATGGTACATTTTAGATGAAGATTTCTATGGATAGATGCCATAACTGGATGTGTTGAATACTGTTCTTGTTTGGTGCTTTAATATCAAACTTTTACTGTTATATTCTACCATCTTGTAGATAGATTTCAACGAGAGGAACCTGTTGGTACTGGTAACTCAATATTGACAAAAAATTTACTATGTATTGGCATCAATTCATAGATTTAATAAGCCTAATACAAGAATATTGAAGGAAGAAAAGATTTATCGTTTCTCCCTTATTTCTTCTTCTATTGGATTATAGAGGAAAAAAAGAGTTACTGTTTCTCTTTATTTCTTCCTCTACTGGAGTATAGGAAAGAAAGAAAAGAGTTACCTACTGTTTTTCCTTATTTCTTCCTCTATTAGAGTATAGGGAAGAAAGAGTTACAGTTTCTCTTGTTTTATTCCTCTATAGGATTATATGCATATCATTTTGATTATCTTACATCATCATAATGCACCAACGTTTTCTCAAAGTCCCTCAGATACAAATAACCCTTGCTAATTCTACCATAGACAAGCATGCGCAGCTTGTTCACCATCTGCACCCAACTGTGCATGTCTCTCAGGAACATGCACGGGTGGTAATTGGCCCCTTTCAATATTTCAGCAACGCCATACATCGGCCTGTCGGTGGGTTTTCCGAACACCTTGTCCTTCGGCATTTGGTCTTTAATCTTATTCCTGCGGGTAATTGCTGTTTAAGCTCAGTTCGAAAGTCTGCTGCGATTCGAATTACGGTTCAATCGGCTTCCCCAAGGGGTATCTCGTTCGAGCGGCATAATCGGCGACGCTCTTGCTGGTGTGAAGATAGGGCTTCTCGATGTGCCAGGCGCAAGCGCATTTCACCCAGATGCCTCTGTAATCGTAGTTGTACCTTCGTCCGAACCTTTTGCAACAATCGTATGGGGGACACCAATAACTACAAATAGATGTAAGAGTTTTGTTAAATCGAGAGTTGGTTGAAAAGAAGAATCGTTACTTTCTGTGGAGTTTTTCGCTGGGGTTGTAATCTCCATGCGTTTTCACATACATTTCGTGCGCTTTTTGGCTCTCAGTTAGAACTTCGTAGGGAGTTTTCGGTGGATTGACTACTAGTTCGGCTTTTTCAGCTATAAAGAAGAAAAAATGGGTATTAAATTGCAAGTCGACTAATTCATAAAATTCTACAAGGAAAGGCCAATTTTACAAACAGTTTTGGGAGTCATGACTTCGTTGATTCACCCTGTATACAATTTCTAAACTGCCTTAACAAATGGTAAAAAATATAGTTACTTAGATTGCTTTTAATTCCAAATTTCTCTAAAACGGGTATCATTCCTCTTGGCAAAGCTGGAGTTGGATCGTACTGCTTTCCAACTTCTTTGTTCCAATAGGAATCGTGAACGGACTCTTCTAACTCGTCCAGCAGGATCTGGTATCTTGTGCGGACACCAGGCTTAAGTATTCCACTAATCTATGACAAGAGATAATGTACGAGTACAATAAATCAAGAATTGTAAGTATAAACACATTCTTACTTCTGTGTTGGTGCGATAAAGATTTTTATTATCTATAGGCGGTTTGTGTTGAGGTTCTTTATACTCTTCTTTGGTAATATGAGCGTTTCTCTTTAATGTGTCGATTGCCTCGTCTACCCTATATTCCGTTAAACATTGTTTTACCGTCTGTCTTGTTAAAGGATCCTCGAATACTTTCCCTGCCTGAAATATAAATATATCAACGAATCAATATTAGTTTTGTAATAGGGTGTACTGTGCATATCAAGGGCATTCTGTCCATATTATGGCCGTAATTCCCAGCCATTTTAGAAGATATTTGAAATTCCCTCGTTCCGCTTTTGAATAATCTGATTTCACTTGTGACACATGTCAAATTCGACAGTTGGTTTTTTTGTATAAAAATGTAATTCTCGATTTAATATAAACAAACTACGACTTAACAATATTGTACCCCGCAATATATTTGCATTATTATAAATTTTAACAATAAACATACGTCTGTTCAATCTTTATTTCATTTAAACAGATGAACAATATGTACAACAAAACGCACTTGAGGAGAATCGGTTGGCAATAAATTTGTAACCAAAATAAAATCGAATATCGAATGTTGGCAGCAGTGTTGACGTCGTTTAGGCAAAGTGTCATATTTGTCTGCTATCATTTTCGTCTTTTGTGTATAAAATTGGTGCTACATAGAAAAACTATTTACGAAAAAGCGTTTTTATGTGGGAGAAAGGCAATCGGAACATTAGTGATACGTGATCTCACAAGGAAAATAACCAGCAAATTATTTTTAGGTAGGTTAGTCCCGTTCAATGTTTTTCATCTTGTCAAAATGCGTCATTGATATTCCACAAAATGATGTAGATACATCTACGGTTCTAATTTCTGCTAAACCTGTTGATTAGAATCAATTACTAATCGAATGCAGACATTTTGTTGCAAGCGTCAGCTGATGTACTAAAACTTTAACGCCCTTGATTCGCCTTGTACTGCTGGAATTTCCAATACGCCCCCCTCTTTGTTGCTTCTCTATTTCTTTATATAATTGCAATTGACTCGTTATTACGGTGATATTTAACGTTAAACTTTGCTTTCGATGATTGCCGTGATTATGCACAATTCCTTTTTTAACAGTAACACTAAATTCATTTCATACATTAGATAAACGTGTGTTATGAACTTTTGATAATAACTTATTATCTATACCGTTGTTATTATTGTGAACGGTTTTTGTAAGTGAAATGCTATCTCCTTGCTTAGAGGAATTGAAAATTTCCTGCCTTGTGCGATTAAAAAGGGTCCTCGAAAAATGAGCCTCGAAAGCAGCTCTATTCCAGTTTCAGTATCATTGCTGGATTGTTTTTGAGTGTATGTATTTCGAGCAAATATTTTGACCTGTTATCTTTAAACAATAAATTTGCAAGTTCAAATTCCTAATTATAAGTTAAACATTTTTTACAGTGATAAATTAACTTCAAGTCGTGGAAAATTATATTTAATTGTACTGAATTGTTATTTTATTACTACTTGCTCGAATTATCGTAGATTTTGCTAAGATTTCGGTATTAACGGGAGTATTGTAGGAACTTTATTGTACTGTATTGTACTTTTTATCGCAGCTTTGTGCCTACGGAAAATAATGAAGGCAATTTTGTAATTTGTTTTGATTCTAATTTGGCATATATTAGCAATAATCGTGTTAAAATGTTTATGTGCTGTTTAAATTTACCTAAAAATTATTTATCCCCAATTTTTAAAATAAGAATTTCTAAATTACAAATGTTTACTTCAACATTAATGTTTTCAGTAAATTAAGTTTGGTCTTTGAATAATATTGACATTCCATATTGAATGCATACCTATTAGTTTCCATGCCTAAGATAATATAATTTAATTGTCTTTAGTTGAATAGTCTTTTGGGATCCGAAATGCTTTGATGAGAATATGGTATTTAACTACATACTACTAGCAGTTATGCTATTTTTACATTGGCAGTATTTAAAATAATGAGTATACCCAATTAAGTATGTACTTTTACTTATCTTGTAAATTTTGTTGGTTTATTTTTCGCAATAAGAATTAATTTATTTGTTATGTAGAAAGTGTTGTAAAGAAATCACTGAAAGCGACGCTTTAAAATATTAATGTAACTACCATTTAATTATAGAGCATCAGAAATTTGCCATTGCTTGACTAAAGGGACGAATTTTCTAATAATATCAAACTCTTCATAGATTAAACATACGAAACAAAATCAATACGCCCATGACATTCGATAGTCGTCGAGTGTATTAAAAAGTCCCATTTTTGCATATCGCGATATTAACGTGTCCGCAGTTTTCCCTTTTTAGTTAATAAAATCATGGCAACAAATCGAACTGGCGCCGCCCAAAGACCAAACGGCGCTACCCAGGGTAAAATCTGCCAGTTCAAATTGGTGTTGCTCGGCGAGAGCGCCGTCGGTAAATCCAGTCTGGTGCTGAGGTTCGTCAAGGGCCAGTTCCACGAGTACCAGGAGAGCACCATCGGGGCCGCCTTTCTCACCCAAACCATCTGCTTGGACGACACCACCGTTAAATTCGAAATATGGGACACCGCGGGACAGGAAAGGTAACTCAACAGATACACGATATTTCAACCCGTGGTGGTTGTTAATTGGGCGCTAAAATGGTGTTTTAATCCTAAAGATAAATTTGACGCAAAAATTTTACTTTCTAGAGTAGAGTAAGGTAAAGTAGAGTAGAAGACTAGTGTGGTGTAGAGTAGACCATTAGAGTATAGCAAAGAAGAAGACTAGTGTGGAGTATAGTATTAGAATGGAGTAACAGTAGAGTAGAACATCAGAATAGAGTGACAGTAGAGTAGAGCATTGAATAGAGTAGAGTGGAGTAGAAAAGGGTGTCAAATTTATGCTAAAGAGTAGGGTAAAGTAGGGTAGAAGAAAGTAGAATAATCCAGAGAACGATATTTGAAAAATAATGTTATTTTGTAACAGTCGGTACTGCTCTTCTATACCTAAACAACGATTCCCACCTCTATTAAACTTCTGTCATACGAAGTGTCATTAATGTCAATTTTGCCAGTTTCTGTTTATGTGCCATCGAACGAATCATAATGTCCCACTTAGTCACACACAAGAAAAAAATTGGTAGTTTATCGTATATTAGAGTAGAAGAGAGTAGACTAGATTCAAAATAGAGTTGAATAAATTTTATAATTATAAAGTTAAGTGCAAAGTTTTGGGCAATATTGTCTATGGGTCACATTGAAAGGTTATATTCTTGGATTACAACTTTCTCATTTTAACCACCGTTATTTTATTAATCTACCTTTGTTCTACTCATAGAATTGACCATATTGCAAACAAATTTGCACATATTAAAAGAAAATTTTCAATCATCAATTATTTATAATTATTTTCCGGTGACGCTTTGCGTCCAATTTACATTCCTCCATTTCAATTTTGCGGTGCTAATTTTTCAACGGTTCGCAGGTATCACAGTTTAGCTCCGATGTACTACAGAGGGGCGCAGGCAGCTATAGTGGTGTACGACATAACCAATCAAGATACGTTCGGCAGAGCGAAAACGTGGGTGAAGGAGCTCCAGAGGCAGGCCAGTCCGACGATCGTGATAGCCCTAGCCGGCAACAAGCAGGATTTGGCTAACAAGCGGATGGTGGAGTACGAGGAGGCCCAAACCTACGCCGATGAGAACGGTTTGCTCTTCATGGAAACATCGGCGAAAACGGCGATGAACGTTAACGATATATTTTTAGCAATAGGTGTGTATTCAATACAGTCATTCTCGAATCGATTGTTATCGATTTATTGCTGCATATTTTAAAGATAAAAGAGATTAAAGTTTGTGTCGGATACATAGATTTTAATCTAGAGATGAAAAAAACTTGCCCTAAACATGAAATGACCAGTTCTAGCAACAATAATTTTAAAAATTAGACGTTCTCACGTTTCTTTTTTTGTGAGCAAATCTGTTTTAGTTTATGCTTGTTTAAATATTGAATTACGGGACTCGAATATAATTTTATCGTTTTATAGTATTGACAAAGAATTAACGGCTGATAAATATTTAACATTTCACAGTTTTCCTTTCTCGTTCTAATCTATTTATAGAGCGAATCTACCTCAGACGCACATAATAATCTTATTAGTATGTTTCCCGTCTTTGACGTAGTCGGATTGGAGGTTTAAAAATAATTAGTAGGAGCACCAAAAAGGGGTCGTTTTGATGGGATAACGGCGAAATGAGATTATGGAAACAGTTTCGCGAAAATTAATATATCCTTTTTCCTGGATTTATTTACAGGGTGGCTCGTATCTCTCTTGGTATTTTTTTTGTCTTGAGTTTATAATCAAAGATTCACAAATCGTCCAAATAATGATAATTTTTCAGTTTGAAAGAGTAATAGTGTAGTAAATTCTTGTGCGTTTAAAGTATCGAGGCGTTTTGGACACTTGATAGCGCTGTTGCCAATTGTATATTGTTTTATTTGGTTTAAGGTATAACTCCTAATTACTGTAGTTTGTTTAAATTACGCAAGAATATTTAAATTAAATAAATGTATGAGAGATTATGTTTAATTTGGCAATTTTTACTCAATTGTAACTTATCAACGTGAATACAATTAAAGGTGCATATTAATTATCTACCCAAATATGACACAAATAGCATAGTTTAATTAAAACAGAACACTCAATAACATAATCTCAAGTATAAGATTGTAAGTATAAGTATTGAGTACAATAATGAACAAGGTTAACCATTTGGCAACAACGCTATTGAAAGGGTTCAAAAGCACTAGATTTATGCGCAATAAAAGTTGCGCACTCTTACGCGTTCAAACTACAACATTACCCAATTAATAATAGTTTGAAGGTTTCGAAAAAATGTCCCCCAACGAACTCTACAATTTTTTTATTGAGGAAAATATACCCCTTCTTTCACTTTAAGGGTTGTCAATTTTAGCTCATTTTTTTATCTTACATCACGGTACTCGACAGCCGATTAGAGTTCAATCGAAATCGATTCGATTTGAATTATTTAACTACCCACACGCTATAAACATTTAGTCGAATATAGATTTGATTTCGACTCGATCGAGCTATCGAAGGTCGTTTAGAACTAGATTTTTCACGCATTGCACGTTTGTCTTCAGCTAAGAAACTGCCCAAAAACGAACAAACATCCGGTCAGGGGGGCAGCGCCCAAGGCAGGCGATTGGCAGAAGGAGATGCGGGCGCCAAGGCCCCGGGAAACTGCTGCAAGTGATGGTACACGCTTGCAGGTCGAGTGTTGTTCAACCGTCACGCTGAGAGAGGACTGGAAAGTGCGGCTGCACTCTAGTGATATATTATATATATGTAATAAAGGTCCTTCTATTAACAAAAAAAAAATAAAAATATATTTAAACTTGATGTACACTGTCACATATTGATACGTCTTTAGATGAAAACCAAAAAGGAAATACGCGCGGAAATTTGTCATTGTTTAAGCCGAGTTGCAGTGCCCCATCGTTGGGGCGTTCGAATTTGTGATAATTGTACCTATTTTAATTCGTTTTAACATAAATATATATATTTGACAGTGTAGATAAGTGTAGAACAAGCATTTACATCGACTGTACTTTTCCAGCACCACTAAACAGAGTAATTTTACCGTTTTTTTTTTAATTTTTACCTTATCTTTTTTTTTCTATTAGGATGTGCAATTATATGATTAGATAAGCAACTTTAATTTCCTGGTACAGTCAATCTAAATGACCTTCCAATTTATACTTAACAATCGGAGAGTATAAACTGCAAGAATTAACTCGTTATATGTATTTTATTAGTATAATAATTGGTGAAAGTACGTTTCCTAACTATTTCAATAATTTTTTCCGTACTGTCCGTTTTATATATCACAAGAGAAATCTTTTATTCTTCAGGTACAATGTGTTTTGGAACATACTTTCGCGATACATGACTGAAAAGAACATATAAACATTTGTACGTAATTATTGCTTTTATTAAGTTTCTTTCCTACAAGATAGCTTAGATCCAAAGAAAGCATAGAGGACACCGGGAAATTACAAAGCATAAAAGGGCATTTATTCATCGTTAAACTAAACATTTATTGTGCATTTTTAGAAGATATAATTTGACTCGGTTATGGATTTGTTCTAACAGATATTTGCAGATAATTTAATTTACCTGCACCTTTTTGATTAGAGTCTGCATAGGGAGAAATGTTTGTCAAATTATATTTATCCAAGATGCTCGAAATGAATGCCCCGAATTTGTATAACTTAGATTATTTTTATTATTTTATTATTGAAATTTTTCACCTCCAATAAATATTTAGTTGTATTAAGTAAGTATATTATTTCTTCCGTCCTTCATTTGAATCGAAATTGGAATATTCCCTTTAGCGAATTTAAAATTGCCTGTATTAAACTAACATTTGAAACCGCTCATTTAAAATTGTGCAATTTCCAACGGATTTTCAAATCAACTTTTATACTGAATTTATTATTTTTTTCTTATTAAAAATTATCTATTGCAAGGATTCGTTAGAAATGGTGCAACAAATTGCCGTATGCTATATTAATAAGCTAACCATTTGCTATTTGTAACTAGCATTTCAATCACTTTAAGCTTTGATGATGATGATGATGAAGTGACACGTCTACTTTGCTCGATACTATCTAATAATTCAACTAACATTCCACAGTATAGCAAGTAGTACACTAACAATATTGCAATAAATTCGCCTCTATGCTTTCCCAGGTTGTTAAAAGACGTGTCATGTGTCAATCAAGGTATAAGAGAATGAAGAATAATAGTGTTTAGAACGTTAAAATTTAAGATCTCGACAGTTTTGACAAATCGTAATGAATCTATCCCGCAATGCGCACGCGCAGTGTATGTCATTTTCGATGGTTTTATACCATTGACAACTGACGTAAGGTTTTTGCTTATTATGAATTAGAAATCACATAAAAAACTAATTTGTATTTTTCTTAGTAAGAATATTTTTCCTCATATTTCCAACCGTGTTTATAACCTTCAAAAAAGGATAGATCCATTACTGCATGTACAGTAAATACACCATTTGTATTTGCTGTATTTTCCAAAACCTACCGAGATCTTTTTTATAATTAAATTTTACATTAATGTAATCAACTTAGTGGAGATACCGTACGTGTAGAAAGGGGTGTTTGTACAAATTTAACGGGAATAATGAAGCGTATCTCAAATAATCATTACAAAAACTGTTACGTTTATTATGAATTATGATTTATCTAATCATTGTAGTGTGATAGTATGTCCATTTAATGCGGATTATTTATAAGTATAATGAAGTTTCGAAAAAAAAATAGTATATGTGAATGCTGAAATGCGGAGTTAAAGTATTGGTCTTCTACTGTTTGTTAATTGCGATAAAAGTCTTTCGAATTTAATGTAAATAGCTGTAATTGATTTTTTCGCTGTCGAATTTCCGTTTAACATTCTATTTGAAGGTTAAATTTCTTGTAAGACGTGGAATGTTAAATGAGAAATATAAATTCGAGCGTTTTTCATGTGGGAATAACCTATCACATTATTATGCTTATAAGCGCCCTCACTAATACTATTGAGAAATTCGCATAGTAAGGTGGCTTAAATTAATATTTTGTTCTTATTTTAGCAATTCCTAATACTAATTTAAATGTATTTTGCTTTCTTTTCACCGATTTATATTGCATTGAAAAGCATTTCTTGAAATCGTGCATTCAATTAAATTAGCGAGTATTTTATTAAAAGGTAATTTTTAATTTCCGATTTTGGAGTTCATGTATACTTTTTTTTAATAGGGGATGTCCGAATATGCATCCGTTTATATTTGTATTATAATTGAATATATTCTAATATTAATTTTATTTGCTTGCTTATCATCTATGGTTATAATAATTGTTCTGTTTGCACAGAATCAGATTGTACAGGAAAGTAAAACATACTCAATAAAGTTATGATATATGATTTAAATTATTTTGTGGATTTTTCGCTAACATTAAAACGTTTTTGTTCGATTCACCTTTTTGTTTTTGTAAGTATATTTGGGTACATAAAAAGCGACACTAAAGTGAATTCGTTTAAAGCTGATAAGCCTTAATAACAAATTTCATTGGAAGGGAATTTTAACAAACCAACATTTTGTATTTTTTTGTGAAAAATTTGCTCTACAACTCTAATTTAGTTATACAAGCTTTTTTCAGTTTTAAGCCCACCGCTCACGGAGCGACTGTTTTGAAATAAAAGATTTCAATCTAGTTTAGTCTGTAACCAGTTTACAACTAATATTAAACTTCTGTACGCACACGGATACGACTATTATAAAATAGTTTCAATCAGTTGCCATAGTAATTTATCGAATGTCGAATGAATCACACCAGAAATTGGCAAGAATTTAAAGCAACTTGAAACTGCAAAGCGACTGCGGGAAATGGTCGGGTTCAGCGGATTTATGACTAATTGCAAACTAGTTTCATTTGAATCGACTTGTGTGCGGTTCCACACTACTATACATTGCCGAGGTTGCAAAATAGTTGCAAGATCAACTGGTTTACAATTTTTATTTTAAAACAGTTGCTCCGTGAGCGGTCGGCCTTAGTTGCCTAAATTCAGACAAATCTCAGAGTCAGGTAAAAAGTGGTTTTCAAGTAGTTTTTAAAAACACTGGGAAAATATTAAGGATTTCTCTTTTTCTAGAATTGAAATAATCCAACAATTATCAAAAGTTTATTCAGTCTTTGTACATTTAACAAGAATAAAATTGGTGATTTTTACATAACTATGAATTATGAAATACATCCATTAATAGGTATTTAGAAAACTTCTTGACAGAAGTTAATCTCTATCTCGTTTGGTTCTCTATCGTATAAATAAATGAAGTTAGAAAAATATCACCATTGTACATTTCTACACCACAAATCGTGGTGTATGGTAACTTTATAACAACCTATAAAAATATTGGAAACACCTAATTTACGATAAAATTGGTCTCACTTATCTCTTTGTATTTTGATTAAAATTGCGAAATTAGTTGGGAAAGAAGAGATTGTTCGCCTGCACAAAACTAAGGAACATATCCTGCGGCGTTAAATTCATAGTCCTCCACATATACTCCATGAGAATCTCGTGGTGCGCAGACATTTTCCCGTACCGCCTCCACAGGTCCTTCTTGGCCTCCGAAGCCAATTCGGACACCCTGCTTTTCCTCCGACCCACATCGGGTTCCACGAAATGCTCCAAGCTGAAATTCAAATTCATGCATCCCTGCCACGCGTCCGTTACTATCACGCTTCCCGGCAGCACCCACTTCTCTATCAGCTCCCTCAGCCCCTGCGCCGTCGGTTTCTCTACGCGCTGCAGGAACCACGTCCTGTTCTCCCTGCAGATCCCGCTCACCAGCCACTCGTCGGACGTCACGCGCTCCAAGTTATACCTGCGCTTGTCGTACACGGTCTCGTCGATCTCCACGACCGCCCCCGGTCCCCCGATGGGCCGCGCCATCTCCTCCAAGTACACGAACACCAGCTCCCTGATGTTCTTTAGGCACTGGTACACGGTCTTCCGCTCCAAGCTGCTCTCGCGGATGATGTCGCGCGGCGGGTACTTGAGGAACCACATGACGAGCACCTCCACGTGGAACTCCATCCGGATGTTCACCGAGTCGAAGACGGTGTTCTTCTTGATGGACTGCTTGCGCCTGCAGGTGCGCGTGCTGCACCTGTAGAACAGCAGCGATCTGCCGGTCTTGTTCATCCTGCACTTGCCGCCGGCGCAGGAGGTGCACGGGATGACGGCCGGCAGGAGGTTGGAGTCGAGCAGGAATTGCCTGATGCCGATGCGGCTTACGTGCCTGCGGAAGTCGTCGAGGCTGTCGAGGAAATCCATCGCGAATGGGTGAAGTGAACGTGTCTGGACGGCGGTTTAGTCGCGACTATTTTATTTCGCTGGGCTCCAGTCGCTTTTCACGGGGCCACGTTTTGAGCTGCTATTTAACGACCCTTTGTAATGGCCAGTTGATCAGCGTGTGGTAGCGTCATCGACCGGTGGTATTACAGCGGCGCCGCCGATTATATTTATGGGAGAGGGAATATTCGAAATGAGATTTTAATGGACCCTTATTAGGGTATACGTCTACCTGACCAAGAGCTTTTAATTATTATGTACAAATAGTTATTCTGTAAATAAATTCAACCTCGAGCTGGTAGATAGATTAGGCAGAATAAGATAAGATTCAGAGTAGTCGGAAACGGTTTATTAAATCTTGGAGATTTCAATGCGCATTAATGAAACATCAACAATGTAGTAGGAATACGGGTAATTTGGGGTTATTTACATTCGTATCTTATTTGATGGGTTTTTAATTTACACCGATTCCATTAAAGTATATTAAGACACTATAATAAATTATAAAAACATGCTTATAATAACTTTCATTTTGCTAATATTTACCTAAACACGGAGAGTATACTCAGGTAGACCAGCATCTTCTTTATGAAAACTAGTACTCTTGATAAACTTTCATTAAGAAATACATTTTATAATAATTTTCTAATTAACGGTGTAATTAACCTACGTTCCTCCAGAATATAGATATAGTCAAAATGTATTAAATAGAATTTATAAAAGCACTGTATATTGATAAAAGCGCACGCCTATGAGTCGGGTACCCGGGCTGGTTGGATTCAGTTCCCTCCTGACGGGCCCATTTAGATCACCCAAGTTTATGAGTATTTAACGACTCAAGGCCCGACCCTTTGCTGTATACCTGAGATCGAGTATTCAGTGGCGTGCAGTTAAATTGGCAACATTATAACTTGTACATTATTGATGAATGGTTTCCCTAAAATTCAGTAATACAGGGTTGGGCAAAAGTCCGGAATAAAATTATTATCTGTTGAACCAGTAATTTAAACAAAAAACGCTGAAACACGTGAATTGATTTTATATTGGACGGATTTGTTGCCAATAAAATTTTTTTTTTCTTCAACCCCTTAGTTGCAACCCTACTCAACTTTATTTTTTTAAATGCAAAGGTATGTCGTGTGTAGGGTCATTGAAAAGCCCGCGAAAAATCGAATCTGAAACATACTTTTTTTTTTCTTTTTCTCATGTTGTTAGTGAGAAATGAGCAAAAAATTCTTTTAAAAACAAATATGTTACAAATACCTTTTTAGTGCTATCGACGTGTGAATTAAGGTAGCAGATGTTGGGAATGTCCTCAACCCTCTACTTAACAGGCTCCAAGGCGATGGTAAAACCTAATATCGGTAGCCTATCTTTAATTCTGAATGAATTTTTATTAAAAACAGGCGAGCCTGGGCAGGCAGCACACCAAATTTTATTGATTTTCCGTTTAAAACTGATAAGGCAACTTAGCATCAACATTTGTTGAAATTATGTTTTAAGAAAAAACTAAAACATAAAATGGGTTTAGTTCTAAGCCATTGTTGATTAGTGAAATACTAATACTAATTTAAATGTATTTTGCTTTCTTTTCACCGATTTATATTGCATTGAAAAGCATTTCTTGAAATCGTGCATTCAATTAAATTAGCGAGTATTTTATTAAAAGGTAATTTTTAATTTCCGATTTTGGAGTTCATGTATACTTTTTTTTATTAGGGGATGTCCGAATGTGCATCCGTTTATATTTGTATTATAATTGAATATATTCTAATATTAATTTTATTTGCTTGCTTATCATCTATGGTTATAATAATTGTTCTGTTTGCACAGAATCAGATTGTACAGGAAAGTAAAACATACTCAATAAAGTTATGATATATGATTTAAATTATTTTGTGGATTTTTCGCTAACATTAAAACGTTTTTGTTCGATTCACCTTTTTGTTTTTGTAAGTATATTTGGGTACATAAAAAGCGACACCAAAGTGAATTCGTTTAAAGCTGATGCCTTAATAACAAATTTCATTAGAAGGGAATTTTAACAAACCAACATTTTGTATTTTTTTGTCAAAAATTTGCTTAACAACTCTAATTTAGTTATACAAGCTTTTTTCAGTTTTAGTTGCCTAAATTCAGACAAATCTCAGAGTCGGGTAAAAAGTGGTTTTCAAGTAGTTTTTAAAAACACTGGGATAAGTATTAAGGATTTCTCTTTTTCTATAATTGAAATAATCAAACAATAATCAAACAATTATCAAAAGTTTATTCAGTCTTTGTACATTTAACAAGAATAAAATTGGTGATTTTTACATAACTATGAATTATGAAATACATCCATTAATAGGTATTTAGAAAACCTCTCGACAGAAGTTAATCTCTATCTCGTTTGGTTCTCTATCGTATAAATAAATGAAGTTAGAAAAAATATCACCCTGTACATTTCTACACCACAAATCGTGGTGTATGGTAACTTTATAACAACCTATAAAAATATTGGAAACACCTAATTTACGATAAAATTGGTCTCACTTATCTCTTTGTATTTTGATTAAAATTGCGAAATTAGTTGGGAAAGAAGAGATTGTTCGCCTGCACAAAACTAAGGAACATATCCTGCGGCGTTAAATTCATAGTCCTCCACATATACTCCATGAGAATCTCGTGGTGCGCAGACATTTTCCCGTACCGCCTCCACAGGTCCTTCTTGGCCTCCGAAGCCAATTCGGACACCCTACTTCTCTTCCGACCCACATCGGGTTCCACGAAATGCTCCAAGCTGAAATTCAAATTCATGCATCCCTGCCACGTGTCCGTTACTATCACGCTACCCGGCAGCACCCACTTCTCTATCAGCTCCCTCAGCCCCTGCGCCGTCGGTTTCTCCACGCGCTGCAGGAACCACGTCCTGCTTTCCCTGCAGATCCCGCTCACCAGCCACTCGTCGGACGTCACGCGCTCCAAGTTATACCTGCGCTTGTCGTACACGGTCTCGTCGATCTCCACGACCACCCCCGGGCCCCCGATGGGCCGCGCCATCTCCTCCAAGTACACGAACACCAGCTCCCTGATGTTCCTCAGGCACTGGTACACGGTATTCCGCACCAAGCTGCTCTCGCGGATGATGTCGCGCGGCGGATACTTGAGGAACCACATGACGAGCACCTCCACGTAGAACTCCATCCGGATGTTCACCGAGTCGAAGACGGTGTTCTTCTTGATGGACTGCTTGCGCCTGCAGGTGCGCGTGCTGCACCTGTAGAACAGCAGCGATCTGCCGGTCTTGTTCATCCTGCACTTGCCGCCGGCGCAGGAGGTGCACGGGATGACGGCCGGTAGGAGGTTGGAGTCGAGCAGGAATTGCCTGATGCCGATGCGGCTTACGTGCCTGCGGAAATCGTCGAGGCTGTCGAGAAAATCCATCGCGAATGGGCGATGTGAACGTGTCCGGACGGCGGTTTGGTCGCGACTATTTTATTTCGCTGGGCTCCAGTCGCTTTTCACGGGGCCACGTTTTGAGCTGCTATTTAACGACCCTTTGTAATGGCCAGTTGATCAGCGTGTGGTAGCGTCATCGACCGGTGGTATTACAGCGGCGCATCCGATTATATTTATGGGAGGGGGAATGAGATTTTCGAAATGAGATTTTAATGGACCCTTATTAGGGTATACGTCTACCTGACCAAGAGCTTTTAATTACTATGTACAAATAGTTATTCTGTAAATAAATTCAACCTCGAGCTGGTAGATAGATTAGGCAGAATAAGATAAGATTCCCAGTAGTCGGAAACGGTTTATTAAATCTTGGAGATTTCAATTCGCATTAATGAAACATCAACAATGTAGTAAGAATACGGGTAATTTGGGGTTATTTACATTCGTATCTTATTTGATGGGTTTGTAATTTACACCGATTCCATTAAAGTACATTAAGACACTATAATAAAATATAAAAACATGCTTATAATAACTTTCATTTTGCTAATATATACCTAAACACGGAGAGTATACTCAGGTAGAAGAGCATCTTCTTTATGAAAACTAGTACTCTTGATAAACTTTCATTAAGAAATACATTTTATAATAATTTTCTAATTAACGGTGTAATTAACCTACGTTCCTCCAGAATATAGATATAGTCAAAATGTATTAAATAGAATTTATAAAAGCACTGTATATTGATAAAAGCGCACGCCTATGAGTCGGGTACCCGGGCTGGTTGGATTCAGTTCCCTCCTGACGGGCCCATTTAGATCACCCAAGTTTATGAGTATTTAACGACTCAAGGCCCGACCCTTTGCCAGAGAATAGCGAACACAGAGAAGCGACAGCTTGGGTTTTTCGGTGGTATGGTTTTGGAGGACGCATGTGCGAAGTAAGTTGTTTTTAACTCAAAACCACGCGGTCAGCGATCAGCTGTGTTTAGTCCGTGAGCTTAACGTTTAATGTTACGCGTTAAGAGATATTTTTGGGTGTTGGCTAGTATTTCTTTTGAGCATCCTTGCAAAAACTTTTCAACTGTATATATAAAAAAACTGTTTATACGAATGAAGATTACTTTATTTTGACATAATAAACACATAATAAATGTAATTAATTCTCGACTTTCCATTAGAAAGGAGAAAGAACCTTTAAGGTTGATCAAAATGATAAAAATGTTCCCTATTCATATTTACAGTTAATGAATAAATCATACGGGATTTGGAAAGATTTTGAAAATTTTCGTAAATCTTATAAATAAATAAATTATAAAATAATAAACAAATCTTTTACTTTTATACTTATATTTGTATAAACATAACTAATTATAAGGAATTATATTTTGGTTCCGCAATCTAACATTGTAAAATTCCATCACATTGTAAAATTTGCACGTGGACTATAACATTTATTTCGAAATTCTAGTTCGCTCAGTGTAGAAAACGCATGTTTTCTCAGTGTATTAAGTTGTCTGAAAAGTGGTCGTACGATATCAAAGGGACCGACAGCTAGTGTCGCTTCTCTGTGTTCGCTATTCTCTGCCTTTGCTGTATACCTGAGATCGAGTATTCAGTGGCGTGCAGTTAAATTGGCAACATTTAAACTTGTACATTATTGATGAAGGGTTTCCCTAAAATTCAGTTATAGATAGAGCAAAAATAAAAGGTTCAGGTTTCAAGGTTCATGAATTTTAAGATCGTTAGTTATTCTGATAATTGTAAGCTATATGTATTACAGTTACCTAAAATGGTTGAGGTACAATTTCGGGGGTCCACCGATAATCCGTAATTTTAACGACCTTTTAATGAGGGTCTCTCGGCAGGAGGTAACCGATCTCACTATCGCAGTGCGGTGGCAAAAATTGCAAACGGGGAAAATATTCTTATAAAATAATTCAATTTAGTTTTTGCTTTATTTATTTTTCGTTGTGAGTCGTCGTGTATTTTAAGATCGTTAGTTACTCTGATAAATGTAAGCTTATGTAATACAATTACCTAAAATTATTATTAGTCCCAAATTAATGATGTGAGATATTTCTTTAGACAATATTTGTAATATAAAGATACGTTTTATCATTTATTATAGCTTATTATTATAAGTGTTTCTCCCAAAATTTTGTCGATCCCGACGATCCGCGGACACACACGCAAAATATCGAAGCAAAATGGTCTTTCATTAAACGAGACTTGAGAAGAAGATATGGAAAAATTTCCTCCCATGATGAAATCTTAATGGAGTATATGTGGCGATCCCAACATACGACACCCGAAGAAATGTTCCAATGTTTCGTTCGGGCACATCACCTTTTTTTCCCAATTTAAAAAATTGGATCATTTTCAAAAGGCCCTTTTCAGGGCCACAATATTATTGAACAAATAGAAACACTTATAATAATAAGCTATAATAAATGATAAAACGTATCTTTATATTACAAATATTGTCTAAAGAAATATCTCACATCATTAATTTGGAACTAATAATAATTTTAGGTAATTGTATTACATAAGCTTACATTTATCAGAGTAACTAACGATCTTAAAATACACGACGACTCACAACGAAAAATAAATAAAGCAAAAACTAAATTGAATTATTTTATAAGAATATTTTCCCCGTTTGCAATTTTTGCCACCGCACTGCGATAGTGAGATCGGTTACCTCCTGCCGAGACACACTCATTAAAAGGTCGTTAAAATTACGGATTATCGGTGGACCCCCGAAATTGACCCTGAACCCCTAAAATTATTATTACTCCAAAATCAATGATGTGAGATATTTCTTTCGATAATTTACGAAAATTTATTAAAAATTGTCGAAGACCAATTGTATCAATATGTGGCTACGAAAACCTCTAAGTCCTTCTAAAAAAATCCATCTCAGCTGAAAAAAAAAACACACCGAATCGGAATCATGCAGTTGGGCCACGGTCATTAAAGGATTAAAATCCCGGTTTCTGACAAAATACTTGATCACCGATTGCAATTTAATTCTCTAATAGAAAAATTAAATAAAAAATAAAACAAATCTAAAATTTTATATTTACATAATATGTACAGGGTGGCCAATTAAGATTGCGAGGTACTGTATCTGGGAAACTATGTATCGTAGAGGATCGCGGTAAAAAAGTTATTACTAAAACGGCCAAGAGAAAAACCTGGAAAATATTTTCAAGTTTCTCAAATGGCCGCTAGGAGGTGTAACTGCAATATTGAAACAAAAAAGTGATATTTCTATGAATTCCGCTATATTAACCTAACAAAAAATACCAGATATTTAAAGTCGAGTATAATATGAACCTTTTTTGTTTAACAATTTTTGCTGTATCTCTAAAAATAAAGTGGTGAGTGTTATTCAAATGTTTCCCTAAAAAACACCCTGTATCTTCGAAACGGCTGAGCCGATTTGAACAAATTTGGGCTAGTTGAAAAGAGCTATTCTTGGGCTACAAAAGATATCGAGATGCGGTTTTCGCGAGCTTGTTTAGGCACCATTTAGTTAATTGTTCATGAAAAAAAAATCATAACCAATGCATTTAATTTTTTTGAGAAAATTGACCATTTCTCTCGGAATGTCGAAAAAAGCGCTCTACTAACGACACGTGAATCTATAAAAACTTTAAATAATATAACTTTCCAACGGCGAATTAAGATAGGATTGAGCAGGTAATTTGATAATTATTTAATAATTACACAAAATTAGTACAAATGTTAAATCAAACAATCAAAATTTTGTGGAATTCCTAAGCTTTAATGACCCCCCGTCTTACGTCTACCGATAAGATACATAATCCCAAATTGAGGGTCATATCGGATTATCTCAGGTAACGTGGCCCAACTGCAATGCGCCCCACCGAATACACAAAAGAAAACTAATGGAGAAACTTCTAGAGTCTCTAACAGTAAACACTAAAATGAAGATACTTTCGATACTTTATACATAGGAGGGAAGGGTAGTTATTAATGATTGGATTTAAATGAAATTAATTTAAATGAAACACCCTTTAATTCAATGACGACTCATAACGAAAAATAAATACAGCAAAAACTAAATTAAATTAATTTATAAAAATATTTTTCCCGTTTGCAATTCTTGCCACCGCACTGCGATAGTGAGATCGGTTACCTCCTGCCGAGACACACTCATTAAAAGCTCGTTAAAATTTCGGATTATTGGTGGACCCCCGAGATTGTCCCTGAACCCAGTGATGAGATTTTTTTATTCCCTATAGTTTGAAGTCGTAGATTTATTAATTCGATTTCCACAGCATCTGATCAATTTTCCATTTCCAATTTGATTTCTGATTGATTACATTTAAAAAAATATTGTTAATATTGTTAATAGGTATGTAAATTAGGTACACACCTAATATAAAAAATGAAAACACAAATAATAATATAGTAAATATTAAAATAACTTGTGTCATCAATGTTAAAATTAATTTTGACTCATACTGTTCCGTTCCCGTTCATTTTTTCTAATTCCAAGTTCCAAAAATGATATTTCAGAAATTTTGGCCAAGGTCGCAATTTTTATAATAGTTTAAATGTAGGTATACATGGTTATTTATTAAATAAATATCGCGTGGTTCAGTTATAAAAGTGCTATATCATGAATTTAACGAGCAGTAACAACAATTATTACTAATTACAAAGATTAGATTAATTTTAGATGTCATAGGTTCTAAATATATAAAAAAATCACTTCTAATACAACACATCATTTCATAATTTTCGCTAGATAACTGAAGTGTACTCGCTAGAAAAGCTTCTATAGAATGGCGGCAAATCCTAGAAACACTCAAATTAAATACACTAAGGTAAGAATTTCTAATATATATTTCTAAAATATCTAATTGCAACTTTAATATTTGTAATAATAATTTAATTATGTTTATTTTAGTTGTTCATTAACAACGAATTCGTTGACGCCGAGAGCAAAAAAACTTTTCAAGTTTTGAATCCGAGCACCGAAAAAGTGATAGCGAATGTTGCCGAAGGTGATAAGGCAGATGTTGACAAGGCAGTGGCGGCGGCGGAGGCGGCTTTCAAAAGGGGATCCGAATGGAGGACCATGGACGCCTCAGCCAGGGGAGCTTTAATCAACAAAGTTAGTAAAAAATATTAGATATTCACTACCTTTTGCTTTAAAGAAGCACCCTGTGTATTTTACCATTTAATTTATTGATTTTAGCTTGCCGATCTAATGGAAAAAAACATCGACGAACTTGCCGCAATAGACACTTTGGAAAACGGAAAAACCTTTGAAAATGCAAAAATATTTACGGATTTGTCTGTCAAAGCTTTGAGATACTTTGCAGGATATACAGATAAAATTCACGGGAAAACTATTCCGTCAGGTAATATTACCATTTCTCTATAGAAACATCTATGGGTAAGTGCAAATTTGTTTGCAATATGGTCAATTCTGAGTTGAACAAAGAAATATTATTAAAATAACAGTGGTTTAGAGTGAAAAAGTTGCAATTCCACATATCACTAGCTCTTTCTTCTTCCTTTATATGAGACTAATGCAAGTTGTCTTTGTTGCACTACTTATCTACCATTGCGTACATACAACTTTGCAGTTATTTGTAGGTATATCAAATTGCACATTACACATTGCACAGTACACAATGTACATTTTGTAGACACCATTTCTCAACAATTGTTCAATTAGAGTTCAAATAGAGTTATCAGTTATAGGGCACTGAACTACCAAATATTCTCCTGTCCAAGTATTCTTCTCAAGCCCAAACTCACCCTATTACCAAACATTCAAGCATCATAACTGTTACATACTGTAAAATACTTATCTCTTGATAAATGTACTTGCTTTAGATGGACCTTATCTCTCTATGACCCGGCAAGAGCCGATCGGCGTCGTAGCCCAAATCATCCCTTGGAACTACGCCATATTGATGGCCGCCTGGAAATGGGGCCCGGCCTTGGCAGCCGGCTGCACCGTCGTGCTGAAACCGGCCGAACAAACGCCCCTGGGAGCACTGTACTTGGCAGCTTTGGCCAAGGAGGCTGGCTTTCCCAAGGGAGTCATAAACGTGATTCCGGGGTATGGACCGACCGCCGGAAGCGCCTTGTGTTACCATCCCAGCGTGAGGAAGGTCGCTTTTACCGGATCCACCGAGGTGAGTAAAATTTTGTAAATAAAAAATTTTCAAGAAGATTCTATGATGTTCCGCAGGAATATGTTTATGTTTTAGACCTGAGAGGTTAGGGGGTAGAGTTCGTTACTCAAAATATTTTTTCGGAAAAACTTTTCTCTCTACTTTTAATCAAACAATTTTCTCTCTAATTTCATGAACATTTTTTCTCTACCTTTATGCACAAAATTTTCTCTCTACTTTAATGAACAAAATTTTCTCTCTACTTTAATGAACCAAACTTTCTCTCTACTTTTATAAACATTTTCTCTCTACTTTTATGTACAACATTTTCTCTCTACTTTAATGAACAAAATTTTCTCTCTACTTTTATGTACAAAATTTTCTCTCTACTTTCATGCACAAAGTTTTCTCTCTACTTTAATAAACAAAATTTTCTCTCTACTTTTATGCACAAAATTTTCTCTCTACTTTTATGCACAAAATTTTCTCTCTACTTTAATGAACAAAATTTTCTCTCTACTTTCATAAACATGTTCTCTCTACTTTTATGTACAAAATTTTCTCTCTACTTTCATGAACACTTTCTCTCTACTTTGGAAATGACTGGAAATCTAATAAATAATACTTGCTTTTAGTTTTACCAGACTGTTTTCTCACAGGCTATTTTGTGTTTGGGCTATTTTGTCCTGTGCTATTTTGACGATCCACGTTCCCATAAATAGAAATGTGGGACATCGTGTACATTATGTCCTCTACATACTTACAACATTTGCATTTCGTAGGTTGGCCACATCATCATGGAAAGCGCAGCGAAATCAAATTTGAAAAAAGTGTCCTTAGAACTGGGAGGCAAGAGTCCTTTGGTGGTTTTCGACGATGCCAATGGTGAGTTGATCGATAAGTTAAAGTAAACCTCGTTGAGAAATTCCTCCGTGCAGTCGACGAAGCCGTGAAAATAGCCGCAGAAGCTATCTTCGGCAACCACGGGCAAAGCTGCTGCGCCGGCTCCAGGACCTACGTGCAAGCGAGGATCTACGACGAATTCGTGAAGAAAGCCGCCATCGCCGCTGAATCCATCAAAGTGGGCGATCCCTTCGACGACGGTGTCCACCAGGGGCCCCAGGTGGACCGAGTGTCGCTGGACAAAATCCTCTCCATGATCGATTCCGGCAAGAAGCAAGGCGCTAAAGTGGTAACAGGAGGTACGAGGATCGGAGATGTGGGGTATTTCGTACGACCTACTGTATTTTCCAACGTAACAGACAACATGACTATAGCAACAGATGAAGTAAGTTAACGATCCAAGAAAATCTGTAGCTTCTATTAATCGATAATTCTTATTCTTACCATTTACTTGTAGATTTTCGGTCCGGTGCAATCGATTCTGAAATTCGATACGTTGGAAGAAGTTATAGAGAGGGCGAATAACACCAAATACGGTTTGGCTGCTGGAGTTGTTACGAAGAATATTGATACAGCTTTGGTGTTCGCTGAAGCTGTTGAAGCTGGATCGGTTTGGTAAGTTTGTATTTTATTTTAATAGGAATAAACCTGCACGTGAACGTATTGTTTCAGGATCAATTGCTACGATGAAGCTATGGGAGCACAAACTCCATTTGGAGGATACAAGCAATCTGGAATAGGCAGAGATTTGTAAGTAGTTGAATGCATATAAGAAAATTCCTAGCACCGAATTCACCTTTTCACATTATTATATTAAATAGTTTATCATAAAAACATATATGCACGAATAGAGATTGGGTTTATTTTTAATACCAAATAAATTCTTATCGGTGTAATATTTGATGTTTATTTGTTATGATCTGTCTGTTGCGAGAAATTATAAATACCTTTTCGTCGAAATCAAAAATTGTAAACAATTTGGTTATAATGGACGAGGTCAGTTAGCGAGATTATGAAATAATTTAATTTGGTTGTACTTATTGAAATCGAATTACCATTTGAACTGCACATTTTTTATAACGCTTTTGAGGTCTGTTAACATTAAATTTATAAAATTTCTGTTTTTTAGGGGGAAGGATTCTCTCAAGGAATATTTGGAGGTAAAAATGATATCAATCAAATTACCGACGAAGAATTAATTGAAGCAAACTTGTACAGAATATAATTATAATTTAATAATATAATACGTGTTAATACATAATGTACATATTTAAAAATTGTAGTATATTGTAACTACTTATCTAAGTGCTTTTGTATTTTGTATTACCTACCTACTGTTATTTTATTGAATAAAAATTATTGTTTGATAAAATTTTCTAGAAAAAAGGAGGGATGTTATGGGAGTTTCCAACTTTCTCACTCTAACAACTGCTATTTTAATAATCTTTCTTTGTTCATTGTTCAACTCATAGAATTGGCCATATTACAAACACATTTACACTTACCCATATATCTATGTTATTTATATTTAAGCGGTTAATTCATATCTGAAGTTCAATAGTACCTAAATGAGCAAATAGAAATATTTATGCAATAACTTATCAAGTATTTCATAATTGAAAAATAAGTAATAAATTTTGTCTGGGTATACTCACTTTGGAAGTATGTATGCATTTATATTTTTATTAGAAATCCATTAGATAGTATCTAGAAAATAATAAGTTAATTTTATTACTTAGAGATAATTCCTTGCACCGCAGAATAAATTAAAGAAATTATTGATGGAAAAATTTTACAATAGTCCTATTATGCAGCCAAATAATTCATTAGATTAGCAGGTCATTTATATGTATATTGATAAAGTACTAAACAGACCCTGATTAAATATTTTATACAATTGTAGAATTACAATAAATATAAATAATATACAGTTGGTAACAGATTATTAATATATTTTAATTTTATTAAATAATTGAAGGGCAAATTAATAATCGGCTTTATTAGTCAATAATAAAATGTTTATCAATTAATAAGTATATTCTTGTATATCCGCTGTTTATTTACTTCTCTTACCTAGATACAAAATATATTAGGTGCTTTTCACACATTTATTTAAGTAACAATTTATCAGCACGTTATGGAAATTTTCAATCCGATATACCTCCCTTCCAATTCGATTAAATATCGCCGGAATGTATAAAAAGGCTAACCCAAGAGTACCAGTTACTCTAAATTTGCCGTTTCTGCTGGAATACACTGGCCCATTAGAACACAAACATGATGAACATGAACCAACCTAAAGTGGACATCAAATACACCAAGGTATGTTAATAAATTTGTTAATCCAATTTTTATATATATTTCTTGTTTCTACAATTGATGTGAAATGGATGTTTTGAATTACTAATATTTTTTTGTAAATTTTGTTAGTAGGTTGTTTAAAATATAAACCATAAAGGCTCTAAATGTCTTCCACACTCAACATTTTCTCCTTTTTTCTCCTCGATTCCTCTTTTTATTTATCTATTATTCCTCTTTGAAGATACCTGTAGACCTGTACGATTTTTCCATTTTAACCTATTTTTCTTCTTCACTTCTAACCTTCCCAAACTACTTTTCCTCCTTTTACATCTCAAATCCAAATCGGTGCTTCTTATTCTAACACCTCACGTAACGAGTACTAATAATCTCCACCGACAACTTCTTCTTCCACAGATGTTCATCAACAACGAATGGACGGACGCCGTCAGCAAGAAGACCATGCCAGTCACGAACCCCAGCACAGGCAAATCCATTGCCCAAGTAGCCGAAGGCGACAAGCCTGACATCGACAAAGCCGTGCAAGCGGCCAAAATGGCCTTCTCCACCGGCTCCGAATGGAGGATGATGGACGCCTCGAAGAGAGGCCACATGATGATGAAGGTAAGCCATTCAAATATAAATAACGTGAAGCGAATAACTTAGAAAAATCGGTTCTTTCAGCTCGCCGATTTGATGGAAAGAGACATCAAAGAGCTGGCAATGATGGAATCCATGAACAACGGCAAACCCGTGGACATGGCGATGATAGACATGCAGCTCTCAGTGAATACCATGAGGTACTACGCAGGCTGGGCTGATAAAATACACGGCGATACCATTCCTTCAGGTACTTACAAACAAACGCTTTACTAACAGATAAATAACTGATAAACTTGCAGACGGTCCGCTGGTCACCATGACAGTGAAGGAGCCCGTCGGCGTCGTCGGCCAGATCATCCCCTGGACCTACCCGGTGCTGATGCTGGTGTGGAAATGGGGACCCGCTTTGGCCACCGGCTGCACTATTGTCATGAAACCCGCCGAGCAAACGCCCCTCACCGCTCTGATGATGGCGGCGCTCGCCAAGGAGGCCGGTTTTCCCAAAGGAGTCATCAACGTGGTGACCGGAATGGGACCCACCGCCGGACACGCGCTCGCCATGCATCCCGACGTCATGAAAATCGCCTTCACCGGCTCCAATGAAGTAAGAATAAATACGATTTGATACTTTAGGTACCAATAGTTTGGTGGCCTCTACAAGTCCTTCAACTGGTTTTATTGATGCGTGAATTTGCAGGTTGGACACTTGGTGATGGAGGCGGCTGCCAAGTCGAACTTGAAGAAAGTGACGCTGGAGTTGGGCGGGAAGAGCCCGATGGTGGTTTTCGACGATGTTAACGGTGAGTAATCGTTTAAGTTTAGTGAATTATAAATTCTAGAATGGAAATTTTTCAGTCGATGAGGCCGTGGCGATGGCTCACAAGGCGGTCTTTATGAACCAAGGGCAAACTTGCTGCGGCGGCACCAGGACTTTCGTGCACGAGAAAATCTACGATGAATTCGTGAAGAAGGCGACTGAGATGGCTAAAGCGAGGAAGGTTGGGAACCCGTTCGATAACGGCGTCCAGCAAGGACCGCAGGTGAGATTTGCCTGTAGTAGGTGGTACTTTTATTGATAATCTCTCATAGAATGAGTTCATTATTGAATTGCAATGTTTGCAGAAGAAGCATTTATAGTAGGAGCAACCTTTTGCCTAGGGTAGTACCATAGACCTATTAACCGGTAGTACCGCGTCCATACTTAATAGGTTTATGGGTAGTACCTACTAGCTGATAATCTCTCCAACATACATGAAGTATAAATTTGTTTATCTGTCAACAGGTCGACCAAGAAACTTTGGATAAAATCACAAAGATGGTGGAATCCGGTAAGAAAGAGGGAGCCAAATTGATGACTGGCGGAAAACGCATAGGAACTACCGGCTACTTCTTCGAACCGACTGTATTTGCCGACGTTACTGACAACATGACCATCGCTAAAGAGGAGGTATCGCTTGCGGAATCATTTTGTAATGACAGGATTTGTAAGCGGACGGATTGTTTCAGATCTTCGGACCTGTTCAAGCCATCATGAAGTTCAGCAAGATGGAGGAGGTGATTCGAAGGGCCAACATGACGCACTTTGGACTGGCCGCTGGCGTTATGACCAACGACATCAACCGCGCCATGATGTTTACTCGTTTGGTGAAAGCCGGTACTGTATGGTAAGTACACGAATTTATACCTGAATTACTCTACTATAAGATAAATTACTAACTTTTTTTTTCGCATTGTGCTCGAATAAGTGGGACTTTAAGATGCGTTCGAAGATACATGAATAAAAATGGCCAAAATTGACATTAATGACATTTCGTGTGAAAGTTTAATAGAGGTGGGAATCAATTTTTTGGTATAGAAGTGAAGGAACGACTGTTACAAAATAAGCGTTATTTATCAAATATCGGTCGAATACATTCGTGAATTATTTTTTATGTTCAATTTGGCTATTAGCGTTTAATTTCTTGCCTTATTGACATAATTAACATACCTTGTTCTTTTTTAGGGTAAATACTTACAACTATTTGGTGCCTCAAATGCCATTTGGTGGATATAAAGAATCAGGCATGGGACGCGACTTGTAAGTATCTATAAAAATTGATGGATCTAAAAATTCCTAAACTCTTTTAACCTAATACATCTTTTAACATAATACACATGTTTTATTGCAGGGGCAAAGAATCATTGGAAGAATACCTGGAAACTAAATCGATCTTGATCCAGATGCCGAAGAAAATGACTGAGATGATGAAAATGATGACAATGAACGAACATTAGATGAACAAACGGGTTTACACTTGTAAATATGGTTAAATATATGGAACTAATTTTACGTGTCACATGAAACATCGAGAAAAAGGCTGAATTATTTTTAATTTACTGCAATAAAATTATGTTACCAAAATATTTTTATTTTATTTATTCGATGATCAAAAATACCTGTAATTACAAAGATTAGATTAATTTTAGATGTCATAGGTTCTAAATATATAAAAAAATTACTTCTAATACAACACATCATTTCATAATTTTCGCTAGATAACTGAAGTGTACTCGCTACAAAAGCTTCTCTAGAATGGCGGCAAATCCTAGAAACACTCAAATTAAATACACTAAGGTAAGAATTTCTAATATATGTTTCTAAAATATCTAATTGCAACTTTAATATTTGTAATAATAATTTAATTATGTTTATTTTAGTTGTTCATTAACAACGAATTCGTTGACGCCGAGAGCAAAAAAACTTTTCAAGTTTTGAATCCGAGCACCGAAAAAGTGATAGCGAATGTTGCCGAAGGTGATAAGGCAGATGTTGACAAGGCAGTGGCGGCGGCGGAGGCGGCTTTCAAAAGGGGATCCGAATGGAGAACCATGGACGCCTCAGCCAGGGGAGCTTTAATCAACAAAGTTAGTAAAAAATATTAGATATTCACTAGCTTTTGCTTTAAAGAAGCACCCTGTGTATTTTACCATTTAATTTATTGATTTTAGCTTGCCGATCTAATGGAAAAAAACATCGACGAACTTGCCGCAATAGACACTTTGGAAAACGGAAAAACCTTTGAAAATGCAAAAATATTTACGGATTTGTCTGTCAAAGCTTTGAGATACTTTGCAGGATATACAGATAAAATTCACGGGAAAACTATTCCGTCAGGTAATATTACCATTTCTCTATAGAAACATCTATGGGTAAGTGCAAATTTGTTTGCAATATGGTCAATTCTGAGTTGAACAAAGAAATATTATTAAAATAACAGTGGTTTAGAGTGAAAAAGTTGCAATTCCACATATCATTAGCTCTTTCTTTTTCCTTTATATGAGACTAATGCAAGTTGTCTTTGTTGCACTTATCTACCATTGCGTACAACTTTGCAGTTATTTGTAGGTATATCAAATTGCACATTACACATTGCACAGTACAAATAATACACATTGTACAGTACACAATGCACATTTTGTAGACACCATTTCTCAACAATTGTTCAATTAGAGTTCAAATAGAGTTATCAGTTATAGGACACTGAACTACCAAATATTCTCCTGTCCAAGTATTCTTCTCAAGCCCAAACTCACCCTATTACCAAACATTCAAGCATCATAACTCTTACATACTGTAAAATACTTATCTCTTGATAAATGTACCTGCTTTAGATGGACCTTATCTCTCTATGACCCGGCAAGAGCCGATCGGCGTCGTAGCCCAAATCATCCCTTGGAACTATGCCATATTGATGGCCGCCTGGAAATGGGGCCCGGCCTTGGCAGCCGGCTGCACCGTCGTGCTGAAACCGGCCGAACAAACGCCCCTGGGAGCGCTGTACTTGGCAGCTTTGGCCAAGGAGGCTGGCTTTCCCAAGGGAGTCATAAACGTGATTCCGGGGTATGGACCGACCGCCGGAAGCGCCTTGTGTTACCATCCCAGCGTGAGGAAGGTCGCTTTTACCGGATCCACCGAGGTGAGTAAAAATTTGTAAACAAAAAATTTTCAAGAAGATTCTATGATGTTCCGCAGGAATATGTTTATGTTTTATACCTGAAAGGTTAGGGGGTAGAGTTCGTTACTCAAAATATTTTTTCGGAAAAACTTTTCTCTATACTTTTATGCAAACAATTTTCTCTCTACTTTTATGTACAAAATTTTCTCTCTACTTTCATGCACAAAGTTTTCTCTCTACTTTAATGAACAAAATTTTCTCTCTACTTTTATGCACAAAATTTTCTCTCTACTGTTATGCACAAAATTTTCTCTCTACTTTAATGAACAAAATTTTATCTCTACTTTTATAAACATTTTCTCTCTACCTTTAAGCACAACATTTTTCTCTCTACTTTTATGCACAAAATTTTCTCTCTACTTTCATGAACATTTTCTCTCTACTTTTATTTACAACATTTTCTCTCTACTTTCATGAACACTTTCTCTCTACTTTGGAAATGACTCTGGAAATCTAATAAATAATGCTTGCTTTTAGTTTTACCAGACGGTTTTCTCACAGGCTATTTTCTGTTTGAGCTATTTTGTCCTGTGCTATTTTGACGAGCCACGTTTCCATAAATAGAAATGTGGGACATCCTGTACATTATTCCTTCTACTTACTTACAATATCTGCATTTCGTAGGTTGGCCACATCATCATGGAAAGCGCGGCGAAATCAAATTTGAAAAAAGTGTCCTTAGAACTCGGAGGCAAGAGTCCTTTGGTGGTTTTCGACGATGCCAATGGTGAGTTGATCGATACGTTAAAGTAAACCTCGTTGAGAAATTCCTCCGTGCAGTCGACGAAGCCGTGAAAATAGCCGCGGGAGCCATCTTCGGCAACCACGGACAAAGCTGCTGCGCCGGCTCCAGGACCTACGTTCAAGCGAGGATCTACGACGAATTCGTGAAGAAAGCCGCCATCGCCGCTGAAGCCATCAAAGTAGGCGATCCCTTCGACGAGGGTGTCCACCAGGGGCCCCAGGTGGACCGAGTGTCGCTGGACAAAATCCTCTCCATGATCGATTCCGGCAAGAAGCAAGGCGCTAAAGTGGTAACAGGAGGTACGAGGATCGGAGATGTGGGGTATTTCGTACGACCTACTGTATTTTCCAACGTAACAGACAACATGACTATAGCAACAGATGAAGTAAGTTAACGATCCAAGAAAATCTGTAGCTTCTATTAATCGATAATTCTTATTCTTACCATTTACTTGTAGATTTTCGGTCCGGTGCAATCGATTCTGAAATTCGATACGTTGGAAGAAGTTATAGAGAGGGCGAATAACACCAAATACGGTTTGGCTGCTGGAGTTGTTACGAAGAATATTGATACAGCTTTGGTGTTCGCTGAAGCTGTTGAAGCTGGATCGGTTTGGTAAGTTTGTATTTTGTTTTAATAGGAATAAACCTGCACGTGAACGTATTGTTTCAGGATCAATTGCTACGATGAAGCTATGGGAGCACAAACTCCATTTGGAGGATACAAGCAATCTGGAATAGGCAGAGATTTGTAAGTAGTTGAATGCATATAAGAAAATTCCTAGCACTGAATTCACCTTTTCACATTATTATATTAAATAGTTTATCATAAAAACATACATGCACGAATAGAGATTGGGTTTATTTTTAATCCCAAATAAATTCTTATCGGTGTAATATTTGATGTTTATTTGTTATGATCTGTCTGTTGCGAGAAATTATAAATACCTTTTCGTCGAAATCAAAAATTGTAAACAATTTGGTTATCATATAATGGACGAGGTCAGTTAGCGAGATTATGAAATAATTTAATTTGGTTGTACTTATTGAAATCGAATTACCATTTGAACTGCACATTTTTTATAATGCTTTTGAGGTCTGTTAACATTAAATTTATAAAATTTCCGTTTTTTTAGGGGGAAGGATTCTCTCAAGGAATATTTGGAGGTAAAAATGATATCAATCAAATTACCGATGAAGAATTAATTGAAGCAAACTTGTACAGAATATACTTATAATTTAATAATATAATACGTGTTAATACATAATGTACATATTTAAAAATTGTAGTATATTGTAACTACTTATCTAAGTGCTTTTGTATTTTGTATTACCTACCTACTGTTATTTTATTGAATAAAAATTATTGTTTGATAAAATTTTCTAGAAAAAAAGAAGGGATGTTATGGGAGTTTCCAACTTTCTCACCCTAACAACTGCTATTTTAATAATCTTTCTTTGTTCATTGTTCAACTCATAGAATTGGCCATATTACAAACACATTTACACTTACCCATATAACTATGTTATTTATATTTAAGCGGTTAATTCATATCTGAAGTTCAATAGTACCTAAATGAGCAAATAGAAATATTTATGCAATAACTTATCAAGTATTTCATAATTGAAAAATAAGTAATAAATTTTGTCTGGGTATACTCACTTTGGAAGTATGTATGCATTTATATTTTTATTAGAAATCCATTAGATAGTATCTAGAAAATAATAAGTTAATTTTATTACTTAGAGATAATTCCTTGCACCGCAGAATAAATTAAAGAAATTATTGATGGAAAAATTTTACAATAGTCCTATTCTGCAGCCAAATAATTCATTAGATTAGCAGGTCATTTATATGTATATTGATAAAGTACTAAACAGACCCTGATTAAATATTTTATACAATTGTAGAATTACAATAAATATAAATAATATACAGTTGGTAACAGATTATTAATATATTTTAATTTTATTAAATAATTGAAGGGTAAATTAATAATCGGCTTTATTAGTCAATAATAAAATGTTTATCAATTAATAAGTATATTCTTGTATATCCGCTGTTTATTTACTTCTCTTACCTAGATACAAAATATATTAGGTGCTTTTCACACATTTATTTAAGTAACAATTTATCAGCACGTTATGGAAATTTTCAATCCGATATACCTCCCTTCCAATTCGATTAAATATCGCCGGAATGTATAAAAAGGCTAACCCAAGAGTACCAGTTACTCTAAATTTGCCGTTTCTGCTGGAATACACTGGCCCATTAGAACACAAACATGATGAACATGAACCAACCTAAAGTGGACATCAAATACACCAAGGTATGTTAATAAATTTGTTAATCCAATTTTTATATATATTTCTTGTTTCTACAATTGATGTGAAATTATTGGATGTTTTGAATTACTAATATTTTTTTGTAAATTTTGTTAGTAGGTTGTTTAAAATATAAACCATAAAGGCTCTAAATGTCTTCCACACTCAACATTTTCTCCTTTTTTCTCCTCTATTCCTCTTTTTTATTTATCTATTATTCCTCTTTGAAGATACCTGTAGACCTGTACGATTTTTCCATTTAAACCACTTTTTCTTCTTCACTTATAACCTTCCCAAACTACTTTTCCTCCTTTTACATCTCAAATCCAAATCGGTGCTTCTTATTCTAACACCTCACGTAACGAGTACTAATAATCTCCACCGACAACTTCTTCTTCCACAGATGTTCATCAACAACGAATGGACGGACGCCGTCAGCAAGAAGACCATGCCAGTCACGAACCCCAGCACAGGCAAATCCATTGCCCAAGTAGCCGAAGGCGACAAGCCTGACATCGACAAAGCCGTGCAAGCGGCCAAAATGGCCTTCTCCACCGGCTCCGAATGGAGGATGATGGACGCCTCGAAGAGAGGCCACATGATGATGAAGGTAAGCCATTCAAATATAAATAACGTGAAGCGAATAACTTAGAAAAATCGGTTCTTTCAGCTCGCCGATTTGATGGAAAGAGACATCAAAGAGCTGGCAATGATGGAATCCATGAACAACGGCAAACCCGTGGACATGGCGATGATAGACATGCAGCTCTCAGTGAATACCATGAGGTACTACGCAGGCTGGGCTGATAAAATAAACGGCGATACCATTCCTTCAGGTACATACAAACAAACGCTTTACTTACAGATAAATTATTGATAAACTCGCAGACGGTCCGCTGGTTACCATGACAGTGAAGGAGCCCGTCGGCGTCGTCGGCCAGATCATCCCCTGGAACTACCCGGTGCTGATGCTGGTGTGGAAATGGGGACCTGCTTTGGCCACCGGCTGCACTATTGTCATGAAACCCGCCGAGCAAACGCCCCTTACCGCTCTGATGATGGCGGCGCTCGCCAAGGAGGCCGGTTTTCCCAAAGGAGTCATCAACGTGGTGACCGGAATGGGACCCACCGCCGGACACGCGCTCGCCATGCATCCCGACGTCATGAAAATCGCCTTCACCGGCTCCAATGAAGTAAGAATAAATACGATTTATTTGATACTTTAGGTACCAATAGTTTGGTGGCCTCTACAAGTCCTTCAACTGGTTTTATTGATGCGTGAATTTGCAGGTTGGACACTTGGTGATGGAGGCGGCTGCCAAGTCGAACTTGAAGAAAGTGACGCTGGAGTTGGGCGGGAAGAGCCCGATGGTGGTTTTCGACGATGTTAACGGTGAGTAATCGTTTAAATTTAGTGAATTATGAATTCTAGAATGGAAATTTTCAGTCGATGAGGCCGTGGCGATGGCTCACCAGGCGGTCTTTATGAACCAAGGGCAAAGTTGCTGCGCCGGCACCAGGACTTTCGTGCACGAGAAAATCTACGATGAATTCGTGAAGAAGGCGACTGAAATGGCTAAAGCGAGGAAGGTTGGGAACCCGTTCGATAACGGCGTCCAGCAAGGACCACAGGTGAGATTTACCTGTAGTAGGTGGTAGTTTTATTGATCTATAATCTCTTATAGAATGAGTTCTTAATTGAGCCTGCAATGTTTTGCAACCTTTTGCCTAGGGTAGTACCTACTAGCTGATAATCTCTTCAATATACATGAAGAATAAATTTGTTTATCTGTCAACAGGTCGACCAAGAAACTTTGGATAAAATCACAAAGATGGTGGAAACCGGTAAGAAAGAGGGAGCCAAATTGATGACTGGCGGAAAACGCATAGGAACTACCGGCTACTTCTTCGAACCGACTGTATTTGCCGACGTTACTGACAACATGACCATCGCTAAAGAGGAGGTATCGCTTGCGGAATCATTTTGTAATGACAGGATTTGTAAGCGGACGGATTGTTTCAGATCTTCGGACCTGTTCAAGCCATCATGAAGTTCAGCAAGATGGAGGAGGTGATTCGAAGGGCCAACATGACGCACTTTGGACTGGCCGCTGGCGTTATGACCAACGACATCAACCGCGCCATGATGTTTACTCATTTGGTGAAAGCCGGTACTGTATGGTAAGTACACGAATTTATACCTGAATTACTCTACTATAAGATAAATTACTAACTTTTTTTTTCGCATTGTGCTCGAATAAGTGGGACTTTAAGATGCGTTCGAAGATACATGAATAAAAATGGCCAAAATTGACATTAATGACATTTCGTGTGAAAGTTTAATAGAGGTGGGAATCAATTTTTTGGTATAGAAGTGAAGGAACGACTGTTACAAAATAAGCGTTATTTATCAAATATCGATCGAATACATTCGTGAATTATTTTTTATGTTCAATTTGGCTATTAGCGTTTAATTTCTTGCCTTATTGACATAATTAACATACCTAGTTCTTTTTTAGGGTAAATACTTACAACTATTTGGTGCCTCAAATGCCATTTGGTGGATATAAAGAATCAGGCATGGGACGCGACTTGTAAGTATCTATAAAAATTGATGGATCTAAAAATTCCTAAACTCTTTAATAATCTTTTAACATAATACACATGTTTTATTGCAGGGGCAAAGAATCATTGGAAGAATACCTGGAAACTAAATCGATCTTGATCCAGATGCCGAAGAAAATGACTGAGATGATGAAAATGATGACAATGAACGAGCATTAGATGAACAAACGGGTTTACACTTGTAAATATGGTTAAATATATGGAACTAATTTTACGTGTCACATGAAACATCGAGAAAAAGGCTGAATTATTTTTAATTTACTGCAATAAAATTATGTTACCAAAATATTTTTATTTTATTTATTCGATGATCAAAAATACCTGTAAAATAATTGGCATATTATGTTTTATTTACCTTTGTGGTAAATTTTGTATAGAAATTTTTACTACAATTTTCTATTTTTTAAACGACAATTAATTTCAAATATATAACTTTTCTCCAATAAGTCTATGCCAAAAACTAATTAAAATATGAATACTAAATTAACTTACACAATTATTAAGCGCAAATAAATAAAATTGTATCAGAGTACATAGAATAAATTTAAAATTCCATACCTTTCGTGGCAGTAGACACGACCGAAATCCACGTGAGTGATACAAATACAAATAGAGAGTGAGAGTGATGACAATGACCCACTAACCAAAGGAGAATGAGTAAAAGCGAGAGGGAAAGCTCAAGGTAAACAACTGATGCTGCTCATCGAGCAGGCGGTGTACTTACTTCACGTCAATATTCAAAATATGACATTTTATTTGAGTGTTTACATTTCCAATTGTTAATTTTTACTATAAACGATTTTTACTAGTTTTTATAATATGTGTACACTTAACGAATCCCTCGGGAAATCTTTTTGTTCGGGAAGTTGCCCGGTGTCGGAAGGAAATATCGTATGTGGGGAAAGAAGGACTTTAGATATAATTAACGAATTTAAAAGACTGTATGAGAATAAAATGGACGAAATTAATAAAGCGAATTGCGGAGATTGTCTACAGGTAATACTCCTTTAATGTATTTACGATTTGTTATTCTAATGAATGGTGTTCGATCACTTTACGTAAACCTTTACATGTTGCTTAACATGAAATTGCTTTATATGGAGTTGCTTTATTCTCCTTTATTAAATGTGTACATGCTTTTTAAGTATTGTCTGGTGTTGTACATATATTTGCAATAAATTAAACCCATCCAATCGATTAATTAACCTACAAAATACTTCAAATACTTCATACTTCGTAAGGAGTGTCTACTAGTCCAACATTTCTATTTTTTAATGATTCAATTTAAATAATATTTATCCAGAAGACACTTATAATTTACCACATTAAATAGATCATTTGAATTATATTATCAAGATTTTCTGCTCACAATATTTACTCCATACAATTAAAGTTCATAAATAGAATAAAAGAAGTTAATAATGATTCTTCATTAATAATGATTCTTCGTATAAACTAAAAGAGTTGGTAATGTTTAAATGGAGGAGGTCTCTGCCCCAGTCTACTTTACTTAAAAAGTTTAGTGTTTCCCCTAAAAAATGTTTGTACTGTAAAAATGCCTCAAGTTGTAAATTATACATGAAAACTTTCAGGAAAAGCTAAAACTTCAACAAGACTGGATTAACGATTTATCGGAACAGAACGAGTTGCTGGTTAAGGCAGTAGAAGAATTAGAGATAGAAGCAACAGAACGGGTAAAGATGTTAGAAGATAAGTTGCAGAGAAGTGCCGAATGTATATGCGAGGTACGAAGGTTATTCCATTATTTTATTACAATCAATCCGGACATAATCGAATTTTTAATGGTTTTTAAAAGTAATTTTGCCTGAAACATTACATATGAAAATAACTACGTGCAATATTTGATTGTAATCCATTGTGTTATTGTTATCACCAGTTACAGTATTAATCGAACCCTCCCTTTCCCTTTTGTAAGTTCCAATATGGTTATAAGTTTGTATATTTTTGTTAAAATTGAACCGTTTTTTCAGGTGATGAAGAAATACAGAGAGACAGACGTGGCGAATAGCATCTTAGAGGAGCCTCGTCGGAAGATTTTCAATTTGGAAAACGATGTAAAAAATTTATTAGAATTTCTACGTAGGATACGAGAGGAGCAGCAATGGAGCACGGGCGGTCTGGTTTTTTACGAAATTTCTGAAAAAGACCTTTTAGGAGATAAATGTGTGGAAGAGATATTAAATGACTCGATTCAGGAGTAAGTAATTATTTTTCTTAAGTTAGGAAGATATTATTTATCTGTAGGATAGATTCTCTAAGGTGTAAACATGTATTTGGTTTTTATTTTTCAGGTCTTTAAACAGTGATTTAGTCAAGGTAGGCGATAGGTAGCCTTTAAATTTGCAGAGCTTTTTGATCATTTTTTAATGGAGCTTTTGTACATGCTTTTTAATTGGAAAACAAATAAACGATTTGCTCAGTATTGTGATGTATTTTTCTAATGACGTGCGCTTTTGTAAATATAGCATAGTAATAAATTTTCAGGTGTTTGTATTCATTAATAAACAGTACTTGCATTGTATATTATATGATTTATTAAAGCATTTTTTGTGTTGCAGGGGAGGAAAAAAATCGTAGAACAAGACAGGTAAATGCGAAAATTTCATGTAGAAAAACTTACTTAAATGTATTCGAATTGTTCCAGGCAGCTTCATGATCTGGAGAGGCGAACATCTGAGGTTGAAGATTTATCCAGAGAATTGAAATCCACACGGGAAGAATGCGAAACCCTCCAAAAGGTACGCATTTAAATTTGATAATTTGGTTAAAATGAAATCTTAAAGCATAATATAATAGAGAAAAAAATGCCCTTACTTCAAAAGGGCGATTGATAGTTTAAATTACAATGAATATGGTAAAATGCATTTGAGATATTGTGACTCTACTACACTCTCTTCTCAAGAACTCTATTCTATTCTAAACCTATTTTGGACGAATGTTTAAAAATCCCTTTAGTTCTACTCTATTCTCGAGATCAGTATACTCTACTCTGAACATATTTTTAAGGAATGTTTAAATATCCGTTTGATTCTACTCTAGTTTACTCTACTCTAGAGAACTTATACTGGTATACAAATCCCTTTGATTACTTCGTTTGCCTTATTCAGTGAGTGTTTTTGTGGATAATTTTATAATGCTTTCCAGACAGTCATAACGAGCAAAAATTAGGTAAAAACGCCTATCAATCATTGCATTAATTTAACTTATTATATTTTTAGAACATGGCCGACATGCGACAAGTTCTCACCGAAGAAGTGGCGGTGAAGCACGACGCGATATTGAAATTGAAACGCGAGTACCAGGAGTTGGAGGAGAGGTGCATTCAAGCCGATAAGCAGACCGCCTTCAGGGACGACATCATCAAGGAATTGAGGAAGGAAATCAAGCAGCTCAAACAACAGGTGATTTGTTTGTAGGAAGGCGGTTTGAGTGGCGCGAATTTGCACTTATCTGTGTCCTAGGTGTCCTTTCCCGAAAAGCCCTATTCCCAAGATTCCATCCTAAAGAAAGAAATCAAAGGCGAGCAAGTATTCGTTGTGAATCATTGTAGAAAAACAGTTCAAACTGGCAACACTACTGTGATTTATTTGCGGCATGGATTCGAAATGAACGGGGCGAAAAGATTGGATTTGGGTTCGAAAGAATCTGTTACTAGTGGTTTTGTTAAAGATTATACTAGTACTAGCGAGGTGCTTTGCAAATCTTGGTCGAATTCCCTAAGTAAAGAAACGGGGGATGTGACGAGAAAATCTGTTTCAATTAAAGAAGAAGAGAAATGCGATAATGCTAAAACATGCGTAAATAGAGTCGACAATTCGTTGATTTCTGCTTGCAAATCCGAAAATGATTTGTCCACTTATACTAATACTTTAAAGAAAGCTTCGAGTTTAAACACTTTAGCTAGAAGAAATACTTTTATAGAAGATTCACATTCGAAAAAGTCTCGGGATAATTTAGAAAGAAAGTTTATATCGGTGCCTGATCATGTACCAGTTAAATTGTTAATAAATAACTTGGAAGTAAATAAACAGCAAAAGAAATAAATCGTTCGTTTTTGGTTCAATTTAATGGCGAAATTATAGTTGTATGCAATTAATTAAATATATTTTAGAGAATTATTATCTTAGAAAACGAATCGTCTGCGATAGAATCGAAGGTAAATAAGATTTCATTGAATTAGGGGGTGTTTATGAAGGAATTTTTCAGAATAATGAATTGGAAGAGAGTGTTAATTATTATGAAACGGAAAAGGCTGATTTGCTGGAGAAAGTAACCGAAACAAAGTCGACTATATACGCTTTAGAAGCGCAATTTAACGATTTTGTAGGTATTTTTTCGAAATAACAAATCTTCAGTTTAAGCTTCATAAAAATTATCAATCTGCAGATTGAAGAAAAGGAGCAATTAAAATGTAAATACAAGTGCGCATTGAGAAAAGCTTCCCAATTCATGGAAGAATGTAAGCGATTGAAAGAGAAAAATTTCTCAATGGAATTCGAATGCGACAAACTGAGAAGAGAATGTAACAATCTCTATCAGGATAGAGTAAATTATTTCATAAAAGTATTTAATTTGTTAGTAGTAAACTGACTCTTTAGGTAACATTGCAAGAAAAAATGAAAAATCTCACAATTAGTTTCGATAGATTGCGAGAGAGTAAGGTAAATTATTTTTTTGAATAACTCGTATTTATTAGGGAGTACTCGAGTATACGCTATTTCAGCAAGAAACTTCATGCTCCTCTAATCAATTATGCGAAGAAAATAAAAAGATGGCTAAAGAAAACAAATATTTACTTGAACTGGTACTTGAACAATTAGTAGCACTTTAAAATTCCCTTTTAATCCCTAATTACACCATTTTTAGAACGATAGTTTACGTTCAACAATTACTGGTCTCAAAACACAAATCAATTTTACCGGTAAAGTAAGTAATTAGTAAAAGTAAATTTTAATTTTCCACCTTATCAATTGATTAATACATTTTAACCTTTTGGATAATGTTTAATTTGAAGTTTCGATTTCTCAGGTAACATCAGAAGAAGTCATCAAACTGAACAAAACCATAGATGTTCTTCAAAGCACGCTAGAAAGAAGCAGAGCTTTGCGAGAAGAAGAAGAAAAGGTTTGTACAATTTTGTAAAATAATGAATTTATATTTTTATATAACTTATATTTTAAGAACCAAAGTGAACAAACGACAATGCAATGTAGAAAAGTGGAGGAATTAGAGAGTTGTATTTGCGAATTGCAGGAACAATTACAGGTATATTCTTCTCTATAATTTATTATTTCAGTAATGGTATGATTTGTAAATTTTTAGATCAGTCAAAGTGAATGTTGTACGTTAATTGGTAGAATTAACGAATTAGAATGTTCTCAAAATGCAAGGTGTGAAATTCCTAAGGTAATAATCAGATTAGAATTGAAAATAATTCGCATTTTGCATTTGAATCGTTTCCTAGAGATGTTTGATGCTTTAGTAACGCTTTTGTATCACGGAGAAACAATATTTTTATGAAAATTAAAGTTGATTAATTAATTTTAGACGTCCGACGTTAGTGAATTGGAAACCAAAGTAAAGGAACTGGAGGCTTCCATTTTCAATTTACAATCGAAGGGAGGAAAGGTTAGTTAATTTAATTTTCTCAATAAAATTATCATAAATACAAAATACAGTGTGTTCCTGGAAGAAGTTGACGAGAGGAAGAAAATCTTGATTTCTAATTTTATGAGGAAAAGTCATTTTTTTATAAAAAAGACCCGATTACCAATAAAATAAGTTGGTCGTATTGAAATCTGAAATCAGATGTACAGGGTGTCCCTGAAGTGAAAAAACGTTAAAATGAATCAAGAGAGAAGTAAAAATAAAATATTCTCAGAGCAAAATTTTATAAAACAAGTTGTTTTCATTAATATTTATACCTTAAAAGGACTAAAAAAGAAAATTATGATAGAAACTGTAGCTCGAAAACTAAGAGGTTTGGGACATATATTGATATAAACTTTTCTTCATAAAATCATCCAACTATTCACATCCTGAAGTATCGGCACTCAATTGATTAACACCCTGTATATATTTTCTTATTTCAGTTGTGTAAAGTATGCAAACAAAGCATGAAAGTCGGCTTCATCGGAAACTCGGAGGTAAACACACTTATTTTTTTATTTACTACATTTCTCACAAATACACGAAAATATTCGTTGGTTAGGTTATTTTGGTGTCATTCAATGCGCGTAAAAACTCGCTTCTTTCATCCCGCCCCGATCTAAATATAAACCGAAAGTCAATGGTTCTATTTCGGGAGCGCATTCGGAATGCACTATTTAACCAATTTAATAGTTTCTCGAAATATTTCAGGTTCAAACCGACGCGCAGGAACCCGCCGGACAGGAATTAGAATCGGTAATAGAGAGAACGTTACGCGAGCGGAGCGATTGAAGTCATTGTGCTCGAATTTAATTTAATTTCCAGCTGTTGTGCCGAGACGAGCTGATCAAATGCCAGAGTTGTACGTTGCAGAAAATGCAGCAGGAATTGGAGCGGCTCTGTCAATCGGAGAAGGAATTGTTGCAGGAGAAACGGACGATTTGCAGCGAGAATTGCTCGTTACAAGACAAAATCGCGATGTTGGAGAAGAAGTTGATGGAGAATAACGCCGTTGAAGAGGAGGTAAGAGAAACAATATTCTTTGTAATGTATAGATGTTTAAATAGCTGCTTAAAATCGAAACGAAAAATTACTATGCAAATTGACTATTTCATTATTTTATAATGGATTTTTAAGTTTCCAAGAGCAAAATGGATTTTCCTGCCGGAGCCTAAATTGGCACCCTTTAGGCATTATTTAATGGATGAATTAATGGGGAAATTTGTTTTAGTTGATGAATAAGGAGAAGATAATCAAAAAACAGAGGGAAGCGTTGAGTTTGCTGCAGAAGGAAGTGGAAGGATTGAGGAGGAAAGAGGCGGAAGTGAGAGATGAGTGCGAGAACCGTTGTAGGAGTGTGGAACAATTTAGAGTGAAAATTAACGAATTAGAAGAGGCTCTTCGTAATGCGGAGACGCGCGGGGATAATTTACAAACAGCTGTAAGTTTCTGTTTGATTTGATTTTCCATAGAATATTTGCTTCCTAAAATTATAGCATTTTGTATGCTCTTGCTTCTTGAATACTCTGCCCTTTTAGATTTTTAGATTTTTAGATTTTTATTCATAACATTATTAATATCATTTTATGAATGTATTTTTCCCTTATCTAGCGAGCAATCTATATTTTTCAATCTTTGCGAGCTTTTTTGCAAAATTGCTTGTACCGGTAACAATCAATCGTATTTACAGATTTGTTGTGGAAGATCAAAAAAAGTGTGCTGTAAAAATTCAAAAAAATGCAATATCTGGAAGCCCTGATATGTAACTAATTTTATTAATTTACTAATTTTATTTTAAATGCGTTCATATATCAAATAAAGCTTAAATATTTAGGTATTGATTTATTTAAAAAGAAATATGTATCTGTTAACCAGGTGGATTTGTACACGAATACTTTAAATGTACTGGAAGCATCAGAAGAAAAGCATAAATTAGAAGTGAGTATTTTTTTTTAAATATACCGAGTGAATTTAATCAGTAATTACTTTTTTCCTAAATAACTCAAAAACTTAATGATAAAAATTGAAGAAACAATAATTAATTGTAGAGATATTTAAGTAGGAGTAGGAGAAAAGTGGTTCCGGATCGCATTGAGAGAGTTCCTTAACATCGATATTATCTAATAAAAATAAAATTTGCGTTTAGTTGGATCATCAGCGTACGACCATAGCCAATCTTCAGGAAGTGCTGATCGCAACGAAGCACGAATTGGAAGAGTACAAGCACAAGTACGATGATAATGTGAGTCCCGGTTGGACGTCGTGGTTTGGATTGTCAGAACCTAAATCGTCGTCTACAAATAATAATCAGAAACCACAGAAACCGGTGCATGATATTTGATATTAACTCGAGTGGTTGTTTAAAGCGTTTTTAATCGAAAGTTTCCTTATCGGTAATCTTCAAAAAATGCATTTATAGTGTTAAATCTGTGACTGAAGGCGATTGGCTTAGCATTCAAACATTTTTGTTCACAGCTGATTTTATCGTGATATATCTTAGCAAATGTATCAAGGCAGTTGGAATAATTAAGAAGTTGTTGTAGATAGGCTATGGTAAAATTTAAAGATAGGAAAGGGTAGTTAATGAGAGCTCAATTGATACTCATCAAGGAGTAAAGATAGTAAGATTTCCAGTGGCGTTGTTGATATACACAGGTGCAAATTTGTACGCAAAATAGTGAACAATTCATAGTGGGTTCGTGTAATTAAATTGTAAACCCAGGAAAATAACTTATTCTTCGCCACTGAATCAAAGTTTGTACTGCGCTGTAGTTCTCAGATGGGAAGAGACGGGTCTCTCCTTTGCTTTGTCCATTTTTATTCCAAAATTTCTGCATCTAATGCGATTTTCAACTGCCAAGCTACAATTGGTGAGATATACTAGTACTTATTTTTTGAGATTTTGAGGTGTTACCTACCATATACATATTTATGGTCAATAAAATATATTTTATTGAACAATTTTGATTTTATTTTATTTTATTAATAATTGTTATTTTATTTAAAATATATTTTATTGACCCATTTTAATATTGGCTACATGAACCATACAGTGTATAGCTTGAAGCATTCGAATGTATATACTTATTTAATTTGCTGTTTATCTTACATTATTTATTTAATTTATTTAACTTTTACAATATTTTAATGGCAATAATACGAATGAAAGTGCAATCAAAATTTTTCTGAACACTTATTAAAAGTCATACAAATGCATGATATTTACATATATTTTACTATATTTGTTCATCAATATTATTTCACCAACGGTCGCTTTTTAATTACAATTTAGCTGTTTTATACTTAATTTTTATTCTACATGATGAGAGTTTTAACTTTACTCTATTAAAGGCTTATTTATACTATTTTATTGCACTTTTTCCTGACATATAAACTTTTCCTTTGCTCTTGTGTACAGAATTTGAATTAATTAGCGTGTATTTTATCTGCATGACACCTGCGTTTCGTGAATTTGCATGTAAGTTACAAATTAAACCGTATTTTTAAGCCTCTATCAATAATATTATTTTATAGATGGAAGAGCACAAAATAATAATAAATCAACTAACTCAGGTTATCGCCAGTAATGAGAGTGAAAAGGCCGATTTGAAATGTGAAGTATGTTCCTATTATGTTACGTCATTGTATAGATAACTCTATTAATATTGCAGCTTCTTGAAGTATCCCAAAAATACGAAAAATTGCGGGAAATCAACTTTGGAACGGAAATCGAGCACTGCCACAGCCTCCAAGACGTTCAAGTATTAGACAATCAACTGTATAAGTATCAAAGTTTGTTGAAATTCAAAGAGGTAACGTCGCTGTAGTTCATATGTCGCTTTCGCTTGTAGTTTAAGCATTAATTGAAATTTTCAAACCGAGTAGTTCGAATGGCTATTGTATGTACTTGCTTCGTTTATACTTGCAGGAAGAGCTGAACATTTGTAAATGCAATCTGAAGAAAATGCTGAAGCAGAAGAAAAACTTCGAGAGACTGATTGAGTATTTTCGAACGGAAATGATCGCAGTCTCGCAGCAGCTTCAAAACCTACAAGATGTTATGGTAAGTTACTTTTAGTTCATTCAAACTACCACAATTCATAATTAGCCCCTGCTCTCTGCAACTTCTTTAAAATTCCCACTGTCAAGGTACATTTAGTGAATAATGAAAAATTTATTTCCTCAGAATATTTCCCACGAAACGACGCAGCTGGAAGTCTGCAGGCTGACGGAATCCTTGATGAGAGCGAAAGAAATTAACCAGAAATTGTTCTCTCAACTCTCCGCTACCGAGCAGAAGCTCACCCTGCAAGACCGCAGGAACCAGTTCAACCAGTCCAAAATAATGGAACTGGAGAGAACGATTTGCGAAAAGGAGGTCAATCTGCTGAAGCATTCCGAAATCTTAAACACCATAAAGAACAACTTGCACTTATCTTTACAAGAGAACAGCAATCTGAAGGACACCATAAAGTCGCTGAATCAGACGGTTTTGGAGTTCGAAGAAGTTATAAAACAATACGAAAGCGAATCCTTCCTGACTAAAGAAAAAACGTCGGCTTGTAAAACTCAAATAGACATTTGCAAGAACAAATTGCTGGAATTGAACGCCGTATTCGAGCAGAAAACGAGGGAGTTTTGTTCGCTTGAATGCGCCTACAATCAGCAACACAAATCCCTGAAAACCTGCCAAATGGAGCTGAATCGGGTGAAAGAAAAGGAAAAAACGAAGAAACAAAGTTTACAAAGGACCATCGAGCAGCTCAAGGACCAACTATCGAAAGCCCAAGAAGACAACAAACGGATTAGCGATGATTCCAATGCCTTGAAGGTGGAGTTCAATAGGAAAACCTGCGAATGCTTGACCAAAGAAGCGGAATTGGATCAGTACAGAAAAGTAACTGAAGATTTGAAATTAACAGTGAGTAAACATTTGGATTAGTTTGTTTGTTTTATTCATTAGTAATGTTTCAGCTGGATAATATAAATAAAAGTCTGAATGGAAGAAGCAGCGAAGATGATACAAGCCTATCATCGAACTGCAAATGCGATTTTAATTATTACCTGGAAATAATTGCATCTTTGAAACTGGCGGTAATTAAACTATTACCCTTCTATACTAGAAAGGTTTTCGTTGATTTTAGATAATTTTTAACAACATATTCATGCAGGTAACACAGCTGCTGAGGAAACTATCAGATTCGTACGCTCACAACGAGGACCTGAAGAAACAACTGGACCACCAGCAGCACCAATTAACAGAGGCGATGAAAAACCACGCGGACAAAGACAGGAAATTCAACGAAATCAAACAGAAATTCGTCGAAGTGGTAGAGCACACCCAAATCGAAGAGCAACGGTACATCGAAACGCTCAGAACGTCCCAAAGAGAAATCCACGCACTCAGGCAAGATCTGGACGAGAGGCTTAAGCAAATCAACGAGATGAACAATACCGGCCAAGAGACGAGATGTAATTGTACTGGTATCGATAAAGAAAACGCCTGCCTCAAGGATCAGTTGAGTCGTTTGATGAAGCAACAACACGCAGAAAGCGCAGAGGTTAGTGCCAATAAAATCTTCAACTCCATCCAGGGACACACTGTATACCCTTGAAATGGCCTTGTACAAGCCTTTTCAACGGTTCTCTATCGTACATTTCAGAATGAGAACCTTCGGACGCAAATTGACATCGTCGAAGTGAAAATATCAACGTTGGAAGAATCGAATCGTTCGTTGAAAACCAAAATGGAGCAGTATTCGTCGGATATGGAGAGACTGAACGGGGAAAAGGAGTGTTTGCACCGGAAAAACGAGGAGTTGCTCGGCGAGCTGAAATCGTTGAGCGCCTCGTTCGAATCGGCCACCAGCCAAAAAAGGTACAAAGAGGAGACGATTAGGGCGCTAGAGGACCAATTGAACGAAGTGAAAATTTCCCGAGACGAGATTTGCTTCGAGAGTAAAAACGCGTTGAATTATTTCAAGCGTTGGTTGCAGGAACAAAATAGAATCAACAAGCACGTGGTAGCGAAAGAGAGGAATTATTGCAAAACCATCGATATTTTGAAACATCAAATCGAGTATGTTCTGTTCGGTTTTAAGAGGGCTTGCTTTTTACTAACAAACCTCAATCGTACTAACTTTTTGAAGTTCCTCACCTCTAGCCGACCTGCAGAATTAATCTTGTTAATTAAAAAAAGTATTTGAGAGGTTTTCTATAATTTAATTTTTAGGCAAGGACAATACCATCGCTCGGCTCGTTCCAAAGATATGTCGCCTCTGATTTGCGAGGCTTCCTGCAGTTTGGGATCCCAAGGCAACGAGTCAGTGTACAGTGGAAGTCCGCCGATAAGCCCCAATCCCCAAGAGGCTGATGATTCCGAGTTTTTCACGATCAGTTGCAAGGTAATTATATTATTTTGCTGTGGGATACGAGGGTATTCAAATACTTCAACTCGGATGGTTGATGTAATTTGTTTCAGAATGATGATTGGGACACGGATGAAGATGATGGAGAAGGATACGTAGCTCAGATAGAGCACTTAACAAAAGTGATGAAGAAAACGAATGAAAAATGGAAGGAAAAGAGCAAAAAGTAAATGTGTAAATATTTCTTACCTGTCTTATGAACAAAAAGTAAGTTCGCCCCGGCCAATTATTTTAGATTTTTTTTAATATATACTTATTTTTAAGATATTTTGTATATGGCTTTAACAAATTACTCAATGATATTGTATTGTACTTTTTATGAAATAATTTTTTATAAAATATCTAGTAATATATTTACACAGTATTTATGCTATATCGTTTAAATAGTGGTAATAGCCTGCACTTGAATCGTTTGATTATCTACAGTACTGAAAAAACAATTTACAAATTAGTTACTTACTACAACTATAAAAAATAATCTTACATGAGTTCCGGTAACGTGACATGCACGGGTTCCACTTTAACCACTTCCGCTTTGGAAACGTGCGTAGCCAAATGCTGTTGCAAAGAGCTCGATTGCGAAAAGTTCCTGCTGCATATCTTGCAAGAGAACGGCTTATCACCCGTATGCGACCGCATGTGCACCTTCAAGCTGCTGGAACTGGCGAACCTGCAAACACATTTTATCTTTAATATACACGGACTCGAAAGTTCATTTTCATCGCTCACTTCTTATCACAGCATTCGCAAGCGTGCGGTTTCTCCCCGGTGTGCGTCCTCATGTGCCCGGCGAGCAGGCCGGAGCTGCTGAACCCCTTATTACACACCACGCATATATGGGGCTTCTCTCCCGTATGGGACCTGTTATGGATAATAAGCGTTTCCTGTCGGCTGAACGACTTGTGGCACACCTGACACGTGTAGGGTTTCTCTCCGGTATGGGTGTGTTGGTGGATATTTAGAGTACTCGAAGCTGCGAAGGCCTTGCCGCACGTCCCGCATACGTAAGGCCGAGCGCCCGTGTGGGTGCGCATGTGAATACCCACGTAGCCCGATTGCGTGAACCTAAAAAAATCGTTTCGTGCTCAAATGAGTAGGTTCCAATTTAAGGGGTGATTCTTTGGTTAAAATTAAGGTTGGTACAAGCATAGATATACACCGTTGGAAATTTAATTTCGCATAATAGGGAAATCAATGTTAAATTCTTAACCGGCTGAAATCCAGTCTACCAGTACACATTTCAATACAACGTCGCGATCAATTCTAATAAATTTAATTGTTCTACTGGACCGCACGCCGCGATTTGTAGAATTACAAAGTTATTTGTGTTAAGTATGAGGTACAAAATTATTTAGAAACTAATATTTTTTTGCGATATTTAAAAAAAATAAGTGTATCGGTAGGTACAGTTTTGAAAGAGCAACAAATCTTGTTGAAATAAGGGAAAAAATAATTCAATTTTCTGCTAGAATCCTCACCTCAGCTCGGTAATATGAGATGACATCTGCATGACAGGTTTGGCTATTGTTTAGCAGAAAGCGGTGGACTATTTTTTAGAGTTCTTTTATTTTCTATTTTAAAATAATCTTTAAGTTTATTTTTGGAGTTTCCTTGTAATTATTTTCTTAGAATTTGCTTTCTTTTTCAAGCCATTGTGGCAAAAAGGCATATATCTACATAATTCTATTTTAATATTAGTGATATTTGTTCAATAAATTATCGTTTAAAAATTCTCATTTCTTTTTAATCGACTTGACGTTCACCCATCCGAACCCGTTTTGATACTGTCGAAGTGTCGAAACCATCGAAATTATTTGATTTTTAATCTAACCAAACCAAATCGCGGTGTGAAGTTCAGTAGAACAATTAAATTTATTAGAATTGATCGCGACGTTTTATTGAAATGTATACTGGTAGACTGGATTTCAGCAGGCTAAGAATTTAACATTGATTTCCCTATTATGCGCGAATTATTTTCCAACGGTGTATAACTAAAATATGGTGGGTTCTCTAGCTGTGAAGCTTATACCTTTTGTTGCAAATGGGGCACTCGTAGGGCTTTTCGCCGGTGTGTACTCGAAGGTGCTTGTCCAGATTACAAATTTGCGTGAAACCTTTATTGCACACTTCGCAAACAAACGGTCTTTCGCCTGTGTGAGAGCTAATGTGAATTCTCAAACTCCTCGCCTAAAATGCGCAGAATAATACAAATTAATTGCCACGAAGAGACTAAAATAATTTACTTCTACGTATTGCTTTCCGCAATATTCGCACGACAACAACTTGTGGCCCGTGTGGTATTTCATGTGTTTGGATAAACTGGAGGCCCATTTGAAGGCTCTGCCGCACACGGAACACAAATGCGGTTTGCCCTTGATGTTTCTCAACTCTCCCGTGTGCTTTTTCTTGTGCTTGCTCAAGTTGGAGCTCTCCGCGAACGACATGTCGCACTGGTCGCACTGGTGGGGCTTCTGCTCCAGGTGGATTTTGAGGTGGCGCTTCAAAATCCGCGCCTCGCTGAAGGCCTTCAGGCATATCTGGCATTCGTAGTTGAGTTCTTTCGGGTGAGACATCATGTGCACCTACAACAATGTATTTATTTCGAGAAAGTTGCTGTTAATAGAAAGTGTACTTTGAGATCGACTTTCAACGCGAACGAAAGGTCGCATTTCGTGCAGGGATATTTGAGTCTGTTATCGCCTTCTGTGAGTTTGCTATCGCTGTCGAATCGTACTACAATTCTATCAGTAATGTCCTCGGTGCCATTATCTGTTAAGGAACTCGTCTCCTCGATTGTGTATAAACCTTCCTTCACCTAAAATTAAGAAATTTACTCTACAATGCACATACAAGGGGTATGGTGAAAAGTTCTCGGACTGACAATGAAAGATCGCGATTTTCAGTTGAAAATTACATCATTATTCTTATTATATAACTCAAAATCTGTAGTTCAAGACGTTCTAAATGATTCTGGAGCGTTCTAAATGGTTCTAGATAGTACTAAATGATTCTGGAGAGTTCTAAATGATTTTAGACAATTTTAAATGAGTTAAAATGATTCTAAATGATGCTGGAGCGTTCTAAATGACTATGGAGTGTTCTAAAATAAAGGCTTTGAAGCGTTCTAAATGAATTTAGACAGTTCTAAATGCTTCTGGAGCGTTCTAAATGATTTTAGACAGTTCTAAATGATTCTAGAGCGTCCTAAATGACTATGGAGCGTTCTAAATGGATTTAGACATTTTAGACGGTTCTAAATGCATCTGGAGCGTTCTGAAAGGTTCTAGTAAGTTCTAAATGATTCTAGATGGTTCTAAACGATTCTAGAATTAATTATAAATGCTCAAAAGAGAAAACAAACATTTTTGCTGAGTCTATCAGGCCGAGAACTTTTCACCCTACCCTCGTACTGCAATATGTCTATTACATCTACGATTGCATTATAAAATCTACAGAACATGAACAATAATGGTGTAGACTTTATAATTTGAAACGGTATGATGAATACTTAGTACTAACGTCTAATTGTTCCTCTGAGTATGTAACAAACTCAGGAATATCCTGTTCGATGGTGATGACAGTTCCTATGTGCTCGGAAAATTGCAGTTGTTCTTGCAGCTCCTGCTTGGCCTGTTCTCTTTGTTTTTCAGCTATCGTTTCGGCTAGTTGTTGCTAAAATTATAAAGTTACATAAGTACTTCCGTACAAGCTCCAGTTAATTAAAGCACTTCCTTGAGGGATTCTTAAGGGGTACGAAAAGTATTATTCTTAAGGAAACCTCAATGAATTGATGAGATACAGGGTTAGGTAAATGACGTGTACAGGGGTGGTACAAAAAGATATGCACCTGAAATTCCTGTGAGAGGTACTGCCGTAAAATATTATCCGATTTTTCGCATTGCTGCTTGAACGTGTAGGCCCTGCTGCATTGCAGGACGCACTGCACGCACATGAGATGTGGATACCCATCGTTTTCAGCTACCTAAAATTTAAAATATTTTTAAATATTTCATATATTTTCAATGCTATTTTTTGGCAACATGTTTAGTGTAGTAAGAGGCTATTTCTACGGGAAGTGAAGCTACAACAAACTTATATCACTCTGTATAAAAATCTAATCTAATTGAAGAAACTACAATTAATCATTTATTGTGGGTGTGTGTAGGTGTGCACTAGGCACTTAAAATAGTTTTAACTATAATAAATGTACATATAAAAATTTCTATGAATTGTTAGTAAAAAAACCCTAACAAAATAAAGAATCCTTTGTGAAAATTTGCCTATGGTAGAATTGACCATCAATTATAAAACTATTATAATAAAACCGGTGATGATAAATCCCTGGAAAAGGTGTTGCATAAGTAAACAATACAAAACAATAATCACCTGAATAGAAGCGAATGAATTGAGCATTTCGTCGAGACAAGCGCCAAATAAGGGCCTCATGTCTCCCTTTTCGGTGAGGCAGGCCCTGCATATTTTGTCGATCTGCAGGGGAGCGGTCAAGTACATGCTCATGTCCATTTTTTCCGAATTTATCAAATCGGGTTCGCGAGCCACGGAAAACACGGACGTTTCTAGCGAAAATCGAACGTAAGTCTTTACGTTATCGCGAACACAAATCACAACACAACACAGAGGAATGTCAATATTGTCAATGTCAGAAAGATGGCAACGAAGAATGACGACGCGAAATACGTCGTTGGCTCTACGCGTTGAGAAACGGGTGAGAGACGGTCGAACGTAGTGCGCAGCTTGGGCACGATTGAGATCGGCTAATTCGAATGGCGGGAAATTTGAATTTTATACCAATTCCAATCAATTTATATTGTAACTAATTTTGTACCCAATCGGAAGAAGTTGCGGGCGAAAAGGAAAGAAATATGGAACAGTTTAGTGAAGAATTATATCTGAAATATTTCGAAAAAATCCGTTTTATTTTTCAGTGTTTATCTTTTTCTTCTGCAGTTATAAAGGTTTTATTGATAATAATGCATTTAACAGCGTGATAAATGATAATATAAGAATGTTAAATACATAGATAAAATAGATAAAAATTTGCTATGGATAAAGCTACTGTGTTTTTTTGAGATATAAATAAGAGTATTTTTAAAGAAAATTTTTATTTTGAATTTTAAATCAATGCGATTTAAACCATATAAGAGCAATATAAAAGAATATGTATTGAAATACCCAAGAAACATGGGTAGGGTTTCTTGGGTTCTCGTTATCTTACCCTACCCATATTCTTCAGATAATTAATGGAATCAAGTGGATTTCGAAAAAACGAACGGATTGTGATTGTTAATATTATTACTATTTTGTAAGCTCGTTTTAGAATAAGGTGATCATATTTATCGATTTCGTTTGCGCGGGATTTATGAATAGATTTATTTATAAAGGGTGTTGCAATGGTAAATAATCGTTAGGACTTTCAGAATTTAATTTAATGGGTTTTCCCGATATCTACGATCGGGTAGAGCCTAGAGGTTAATAAAACAAATCCGTGTGGAAAAACCAACATTGTTGCAAAAAGATAAATCTAAATATGTAGATTACAAATAATCTTGCGTATAATTGTTATACAAAGTGGTCCTGAATTAAGTGCCTACCCTAATTTCAAGAGGATTTTAGATGGAGGAGAGAACTCTGTTTAGTACTTTTCTTGTTCATGAGTTCACGAGCCTCGTGATCTCTTTTAAATTTAATAAATAAATACTAAACATACAAAATAACATTTTGACCTCTCTCATCGACAAACTGATTCATTTATAAGCCATGAACTCCGGTCTTCAGTGACCATATTTATAAGCTAGTCGGTGAAGAAGAAATCGTCAAGAAGCGCGCAAAAATGCTGGACTTTTCAAAATCAATTTTGCCATTTTTGTTACTTGGCTATTGCATTTTGACAAGACATTGTTGCATGACCGATTTCTATAAAGAGTACAACGATTTCGTTGAAGGAATGTATGGGTGTAAATGTGTACCTTATTATTTGTGTAGTGCTGGCAATACAATTATAACAAGTGGAAACCATTTGATAAACCCAAGGTTAGATACACCTATTTTAAATTTACTTACGCGACTTTTACTTGTTAATTCAAATTGCACAAAGTGTCTCATCGGGCATTAAATAATCCAATAATTTCAGGGAAACGGAACCTAGACGAATTCACTGTAAAGGATACAGCAAAGAAATGAAGGTGTGCTGCGGATCGGGAGGCAACAATAACCCTAGTACCTCTGTATACAAGAATCCTACAGACAACATAACAACAAAACAACACCACATAAATAAACTCAAATGAAGTTTCTGTAATCGGCGATCGTTTATGTGAAGAATGATACTTTAAATAATAAGTAAATTTATTGAACTAGGTGTATATGTATGGTGATAAAATTTTTGTGCAAGGGTTTTACATTTTACAAAAAATCCTATAGAGAATTCCAGAATAAAAAAATGTCTAGGATATTTTAGATTATCATAGATATATCTTTATATCTAGGATAATAGTATACAAATCATAATATTACACATTTAGTGTCATTAAAAGAAAAAAAATCATAAGGTTATTCTTTCAATTGACAACTTTTTTAAGAGTTCTCTTCGACTTTTCCTAGTACTTACCTAATGTTTAATGTTTGAATTCATTTGGAAGCATATTGAATACTTTTATTGTCACATACCTGTACTTTTTTTTACCTACTATATAGTAGGTACTGAGATATCTCACATACCTAAACTGCTTAGTTTATTGTAATCCAATAAAATAGATTTATAGTAGTACAACTTTCTTACTAAAAGATTGAATTACTCTTATACGTAGTCTACTATAATAAAAACCGCCAAACTTTAGAAGGTTTTCGAAAAGTAGATAGTTTCTCTATTTTACATTTCATAGTTTAAGTTTTTTTAATGTTTTTTTCCAAAAAGATGTAAATATCACTTTTATTCGCATAGCTACATTAATTTTGAATTTGTACAACGCCGTTCATTTCTGCACCCTGTATAAAATCTTGCATAGAAGCACTTTACCTATACTTGTTTACCTTACCTATAGTTTGGTGCTTTTTTATGGTGTACCAAAAACGTTATCCCGATATGAATGAAGCGCTGATATTCAACAGGTCAACGAACAAACTTTGTTGTACATCAATAAAATTAGAAGTTGTATATCAAGGAATAATATTGAAACAACGAAAATTACTTATAATTTATCGCTTTTATTAGGTAGAAACTAAACTATAAACTTATACGAATCAGTCAGAAAGGTGCTAATTTAAATTAATGAAAAATATAACAAAACCTACATACTAGAAAATGCATACAATATGCTAATACAAAATGGATGAAATAAGCAAAAAAATAAGAAAAAATCTATTTCTTATCTCCAGCATCATTCTTCTTCTCGACAGGCCTGGCCGCCGCCCCGGTCTGCGTAATGGGAATGTTCTTGCACTCCACCTGCTCGCTATCCAACTTCGGGGCCGTGATGCACAGCACCCCGTCCGAGGAAAGCTTCGACTCTATCTGGGCCACGTCGTAGCTCTTCGGCAGCGTGTACCGCCTGATGAAGTGCCTGTAGATATGGCCGTGCTCGTCCTCCTTCTCCTCGTGCTTGCCCTCGATGGTGACGGTGTTCTCGCCGGTCAGCTTCACGGTGATCTCCTCGGGCTTGAACTGCTGCACGTCCAGGTTCGCCTCGAACCGGTCCTTGCCGTAGGTGACCGTCGAGCCGGTGTCCTGCTGCGAGGCGGTGGACTTCCAGTTGCGCAGGTAGCCGGCCGGGCACCGGAGCACCATCTTCGGCACGTCGACGGGCTGCAGGAGGTCCTCCGGGTCGAGCACCATGCCGAAGTGCTGGTCCATGATGCGCGAGGGGCGCATGTAGTAGGAGCCGCTCAGAAGGGAGTCGCCCAGCAAATATGGAAGCAGTGACATTTTTTTTCTTTCGCTGATAATTGATAATACAATTACACTTTAGCACTTGGTGAGTTTGCTCTGTCGCTTGTCGCGTTTGGAATTGAACTTGCCGCGTTGTGGAGCTCGCTGGGTATTTATATGAAATCGGAAGTATTCGAGACGATTCCGGTAGAATCGATAATTTTCTGGCCAATGGCAGAGCGAGAATCGGTTTCTAGAACCGTCGCGACGTCGGGAAACTTCGAGAACGGACGATTCGAAAAGGTTTTGCGGTGTTGCACGGTGTAATTAATTTTACGTATTTTGGAGATCTTATTAGTGTATTATCGAATTTGTTGCATGTTGCATTTTTTAATTAAATAATAGGAATCTCTCATTTACTTACTTTGCAATTCTTGGGCTTTGGAGTTCCTTTTAGGCACATACCCACACGACATTATATTTTTTAATATTTTCTGGATATGGTCAATTAATATGGTGTAAGAGAATAATAATTAAGTAAAATATATGTAGGTATTCAACAATTTAACAATAAAAGGAATATTTTAATACAGAATTTTATTATAGAATGCAAAAATTAGTAGTCTCATCATTTATTCCAAGAAAATTAGATTTTTGATAAATGTCACTGTCAATTTGCCATCTATCAATTAAGCATTTTAAAAAAGGCCTACTTCATAGAGAAAGAGGGTTGTCTATGGTCAACTCTAACAAAATTTACATATTCTTAATAATATTCCGAAATTATCACATCGAATATAAAAAATTAATTTTTAAATTATCAGTACACATACATAATTTATCAAGCAGTCATCATATTATAAAGGCGTTTGCATCAAGTAGCTATAATAGCATTTTAGTATAATGGCATTATTTAAAACAAGCTCTACTTTGGCAAATGTTAATCACTATTTAAAAATCCCACTAGAAACATCGATTCAAGCATCGAATAGTTCTCGAACAAATCGGAATTGTTCTCGAAACTCTCGAATCGATTCGAATCTTCCTCGACCAATCACCGTATTCCGCAATTGGTCCACCAATCACAACACGTTTCTAGAAAATACCAGATGATCTGTCAAATTCTAGCAAACTCTTGACATTTCTCGAACGTAAACAGAACATTCCGAAAACTATAAAATGGAAACATTTGATATTTCTTTACCAGTATCATTTTGTACTAACAAGAGCACAGTTCCAGTCAGAAATAAACGTTGATTAATTCATACTCAGTTAAAGAAGTGAATAAGAAAATGTTTGTATTACCAGTGAACAGAGCCCACGAGCATCAAAATCGTCGCGAATCCTCCAGAAGGGAGATGTTGGAGGATCTCATTCATCCTCTGGCAGTGTTAAACAGCCTACTAGAAACTCCTGAATACTGCAACAAAATGAGAAACCGCAACGGAGTTCTCCAACAACAACAACCAATCGCTTCTGAAGTAACCATCGACAAAGACAAATTCCAAGCCAGCTTCGACGTCCAGCACTTCAAACCGGAGGAAGTCGTCGTTAAAATCACCGGAGACAACGCCATAACCGTCGAAGCCAAGCACGAGGAGCGGCAGGACGAGCACGGGAGGATATTCAGGCACTTCGTTAGGAAGTACGTGCTGCCCAAGAACTGCGATGCAGCACGACTGGAATCCAGGTTGTCCTCTGATGGGGTGCTCAGCATCACGGCACCTACCGTAGGTGATAAGGCAGAGCCCAAGTCCATTCCTATCCAGGTAACCGGCAAGCCTGTGAAGTTGGCTGAGGAGAAACAAACAGAGAGCGTGGCAGATAAACCGGCTAGCCAGTAAAATGTGGCTACTACAGTATTTATTAATTTTATTTATTTATTATTGCGTTGTGTAGAGTATGCATGAAGAGTGCAAGACGAAGAGTATGTTATTAGTTTAGTTATTTAAGATTTTTTTGTAATGTAATTGAAAAATGAAATAAAAATTTTAATTTACTGAATTTTGTTGTATTGCCTTTTGACATATTTACTACATCCCTTGATTTTAATACAATGTCATATGTCACTCCATCATGGACAGGTGATAGATGATTTACCAAAAGACATTCGGGAATTTAAGAGAATCTAGAAGGCCTAAAGTGTACAGTTTATTTTGCATATAATATAAAGTAAATTTTACAGTATCAAAACACATACACAAAAGGAATATGCGTTAATCAATAAGATCTTCTTGAAACACTCTGTTATTTTTCGTCACAGGCACTGGAGGTGGCGTTATTAAATGACCATATACAGGCACCTAAAATTTAATAAATCAATAAAATCATTTCAATAAATTATTTCAGGATAATCAGAAAAAATATCACGATATGATCTTGTGAGCTTTTGCTTGTGCTGTATTTCAGATATAAAAATTCAGCATGTCTAGTAATGTGTCCAAAATATCCGTTCTAAATGTTTCTGGAGCGTTCTAAATTGTTCTAGATAGTTCTAGATAGTTCTAAATTATTCTGTAGCGCAGTAAAAGGTTCTATGTAGTTCTAAATGTTTCTGAAGCAATCTAAATATAGTTCTAGACAGTTCTCAATGTTTCAGGAGCTTTCTATTGATTGTTCTAGACAATTCACAATGTTTCAGGAATTTTCTAGATTGTTCTATAGAGTTCGATCAAAATGTTTCTGGAGCTTTCTAGATTGTTCTAGACAATTTCAAATAATTCTGGAGAGTTCTAAATGGCTTGTTTCCTATTGTTGTCGTTCATGTCACATTTAATCTTCAAATTACTCTTATCTAGAGTGATACAAGGCTAATATGAAATGTAGTCTACTAATTGAAGTGATAGAAGTGGTATGTGACAAAACTTACGTAAAGGAAGTCCGTATTGAATTTAACCGATTTGGGCCTGGTGTATCGTTTAGGGATAGCATAATGATGCCCTAGATAGGGCGGATTCAGCGCCGTACCGTAAATTTTAGTGGCGTCAACTTTGATCCTTTCCTTCTTCTGCAGCTGCTTGTACTGCTTGATGGTCAAACGTTTAGGTAGACTACCACCCATCAGTACCTGTACAATCAAGAAAATGATGATAGTTGTTCGATACATACAAGCCCAAATTTCTTCGATTTTCAAAAATAAAACTATTTAGGAGTATAAAACGTTACCCTTAATGTAGTGGAACTCGCCACTCTATTCACATCGGGAGGCACGGCGAATTGCGTAGTTTCCGGATCGACCGGGCAATTCGGATTCAGCGGTTTCCATTGCTTGAATGTACCGAGCGTTTGCAAATACCTACCGCCTATCGTCCACATTCGGCAACTGAAATCCGCGCTGCAGCTGCCAATCCGACGAATTTTCTACGTTACCGGGCGATTTACAAGCGAAATTGCCATACGAACCTCACGATGATTTCGCACTTGTCGATGTAAGTGAGCCCGGAGACGGGCATAAAGTGACCCTTGTAGCTGTTCAGCAACACCGGGAACGGTTGCCGCTTGATCATCCTCTGCGCTCGCCCCAGGATCCTGTCGCCCCACATGAACGGGAACTTCAGCCGGTATTTCGGCATGCAAATGTGCTCCTTTTCGCTTTCGGGCACGCAGTAATTCTTCAGCAGGAACGTTTTGATGTAGCCACTGGTCGTTCCTGCGCGGAAATCATATAGATTATGCTGGGTGAGTCTCATGAGACCACAGATTTGCAGGGATGGTTAAAATTTGGTGATTATATCCAGCTTAGTTTTATTCTATTTTTCATCCTTAAGAAGTGGAGGCAAGCAGTGAAAGTTGCAAAATCCCTAATCACCACTTTAGAATACTTTAGCTATCTCCACTAACACCACTATTAACTATCAAATAATGTTCCTTATTGTACTCAAAAGGTTTTTGACTGAATTGAATCATTGTAGGTTCCCCCACATGTCTCTGTACTGCGTCGGTTCCTGCTTGAAAAACCCTGTATAGAGTAGAGATAATAATTACCCATAATAACGAACTCGTTATTTATATCTGAAGTCATCGTAATGACATAATCTCCCGCTTTGTGTATGGCCAGAAAAGAGGTAATGAACCCTCCAGCGTCCATGTGGTTCCACACTTGCACGTAGCCGTTTTCGAGCGCCACCAGCAAGGTTCCCGTCTAAAACACCACAAACGAGCCAAAAAATTCACCCCAAAGGGTTACTATTTGAAACCTTGCGGAGATTATATCCTACCTCTATATCACCGGTTTTCCTGGCGTTCAAGAACATCATGCAGTGCACCGCCAATTTTTTCAAACTGGTCACCTCGTCCGGCATGGCGACGGACGAGACCCTTCGAAATTTGAGGCTCCTGGAAGACACCGTGGACGGTCGATGGTCTGCGAAAAATGCATACTCTTTAGGTAAACATCTCGGCGTTAATAAGGGCCAACTGACATGCTATATCTCCGGTGGTGCTGGGTGATATTTCTGCGTGATCGTCCGCTTTGGCCTTCGATTGGAGCTGGTAGAAGAGCTTGATTCTGACGTGGGGGTTTTGAACGTTGAATTTCTTGTACGGCTGGCCCGTCTCCAATCTCCAGAGGATCATTTCCCCGTCGTAGGAGCCGGTTGCGAGGGACTCCGGCAGTCTGATTACCGCCGTGCATATGTCTTCTGCATGGCGAAGATCCCAATTTTTACTAAATAAAAAAATGCATAAAATTAACATACATATAGTGTGCCTCTCTGGATGGAATAGATGAGAAGAAAAAATCGTTTAATTTTACGAAGAAAATTCACGTAGAAATTCAGGTAAATCGTCCTGTATTTCTTAAAAGAAAAGGCTGGTGCAACTTTTAATGGTAAAGTATGTTCCTCATGACTCTACCCTCTATAGATCTTGCAAATCTTACCAATATGCTCCACTGGGTCCTTCGGTTTCATTGGTATCAGCGAACTCGGTTATTCTCCGGTTCCATCCGCTGGCCAAAATTCTCCCCTTCACCCAAACGACTGACTGAACTTCGTTGAATGGTTCTATCGACAAATTTCTCAGGCACGTTCCCGTATTGAAGTTCCATATTTTTAAAGTACCGTCGTGAGCTCCGGTCAGCAGTCTTTGCCAACCTGCAGTTTACAAAAAAATAAATGGATTTTTCCTCTGCACTCCATATTATAATTGATTCTGATGCATGGACAGAAACTCAATCCTGGGAACTTCAAAATTATTCTAGACAGTTGTAAATCATTGTAGAAGTTCTAAATTGTTCTAGACAGTTCTAATTCATTTAGAAGTATTCTAGATCATTCTGGACATTTCTAAATGGTTCTCGACAATTCTGATTCGTCGTGAAGCATTCAAAATGATTCTGGATAGTTCTAAATTTTTCTAGACAGTTCTAATTCGTTCAGAAGCGTTCTAAATCTAAACGATTCTCGACCATTCTGATTCGTTCTGAAGCATTTTTAATGATTCTGAAAGTTTTATACTGTGAGATTTTAATTTTTTCCACAGGATAATAAATATACCATAACTATCATTATGCCGTTTTGTCTATAATTGACTAAGTAATTCAATATTATTTGTGTTAAACTAACCTGGATCAAAAGTCGCAGCTGTTATTTCAACAGGCAACTTTTCCCCGTGGAGGATAACTGTATGCGCATCTCTAATGACTAAAAGCCTCCTTCCATCCCAAGGTTCCCATACGATTATGTAACTATCCAGTCCGCAGCTAACGATGCACTAAAATTATACATTAAATCGAATTTATGTTAATTAAGCCTTATTCCAGGAAGAAGGAATCCAGCAAATCACCAAATGAGCAAAATAGTATTAATTATAATGACCCATATTCAGCGCCTCTGTTTAACTTTAGAGTGACTCTAAAGTCGCGTCTTTAACTTGACAGATTTACATTGTTGTCATGGAGTAACTAGGGACTCGAGACGCGACTTTAGAGTCACTCTAAAGCACGGCCCTATATTTGTAAGGTCTGGAAACAGCCTATGCTTATGCATTAGAGAATGTGTCCCGTTATTTGAGGACTTTTTGAGCTTCACTTTTGCGCCGCACCGTTGCGAACGATCGGAGGACCCACGGTTTGTAGAATAATATTATTATATATTATTATATATTATTATTTAGAGTGACTCTAAAGTCAATAATATTATTCTACAAACCGTGCGGAGGACCAACTTATCTCAGCCAATCAGCGTCGTGCATATAAATCGCGGTTGTGTGAAATGACAATTCGAGCTGTCAAACCTTAAAAAATTATTTTTTGACATTTCGATGAGAAAATGGAGAAATACATTAACCGAAGATACGTGAGGCATGATGTTAACAACAAAATCATCGCTGAAGTATATTTTTATATTTTGTATCTATTTTTAGTTTGAATAAAACCTTTCTTAATGCCAATTCTATATAATTCGTATGCAAAAACCGTGGTCCTTTACAACATCGCCTCATAGCGGCCGTTTTAGGAACCCTGTTTTATCCTAATAAAAAAAACCAAATCCTATAAAATCCTATAAAAAACAAATTAGGTACCTGAAACAATTTATTGAACAAAATAACGGACACCCCGCTGGTGTGCGTATTGCCATCGGTGTGCTCGGAGCTTTGCTTAGGAGACAGCGGTATGGTGGCGATCAAATGGCTGGCGATGATCCATTGCCTGCTCTCCGGATTGTAGAGGCTGGTCAGGTTCTCGCCCAAAATGAGCGGCAGTCCCAAGTAGGTTTGCAGCAACTCCTGGGCGGCCACGTCCCACACCTTGATGCACTTGTCCTTGGACAGCGTGTACAGCTTCTCGCCGTTGTCCTGGAACACCATCTGCACGATGCCCGTGTGGTGGCCGTAGAATATGCACGTGGCTCGCATCGGCACGAACGGGTTCCACAGGCGCACCAGGCAATCCGGCCCGCCCGTCGCCAGTATGTGTTTTTCTTCGCTTACGGCGAAACTCCAAACGCCACCTTATTGGTATTGAACAGTATTGTTAAGTAGTTAACTACAAGTAGTTCAAATCGTAGTTCAACTACATTAAAAAAAGTAGTTTTAACAACACTGGTATTGAAGATACATTTTATTACTTTTCTGGATCTTTATCCACACTCTTACGGGCATTACTAGAGATTCATTTCTTGAATACCAATCTCGACTCGTAATCTCTAAGAACTCACCGAATATTTTGAACGAATAACACTTGTTGAAATCCAAAATGTCGGTAATCTGTACGGCTTTGTAGCATTGGGCGCAGGACACCACGCTGTGCAAATTCGAATAGTAGTAAACGGATCGTACGATGTCCGTGTGAATGTTGTCTATTTCCAGCACTTTCATTCCTGGTATCCAATTTTTCAGCACGTTTTTGTAGGTGGACGCGCGAAGGGACAGACCCGGCTGGCTTTTAAAGGGCCCCCTCGCCTCGGAATCTAACATATTCGTTCGTTAAAACACAAGATCAATGCTAAATTATCAAATATTTTGGTAGCTATAACATATGTTTTCGACAAACAGGACCTTCAATTCATTAGCCCGTATTAAGCGCACCTGTTTAACTTTAGAGCACGGTCCTATATATTTCTAAGATCTGGAAACATAGATCGAAAAAGTGTCCCGTTATTTAAGGATAAAACAGGGTTCCTAAAACGGCCGTTAGGAGGCGATGTTGTAAAGGACCACGGTTTTTTGCGTACGAATTATATAGAATTAGCATTAAGAAAGGTTATATTCAAACTAAAAATAGATACAAAATATAAAAATATACTTAAATCAGCGATGATTTTATTGTTAACATCATACCTCACGTATCTTTGGTTTATGTATTTCTCCATTTTCTCCTCGAAATGTCAAATAATAATTTTTGAAGTTTTGACAGCTTGAACTGTCGTTTCACACAACCGCGATTTGTAGCGCAACGCTGATTGGCTGAGATAAGTTGGTCCTCCGATCGTTCGCCACGGTGCGGCGCAAAAGTGAAACTCAAAAAGTCCTCAAATACCGGGACACATTCTCTAATGCATAAGCACATGAAGTTTCCAGACCTTACAAATATAGGGTCGTGCTTTAGAGTGACTCTAAAGTCGCATCTCGAGTCCCTAGTTACTCCATAACAACAATGTAAATCTGTCAAGTTAAAGACGCGACTCTAGAGTCACTCTAAAGTTAAACAGAGGCGCTGAATACGGTCCATTACCTATCAGAAACAGCACGATACTCCCGGATAGATCGCCGCACACCAACTTCGACGGCACCTTGATGTCCGTATCGAACGTGTAATACATGGTATTGACGGCGTTCGGACACGACACGATCATCACCCTCAATTCGAACTTCCTCGCCGACGTGTCGTAGAACCTCAGGTCTCTCTCGGTGCTGCTGGTGCATATGACGCCGACGTCCGGCAGCACCACCATGTCCGTGATGTAGGTCGATTGGATGGTGAGATAGGGACAGGTCGATTGGGCCTTGCGCTGCAATTGCAAATCCAACGACCAGTAGTTTATGGAGCCGTCCAGGCTGCTGCTGATTATGCTACCGTCGTGCCACGAGGTCGATCTGGATGGATAACGATTTTTGTAAGTTCAATAGGTTGGTCTCTGATTTGGACAGTATATGAAATCAAGAAGTGCTGGAGTTAAAGATGCCGTAGTTAATGTAGTGATGGTTGTTTGCAGGAGATATTGCCAGAATTCAAGAACATTGGAGAGATATCGAAGAGGCCTCTAGATCCAGCAGTGGACGAAATAAGGCTGGGATAAAACTCTCTTTCTCTATGCTCAATCTCACTACATTGGGAGGAAATTGAATAGCAAAGGAGAAGTGAAAACAGCTCGCTCCTGCCGAGGATTACTCTTAAATTTTCAGATTCCTAACTCTTCAGGAACTCCTAAAAGATCCTGCAAAGATGTTTGATGTTGGTAATTATTACCTATCCGGTTTCACAGTGGGGAAGAATCGAATTCTGTTTATGCTGTGTCTATGGCAAGTTTTCTGGACTAACGCTGAAACTGGTATAGGCGCATCGAGTGTTTTGTAAACTAAGCTGACTTCTTCCTGTTCGTATCCCAGAATTAAATACGAAATGAACTCGTTCCACGTCACAACGCCGTTGCTGAAACGGGAGAATCGTTATTTAATCGGTTAAATTGGACCCCAAGAGAATGGAGATTGAGGCAGATTACCAAGCGGTGTTCATTTTTCTGAAAATAATATCGTAAACCGAAGAATCATCGTAGTGGATCTGCGCCACTCGGTCCAACGTGTCCCTCAATAACTCGGCGTTGAGCTTTCTTCCGTCCTGCCTTTCGAACGCCTCCTTTATCTTCAAAATTTCGAATTCGCTCAGTAACTTGTGCAGCGGCAACGAGACGTTTTTCTTCTTACGGTGGTGCTGGGGAACCAGCTGCTGTTCCGACTCTTCCTCCATAGTTGCGGACATAGTTCAAAGGATGCTATCGAAACTGATCGCTGCAATACGGACAAATAAATGTGATGGAAAGTCAGCTGTTATGTTTTGACGTTATCGGAACGATGTCGAAACTTCCTGGGCAATTGATGATGGGGAGTCAATAAAATTTATGTCTATGAAGTTGAGTTGAACAAAGAAAGGTTATTAAAATAAGAGTGGTTAGAGTGAGAAAGTTGCAACACCGCAATATCACTCTTTCTTTTTCCTTTATTTGAGTCTAATGGAAGTCTTTGTTGCACTCATATAGCCTTTATTGCAAACCATTTTGCACCCATTTCAATTTAGATAGTAGTAGATATTCTATAAATGTGTAATAAAATTGGTCCAAATAAGAGTAAGAACTAAACGCAGCAAAATTATTACTGACCTACCTAAAAGGTTCGACGTTGCTGCTCTTAAAACCCTGACCTATTTAATATTTTATCGATTCTTCCCTGGTGTCGAAGTATTTTGTAACTTGTAGATTACTAGATACCAAAATACTATAATAATTTTTCTTAAATTTTATTTTAAATAAGCGAAACCTGGAAAGAATGGATTTTCATCATAGCTAATTTTAGCAGTTCGTATTATTACACATGAGACTAGAGATATTCAATAATCAATATCGATATTGATAAAAGTTTATCTTTTCGTTGAAGAGGTAAATATTGTAATAGTAAAATAATGCAATAATGCGCAAATAAAATAATAAGACTAATGCAATATACATACGTATGTACATAATATTACATATCGTCCTTCCGACAGTATAGAAATGCACAGTGCTAAGTTTTCTTATTAGTTTTTTCTAGCACAACAAAGAAGTAAGCAAACTATTTCTATTTAAAAAAAAACGAGAAAAAAAAAACGGTATTAGACACTAAAAATAAAAGTAATTATTTTTTATAGGTACCCTGTTGCCCAGCACTTTTTTTGCTGCCAATCTATTCAGTGATAAAATGTTCTCCTTTGAAAGGACCAAGTATACGTGTCAACTAATTGAACAACACCGATTTGTACCTTTCTCAATATGGCTACAGTTCTTGCGAAAGGCACAAATATGCACTTGGAAGAATACGTTCGCTGTGAATGCCTTAAAGACACGCTTGACAGAAATTATATCTAACTCTATCACTAACATTCTCTCAAAGGTAAACATTTTTCTTGCCGAACCATTTTATGTCGACATCGACAGCGAATCAATTTCCCCGTTAATCACCGTTATGCTTCAAGCATTACATTCAATACCGGATTCGGGAACAATATCATCACAAACAGAAAGGGGTCCCACATTTGAACAAGCATTGTCCAATGCCAAAGAGAAATTTTATTCTGCTCACAACGTTCTGATAACGGATTCTGGCATCATAGACTTCGCTAAATTGGCGTCTAAAGGAATTTACTGTAAGAATACCTTTGAAGAATTACAAAAAAACGGAATTAAAAACTTGGCGTCATCAAGTATGAATGATAACAAAATGTAATTGGTATTAAACAAGAAACATTGTCACGGTTTTAAATAAACTATTTTCCTCTAGGTATACAAAATTTCTTGATACTTTGTTATAAAGAGTGTATTTGTCCATGAAAGTACAGACGTTCCAATACGTTCATAACTTACACGCACTTATCACAAATAAAACAAAAATCAGCTAAGATAACACATCAAAACCTTCGATGAAAACTTCAATGATTTGAGCAAAGCAATATTATTACAATAACAGTGGTTAGAAGTAGAGTAAGAATGTTGTAATCCCACAACATCACTTTCATCAATCTTTCTTTTTCCTTTTATATGAGACTAATGAAAGTAGCCTTTGTTGCACTCATAGTCCATATCAGAGAATAGCGAACACATCTCTGGTCCATATTGCGTAAAACTTACAGACCAAGCATTAATACTTGATCTATGAAACAAAACTTTGCAGTTATCTGTAGATTCGAAACAATTCACCAAATGACTCCATCATTTATATGAAAAAGGCATCTAAGTAATCTGTGGTACAGTCGCAGATAGATCTAATTCAAGTCTCCTTATATCCGGTGCGATTACCTATTGGAAGAAAAAAAAGTAAGCAAACCAATAAAAACTACAATAGATACTAAAGGTAATTTTTACATAGGTACTTAGCACACATTTTTTGCCGTCTACCTATTCGGTTTTCTATGAAAGCTGAGATTATATAATGATGAGATTAATTTAAAAGTTGCAGGTTTTTTGAACGCCAAATTTAGTATGAATTGTAGAAGTAGGGGCAAAAAAATCCACACATGAGAGAAAACATTTAATTTCGCATATTTGAAAATTTGGTGATCAAAAAGTCGGTAACTTTTAATATATTCGCTAAATTTGCGACCATAGACAAATCTTTCACACATCTTTCTTTCTCTATGTTTGCGACCTTCCTTAACTTTTGTGGAGCAGTTTATTTTCATCTGTACAAAGAACTTTACTTTCTTCAAGCTTAGTTGTAATAGCATATGAGACCCAACAATATATTTTACAAATTTACTGCAGGAATGTTACTTGTTACTTAATGTAAGCTGTACCATCCTAGTTTATCAAATTTAATTGGTTCAACTGAAAAATTAGCCCAATCAAAGTAGAATCCGGTCAATAAAAATCCCAACTTTATTAAATATGTACATAAGTTGTAACACAATCCATTCTAAATTTTATACATAGACACGAAAATAATGAGACTATTTAATGAAAAAATGAAAAATTTATTATAAATACAAAATAATACAACATTAACAAATAAAAATTAACTACAAAAAACCTGTTATACTTAAAACAAAACTAAACTCTAGCAATACAAATTAGGCAAATCACATGAAACGATATCAGAAAATCACATTTTACTCATTCGCTTCGGCTCCTTGGCTCCTCGGCTCTCTTCTTCTCGACAGACCTAGCCGGCTTTCCAGTTTGCGTAATGGGAATAGCCTTATGCTCGACCTTCTCCCCGATGGTCGGCGCCGTGATGGTGAGAACCCCGTCCGAAGACAGCCTCGACTCCAGCCTGCTCACGTCGCACTTCTCGGGCAGCACGTACTTCCTCACGAAGTGCCTGTAGATCTGGCCGTGTTCGTCCTGCTTCTCCTCGTGCTTGGCCTCCACCGTGACGGCGTTGTCGCCAGTCACCTTCACCGTGATCTCCTCGGGCTTGAAGTGCTGCACGTCGAAGTTCGCCTGGAACCTGTCCTTGTCGATGGTCACCTGAGCGCCGGCCGCCTGCTGGAGGGCCGCGTGCAGGTCCCGGAGGTGTTCGGGGGAGTCCAGGAGGTTGGAGACGACGCTCAGGGGGTGGAAGAGGTCGCGTACGTCGCACAGGTTTCTTCTGAGCGTGTCGCGACGGGGAGCCAGCCAACTGTCGTCGATGAGTAGCGGTAGAAGGGCCATGTTATCTTGCTGTTGTATTTAATTTAGGTGCACTGATTTTCACTTGGATATTGTTGGGTTTTGCGCGCTTGAAATCAACTGTTGAATTGTGTTTTGCCTGATCGGTGCAGTCGTTATATACTTATTACTTTTTATCGAGAAGCGTCAGGAATATTCGAGAGTTGGAATTGGAAATTTTCGAGACTCGCGCATTTCTCGAACAACATTGGGATTGGTGGAGCACTTTTCTATGGGTGGAGCCATAGACAAAATATAAGAGACTGTTTAAAGCATAGGAAATATCGGACTACACGATTCATTTTGAAGACCCCACGAGACGATCTTTCTTTCTCTATGGGTGGAGCAACATTTTACACATGAGCAGTGTGGTGTGTGGTAGATTCATAGTTGCCAGGTTGTTGCATAGATGCAGGTAGTTTTGCAGAATTTTGAGTTCTTCTATTTGAATTCTGTTCTATTATATGTTCATTATACTTATACATCATTAAATTCTAGATTACATCACATAAATAATATGCAAAAATCCGATTGAGTAATCTTCAGACTTTTTAAATTTTCTATTTAACCTTATAAGTAGGCAACCCGGTATACACACTTTTCCAATACTCCTACGCATTTGGCATTCTAGATTCCTAGATCATTCTAGAATCAACCACGGAAAACTTGCAGGTATAACTGTGGGTATAACTGCATAGAAATTTCTAGAATATGACTTGATGTATATAAAACATAGTAGTTTGCCTCGAACATTAATGGAACAAATTAAGTGCAGTTTTGCAAGACATTGTATTGTACAAGATCTACACCATAGAGAAAGAAAGATGAGAGAGTTCGATCTCTTACTAAAAATTGGAAACGCGTCGATGGTGCTGCTGCTAGTATGGTGTCCCACGAACTAGAGAAATATCGAGTAGATTTCTTCTATATTTCAAAATTAAAAATGGGCGGTATATTCAAATTTTATTTTTATAATTTAATATTACCCATTGCAATTATAAAATAAGAACAACTTTTGATAATTAGAAATGTATTTATTGACAGATATAAAAAATTAAATACATACATATAACCTAAATAAATGAATTACCGAATTACGTTACATTCCACATTAAAAATAATTATATGTTTTCTTCCATACAAAATTCAGCCTGCAAAAATTTATTGAAACATTACAAAAAACTACAATGCGCGTATATAAGTTATGTTAGCTTCTTAATACAACCAATTCAACTATAAATTTAAAGTTTATCTACTATATGTACATTAATTACTACATTATACTAATATCACAAAAAAAAACTAAAGTACGAAGAAGACTAGAAGATAGAATATGCATTGATTCAGTACGTATTTACTTACTTGATTACTAATATTATTAAAGCTTTTATGGCACCAAAGTAAAAGTGAATTAACAATTCTAAAAACCAAATATTTTATTTTGTCTATGATCTACACCGCTCATCATCGATGCCGTTATGAATTCTTTATTGTTAAATATGTTTAAACCGTTGGTAATTAGGGATAATTTAGTGAAAAACATCTTCAAAAATCCCATATGCCTACAAAAAGGATTCGAAATTTTCGTTTAATTGTTGGCCAAATGCTAATACGTTATAGTCCGCTTAGTTAAAGAAGAAATGGCACTTACACAAAAACCATGTTGCCACATGCTTTAAATTCAATTTGTGTAAACATCAAGAATAAATTAATATTTACGATATTAATACGATAAATAAACGATATACTGACCAAAAAACAAACTTATCTCAAGCCCCTTTACTGTTGAGGTATATTGAATATTTTAAAATCAATTTAAGTCAAAATGACGTTATATGAATACTTGACAACGTGCCGTTTTAGGTCTAAATTTTCAAATATAAACAAAAGAAATTCTAACCTCAATTATACACATAATTAATCTGCGTACTGCGTAACATCGCTTTAAATCAGGATGTTTATAAAATAATGTGAAATTTTCTGTAAAATTGTACTTTATACATAGGAAGCGAAAAAAAATTAAATCAAGATAACAATAATATAAATACCCCCCAACAAAGCTGAAATTTCGCGCCAATTCGATCCTTTATAAATACCTTCGGCAGTTTGGCGCGTTTTATTATCACGTTTTCGCCTGTTCATTGTGTTTATTGTCCACGATTCCGGTAAGTTTCTACTACTTTAACAAACCATTCGAATAAATTAAACTGTTCAACATTAGGTGCTAAAATGCCTCTCTACGATAAAGAAAACTCGATTTCCCTCAGCTCCAAAACCGAAAAAATGGTATTGTCCGAAAACAAACTGAACATCATACCTTCCCCCGACAAATCCGTAAAACCCAAAAAATCCATCCAAGACGGCGACGACTCGAATTTCGACCCCGAATTGGAGCCCCTACTGCGCGAAAACCCCCGCAGGTTCGTCGTGTTCCCCATAGAATACCCCGACATTTGGGCGAAGTACAAGGAAGCCGAAGCTTCATTCTGGACCACCGAGGAAGTGGACCTATCCAGAGACCTGGAGCACTGGAACCGGTTAACCAACGACGAGAAACACTTCATATCGCACATACTCGCATTCTTCGCCGCCTCCGATGGCATCGTCAACGAGAACCTAGTGGAACGCTTCAGCCAGGAAGTTCAAGTAACCGAAGCCAGATGCTTCTACGGCTTCCAAATAGCCATCGAGAACATCCACTCGGAGATGTACAGCATGCTGATCGAGACCCTCATCAGCGACCCCTCCGAGAAGGAGTTCCTGTTCAACGCCATCGAAACGCTCCCGTGCGTCAAGAAGAAGGCCGATTGGGCCCTAAAATGGATCAACTCGAAGAACGCCACCTTCGCCGAGCGGATCATAGCCTTCGCCGCCGTCGAGGGGATATTCTTCTCCGGCAGCTTCGCCTCCATCTTCTGGCTGAAGAAGCGAGGCCTCATGCCCGGCCTGACCTTCTCCAACGAGCTGATATCGCGCGACGAGGGCCTGCACTGCGACTTCGCCTGCTTGCTGTTTGCGCACTTGGTGCAGAAGCCCTCCGAGCAGCGCGTCGCGGACATCATCAGGGACGCCGTGGACATCGAGCAGGAGTTCCTGTCGCAGGCGCTGCCGGTGAGCCTCATCGGGATGAACTGCGACCTCATGTGCCAGTATATCGAGTTCGTGGCCGATCGGCTGTTGAACGAGCTGGGTTGCAAGAAGGTCTACAACGTTACGAACCCTTTCGATTTCATGAACATCATATCGACTGACGGGAAGACTAATTTCTTCGAGAAGAAAGTCGGGGAGTACCAGAAGGAGGGCGTGATTGATTCCGGGGATACTAATTTCAAGATCGATGCTGATTTTTGATCCGGTTTTTTTGGGATTTGTAGATAGGTTTTAGATTTTTATAGTTTATTTATGTTGACTAACTCGTATTTTACATACTCGAAAACTTTCAACAGCCGTTTTAGGGGGGATAATAAATCGGCCTTCAATGCTCTAAGGAGTTCAAGATGGTGATTAACATTCAAAACGTATTACAGTATAGTTGCGATTTTAAATATACTATTTTTAATGCACTCAAATTTCTGACTAGTCGAATAATTTTGTAAATAGGTAAAAATATTGTCTCGACAGTTGAATGTGGATTAACAGTTTTAATTATCTTGTGTTTTATAAGATGTTTTTATTAAATCAGTATGTAAAGTAAATATTTTCACCCAGTGTATGTAGTTAAGATTATCTCGTTTTAAAGGTAATTTATCATAAAAAATATATATGTAATTTTAGTACATTTTTACTGTAGTCTATTTAGTTCTACCAATAAAATATTTTCCATGAATTTTATGATTTTTCTGTTTAATTTTCTGTTTTTTGGGGAACATTGCAAAAGTGGAAATATTTCAAAAATAATTTATTTTAACAAAAATTAGCTTTATTGCACGTAAGTTAATGGTAAAAAATTAAAAACCTGCCTTCTCTAATCTATCCAATTGCTGGCCTAATTTTTCCTCTTTGGTTTTCCTGTTTTGAGATATGGCTTTTATTTTTATGAAATCGATCAGAAATTTATCCACATCTATTTCACCGCTTAAAAACGACTCTGCCACTTTTTCGCTCTCTTTGTCCGCTCTTTCCGCTGCTACTTTCAATTCGTCCTAAAATAATACCAAAATTTCACATCCAATCTAATTTAAATATAGTAAAAACTCGTTAATTACTCACTTGTATTTTTCTAGGAGCATACTTATCAGACAGCTGTTGATAAATTGAATACAGCCTTTCATTTTCAAAAGCAAGCTTTGCGATAGTTTCCATTCTCTGTTCTATATCCAATTTTAGTTCGTCCAATTTACCGGCTTTTGATAAATTTGTAACTGAAATTAGTTCAATTCAAATTCAAGTCCATTTTGTATACAAAACCTATTTACCTGCCATCTCCTCGACTTGTAATATCACATCATCCAAAATTTTGTTCTGTTCCCTAATGAGGGGCAATTCGCTGATAAATTCATCTTGCCTATCTGTATTATCGTTCAAAAATTGCAGTTCTTCTATCGACAGATTAGAAAGCTCCGGCAAAGCCGCGCTTTGGTGACTCGTTTGTCCTATTTGCGAAGGCGGAGAAAAGCTTTTTATGTTAGGAAACGGCTGATAATTTATAGGACTAGCTCTTATTTCGCCATCTAAAAAAACATATGATAACAAGAAATTTTGGAATAATTTCAATTTTATTACTTATTGGTACAGATGGGGATATAGTTGTTGATTGTTTCAAAGCCAATGGTGGAGGAGTTCTTTGAAATTCCCTTATAATTGCTTGAACAACCCTTCCCAGGTCTGAATGGACAGTAAACTACAAAATAATATATTTTAATTAATTACTAATTTAATTGTGTTCACTAGACAAAATTATCCTTACTAACATTTAGTAAACCAGGTGCAGACGTAACATCACCATCTGCGGTTACCCAAGGATGAGACACAGTGGGTACGATTTTTAAATGAGGCTTCTCTTTGGGAAATTTATTTCCTAGGCTTATTTTCAAACATAAATTATTCACTCCTGAATTAAAACTAATGTCATATTCTTCACCTTCAACAATTTCCACAACGCTGCAAATTCGTTTAGGTAAAAGAAGCAAATGATTTTTATAGTGTAACTTACTTATCGTTGAATATTTTTAGGGTGTTTATTTGATGCTTTCGAATGTCTCCATCTAGCATAAACCTCCTCGATAACATTTCACTGATACATTAAAAAATATGATGTTTTAAAAATTCTTGTTTCTTTTGTTGACAAAGTTTGACATTACTTTGACACTGACAGTGATAGTTGTAAAAGATCTACTTGTGCGTGGTCATCGTGCCTACCCGTAACCAAAACGTAATAATAATATTTTTAATGTACATTTCATTACAAAATAGAAATATGGTAATAGTTTGATGCTCGATTTTCTTAAAAAGCAATCATTAAAAAGAATTGTACGAATAAAAATAATAGACGTATGTGAAAGAAGAAGAAATTTGACGTGTGACATTTGACTAAAATTGACTTTGACACACGAATGAAATAGAATTTTGTTGTGTCATTTTTGATTTTATTCAGAAAGTAACAAAAGTTTACCTAAAATGCCGATTGAAAATTTGGAAGATCAAGGTTTAGAAAAGAACCCAGACCTAGAGCTGCCTCACTACAAGTTTCTCCTAACGCTCCCGGAATATCGCAGCGACCGGAATGTCCATTCGAAGATCACAGAGGCCATCAAGAAGGATGATATGGCCCCATGGTATGAGCTCCTTTGCAAAGAAGTAGGCTGGAAGTTAGACGCCGCCTTGCTGAAGACCCTCAAAGCCAAGAACGCCGAAAAGGTCAAGCTTCTGGACGAGGCCATCGAAGATGCGGAGAAGAACTTGGGAGAGATGGAGGTGCGGGAGGCTTATTTGCGTAAAGCGGAGTTTTACAGCAGAATCGGCGACAAAGAGAACGCCGTGAGCACTTTCAGGCAGACCTACGATAAAACAGTGTCTTTGGGCCACCGTTTGGACATCATTTTCCACTTAATCAGAATAGGCTTGTTCTTCATGGACCACGACCTTATCACGAGGAATATCGACAAAGCGAAGACCCTTATCGAAGAAGGAGGCGATTGGGACCGGAGGAACCGATTAAAAGTCTACCAAGGTGCTTACTGCATGTCGGTGAGAGACTTCAAAACTGCCGCTAACCTATTTTTGGACACCGTGAGCACCTTCACCTCCTACGAGCTCATGGACTACAAGGCTTTTGTCAGATACGCCGTCTACACCTCCATAATCAGCCTGCCGCGGAACCAACTTAGAGATAAAGTAATAAAAGGCTCGGAGATACTTGAGGTCCTTCATTCCGAGCCGTTCGTTAAAGACTACCTGTTCTCGTTGTACAACTGCCAGTACGCCGAGTTCTTCTCGAATTTGGCAGAGGTCGAGACGATCCTGAGGAAGGACTACTTCATGAATCCCCATTACCGGTATTACGTCAGGGAAATGAAGATTTCGGCCTACACGCAGCTGCTGGAGTCCTATCGATCGCTCACGTTGCAATACATGGCGGAAGCTTTCGGGGTTACCATCGAGTACATCGATAAGGAGTTGTCGACTTTCATCGCTGCTGGAAGGCTGCATTGCAAAATCGATCGGGTCGGAGGCATCGTGGAGACTAACAGGCCGGATTTGAAGAATGCCCAGTTCAATTCCGTCGTGAAACAAGGGGATTTGTTGCTTAATCGAGTTCAGAAACTCTCCAGAGTTATTAATATTTAGATTACTTCTCGTATTTATGTATTTTTTAGAAGTGAATAAATGTAAAATATTTAGTTGGGTTCTTATTTATAATTTTTTATATATTTTTTTAATTAATCGATTTGTAATTTGTAGTAAAATAATAAAGTAATAATAGTATTTTACAGTATAAATTAAAACGAGTGGTTGGATAAAATTAAACAATTTCAGTACTCGTGATATATTTTGAGCTATATAAAAATAAAAAAATATAAGCATTGATAGATATACTTAAATCTACTAAATATAATATTATATTTTTAATTATTATAGACAAAAACATAAATCCAATTAAACCGGACACAGCTTTAAATATATTATTTAGCGAGAACTTTATTCGCGGTTTCTCATTACAAACTCCACTTATAGAGTTTTCATTTTGCATATACGGCCTTATATTAACAAAAAGGCACTTTAAAAATGTATAATGTTAATGTGTATTAGATAGCAAATTGGTGCAAAAATAGTGCTTTTTATTAAATATAATTCAATATATTAGTGAGATTATTAAAACATCAATTTATCGCCTTTTGCAAGTTAAAAAAGCGACGTTTTCGTTTGAATTTTGAGATCTACACCATAGAAAGGCAAACTTTGTATTGACTTACGTTATTCCTATTCACTTTTAAACTAATTCGAAATCATAAATAAATACATTATAATATTAAAGCTAACTTAAAGATAAATATTTAGGATTAAACGATTTTTGCATTGACATGAATTCGTCCACATATTTTTTAAATAATTACCATCTTAATGGAGAATTTTCACCATGTGAATATTTATGTGGGCTAAAAATTAGTTATAAATTGTTATAAAAAAAATCCATAATTGCAGTTAGTTACACAACAGTATTTACCTCGAGTTAATAATGGTAATAGATTGCGAATTAACCAACGGTTGCAATTTGTCGATAAACCTTTTGTAGTTTCTATCTAACTCTCTTTGGTAATCTCTTTGGTCTGGTCCTATCAAGTTCTTATTTTTCTTCAAAGCATCGTGACACCTGCAAAAATGCGTTAAATTATCAAATAACGAATTGAATTTACCTAACGTCGTACTTCTTGGAGAAATCCTTAAAGCACAGTCGCAATTTATTCTGATGTCTGGTAAGCGCTTTACTGTCCGTTGGCAGAAACGTCGAGGCCATTTCTAAAGGACCCTGATTCACCGTGGTGCCGATGCAACCTTGGAGCACCATCTGCAATATTTTTGGATCCGGTGGTTCTTGATTAGTTGCAGTGGCCAATTCCAACGTTTTCTTTTGGATATCTTCAATTGCCACCTTAAACAACGAATCATTCGAAACATGGTAAAAATCAAACAGTGGATTAAATATTAATTACCTCAATAGGCGTAAGGGTTATTTGAGTTCTAGCCACAACTTGAATTCTAGTCTTTACGTAAGGAAAATGCACGGCTGTAGTAAGTATGGTTTTCCTTTTGTACTGTTCCTTCAATTCTCCGTGGGCTTTACCCGTCATTGTGAAAGGTGTTGCGTACACGAATCTCTCTAAAAATCATAAAAATAGCGATACAATAAGGCTCTAAATCGATTCTATTGAAACACTTACTGATATTGAAATTCTTATCGAAGTGGGTTTGTCGGTAGCGAAGTTCGTATTGCTCAAAATATGGCTCTACATAAGTTATTTGAATGTAAGCTTTTTCGCAATCCAGCGACTTTACATCGACTATATTGGAATCTTTTATTATTATAACGTTTTCAGCGCCAAATCTTTCGGTATAAAAGTTCTACGAAAAATTAAAATTAAAAAAAGTGCAATTTTTAAACGCTACATAAACTAGAAATCACTACAATAAAAATTAATGCCAGCTCTAATACTCTTTCTATGCAAGTCATTCAACCAGCTACAAATTAAAGGAAATGTTCGTACAAAAGAACTATTTTGTCGTTATTTGAGTATAATCGAAAACTCACCTCTAATCTGCTAAAAATTTCCGGCAATTTCGTAAGAGTCGGTTCTTTGTAAATAAATTCTTCTCTATCCAAATCCCCGAATTTGGAACCGTAAAAACCGACTCTAAAGTACGTACCAAACATTCTTTTACCGGACAATTGATCTATTCTCGTGTAAGCCTCATGAAGTTTCCTACAACAACAAAATCAATACACTCAAAACCACATTCTAATCACCACCATTACCCGTGAATGTTAGCCAACTTCTTAAAATCCCTGTTATTCTCAGCGATCGGTATCAACACCCTGTAGATATCGTTCATGGGCTCGTACATGGCGGCCACGTTGAAGCTACTCGCGGCCTGTTCGAGCAACCCCAGCAACCCGGCCTCGGTGAAATGCGAACCCAGACACCCCCCTTCCTTCTCCGGGCTGAGCACGTCGTCCGAAACGGCGCTCTCCTCCAGCACGTTGGGACTCACCCGCTCCAAAGCGGCCGCGCCGGCCGGCAAATGCGGCAGCGACTCCAACATGGCCAGGTATTCGGCCACCAAAGCCGCCGAGTGCACCAGGCACATGCCGGCCTCGGTGTGATTGCCGCGCTCCATGTGCTTCTGCGCCATGTTGGCCAGCCACGTGAGCCGCAGGTCCGGCGAGTTCTGGTAGCCCTTGGCGATCCGGTACATGAGGTCCAGCAGCATCTCGGGGTCCTCTTGGAACTCCTTCATTTTGACGGTGTCGGAGAGGATCATGTGCAGGTTGAAGACGAGGTCTCTGACCTGCTCGGGGAACGTGGTGTCTTGCAGTTCGGCGTCCCTTTCTCCGTATTCTAGGATGGTTTTTAGCGAGCGACGCAGGGAGTCGTCGCTGAAGGAGGCCGAGGTGCCCACCAGACTGCTGAGGGACATGGTCACTTGCATCTTCACTCTGGCGAAATTCTGGAATTAATTATTATTTAGTCAATGATTCGTACAGGTTTTTTTGCAGGGTTTTTTACGGTAACCGTTCAATAGAGCTTCTAGGATTTCCTGAAGAGCTATGAATCTGAATATTTAGGAGAAAGATATACGGGGTGTTAATTAATTGAGTGCCGATACTCGAGGATGTGAATAATTGGATGATTTTAGGAAGAAAAGTTTATATCAATATATGTCCTAAACCTCGCAGTTTTCGAGCTACAGGGTGTTACAGTTTTAGAAAAAAATAACTTTCTATCATAATTGTCTTATTACTACAGATTATTTCAAAAACTACTGGATCTGGTATAGGAAATATACATATGGATCGAAAGGGTTACAAAAACTTCATTGTCAAAATGTACGGAGTGGTTCATAAATTAACAAAATTATGGCCAATTTAAGCTGCCTAAGTTAATCAGACAATTTTAGACAGAAACGCCCTGTAAATGGACCATGAAAATCCGGTTTAGTTTCATTTAGTACTGTGCCTGGACATTATCGATACCAAATTTCCAACTTCTAGGTGCATTAATAACAGAGAGATCATAGAAAATACATTCGACCGTTTTTCCAAAATATTATCGAAAAAAAAATGAGATAACTTTAAAATAGTGGTTTTTAGGCATATGGACACATCAAAGTCTAGTTAAAAAAAGGACCATTTTAGAAAAACCCACAATATTAACAATACCTTACTACTAAAATACACTTAAATAAATCTATTCCAATAGATAGTTACAGTAAAAAAACCCTGTAGAAATTCATAATAATCTAAATTATATGTACTTACATTACCGATCTGGAACGTCTGCCTCATTAGCAAATACAGCGAAGCTGCAGCTTGGGAACGAACCGAAGCTATCTGAGAACCGCAATGCTTCAGTAACAGTAAGCACAAATCAGCGCAATGTGAGCTTTCTTCGTCAAATAAAGCGCTGTGAAACTAAAAACAACGAAACGTATTAGTACATACTCAACAAATAAGAGCAAATAAACTTAAAGTATAATAAATAAATGATAACAAAACACTGTAATTTACTCTCGTAAACCAGAAATAAACGGAGATGAACGTAGTTAAATAATAAAAATCCTCCCACCTTAAACACCAAACTTCTTTGAGAAGCGAACATATGCGGCAACACCGTAGTACTCTGATTCTTCCCCAAAGCGTGCAACAACACCGACAGAGCCAATCCGACCAAATGCTGCTGCGCGTCCCACTGGGAAATCGTCGCGACGCACCTTTCCAGCGTATCCAGAACGATAAAAGACGCCTCGGTCGCCAAGTGACCCTCCAAATGCCCGTCGCTCAAATAATCGTCCTTCGGCCGATCCACGAAATCCGAAACGGGCCGGTAGAGTTGCTCTTTACGCCAACGGACCTTCTCTTGCGTCTGCGCAGCTCCGCCTACCACAAAAAAAAGTTGACGGTACATCAAGAAACCCAAATCAATCAGCTACTCGTGTACAGCGTTGTTAAAAATACTGTCCAAAAAGTATTTAAATACAAATACTTCTGTAGAAATGTAATATCTTAAATAATGGTAAATAAAAAGTATTTAATTACAAAATCAAATCCGAAGTCAAATACAAAGATAACTTCCATTAGAGACTTTAATTGGTCTATGACACTTATAAAGGAAGAAGAAAGAGTGACATTTGTGTCATTGCAACTTTTCACTCTGACAACTGTCATTTTATTGATCTTTCTTTGTTCAACTCATAGAAACGACCATATTGCGGTCTGAATTGAAGCAATCTGTATTTAATTACTTGTTCAATTACTTTAAAAGTATTTCAAAAACTTTTTTAAATACTTCTACAAGACTGCTCGTGTACCTTTCCTCCTTTGCATCATCTCCCTGGCGGATCCTTGTCCCAAAATGACGTCCTCCAATCGGGACCTCATGTCCTGCGTGGTTTGCGCGTGCGCGTACCCCGACGACGGGGGCGCTCGCCTCTTCGGCCTGTACTCGAAGCAGCTGGTGCACACGTCCAAAAGGTGCAACAGCGTCGCCAAGCGGGTGGAGGACAATTCGCCCAGCCATTGCGACAGCGAGTCCCTGTCGATGTTTTTGAGCAACCAAAGGACGCAGGTGAGAAGGTTGCGCGTGACGTCGCCGGATAAGCCAAGTTTCCTACTCTGGAGCTGTTGACAGAATTAATATTAGTACTCCTTAATTGAGTTAAGGAGTGTGTGAAGTTGGAGACCCAACATTGAATCTCAATAGTTCTCATTAGAGTTCTTCTTAAATACACTAACTACGCCATAGGATAGATTTGAGTAGCTTTTTCGTTGTATTTTAGACGGTTCATAGAATTGGCCATATTGGAAACAAGTTTGCACATACCTATGTGTACATTTAAAAATAGTAAACGATGATAGGGTGAAAAATTCTCGGCCTGATACACTGAGGGCGTACCAATCAGCAAAAATTCTCGTTTCTTTGAGATATTTATAATTAATCTAGAACTGACTAGAACCATTTAGAATGCTTCAGAATCATTTAGAACTGTTTAGAATCTTTTAGAATGTTCCAGAATCATTTAGAACTGTCTAGATCAATCTAGAACACTCATCTAGAATCATTTAGAACTGTTTAGAATTATTTAGAACGGCCCAGAGTCATCTAAAACGGTCTTGAATCATTTAAAACTGTTTAGATCAATCTAGAACGCTCCAGAAACATTTAGAAATGTCTAGAATAATTTGGAATGTTCCAGAAACATTTAAACAATCTAGAATCATTTAACGCTCGAGAACGCTCCTGAACGCTCCAAAATCATCTAGAATTGTCTAGAATCATTTAGAACTAGCTAGATCAATCTAGAACGCTCCAGAATTAAAACTCTTTAGATAGAACCATTTATAACGCTCCAGAATCATTAATAGTATCGAGAATAATCTGGAATGCTCTAGAAACATTTGGAATTCTCCGGAGGCATTTAAATCATTTAGAACACTTCACAATCATTTAGAGCTCTCTAGAACGCTTTTAAAACGATCCAGAATCATGTGGAACCGTTTAGAACCATTTAGATTGCTCCAGAATCAATTAGAACTGTCTAAAACAATCTAGAACGCTCCAAAATCACTTGAAACTGTTTAGAACTAAACATTTCGTCTTAACAAGAAGACTAACGTAATTGTCTTTAGCAGAACTAAAGATTTCGATTTAATAAGAAGACTAACGTAATTGTTCAACTGAAAATAGCGATTTTTCGTCGTCAGGCCGAGAACATTCCACCTTACCGTTGCAAGGCCAGAATTACCGTGTGAAAATTATCCACGGTGCTCGGCGGCAATTTCCCGGCTATTGCCATGGCGACCGTTTGATTGATGTTCCCGGGGGCCGCGTCTTCGTTGGCGAATTGCGTTTTGTCGGCGCTGAAGCGGTGCAGAAGCGGCAACGCGTCCATCGCAATCGACAACAGGGGTAAATACAGGGCGGCCACGCGCTGTCTCGCCTCGATGGAAGAATACCGAGGATCCGAATCGTGCCAAGACAGCAGCTGCTTCAATGTATCCACCGCTTTGCTGTGGAGCGACACCTGACTGAAAATACAAACGATCCTTTATAAGTCTCTAATTGAAGTTGTCTTTATCGCACACATAGCCTATGCAGCAATGGGTGTAGCAATGTAGTTAGTATCTGAGCGAAAAACTTACTGCATTTCGAGCAAAACGGTGGCCAAATCGGCCAGGACGATGCCGGAGAGGAAATGGTGCTGCCTGTACTCGAACGACAGCTCGGCGAAGGTGCTGGCCCGCTCCTGGCTGGGCGGCGCCCCCGACAGAAACGAATTCTGGCTGGTCGAGCTGGTCACGCTCGGCGACGGCGACACGTTCGTATCGGTCGACATGAACGGCGACGCGAACGGCAGATTCAACGCCACGTAGTGCTCGTGGCTACAGACGATCCGCGCGAATTCCAGCTTCAATTCGACCAGGATCGAGTCCTGCATGGAGGCGATCTTCGCCTGCAGCTGCTTGTTGTACGACCGGAGCAGCTGGAACGTCCAGCCGCGGTCCGCTATCGACAGCAAATCGAAGAAGAAAAAGGCCAGGGCGGCGTTCAGTTTGTGCGCTTTGCGCGTTTCGCCGGTCGCGTGCGATATGATTTCGAACGTGACGTTGTGGACCAGCGTGGAGATGTCGTCGAGAAATTGTTCGGAGAATCGGATTTTCCTCGGGGCGTCTAACGATCTCGTGTGGGCCAGATGCTCCACCATACCTATGCGATGCAAATACATTCATTATTTTTTATCTAAAATACATACAAGGGTAAGGTGAAATGTTCTCGACCTGACAACGAAAGACCGCGATTTTCGGTTGAAAAATCACATTGTTCTTCTTATTAACTAAAAATCTTCAGTTCTAAATGATTATTGGGCTTTCTAGATACTTCTAGACAGTTCTAAATGTTTCTGGAGCATTCTAAATAGTTCTAAATGGTTATAGAGGGCTCTAAACAGTTCTAAATGTTTCTGGAGCGTTTTAAATTGTTCTAGACAGTTCTAAATGATTATGGAGGGCTCTAAACAATTCTAATTGATTCTGGAGCGTTCTAAATGGCTCTAGACAGTTCTAAATGTTTCTGGAGTGTTCTAAATTGTTCTAGACAGTTCTAAATGATTATGGAGGGCTCTAAACAATTCTAATTGATTCTGGAGCGTTCTAAATGGCTCTAGACAATTCTAAATGATTATGGAGTGTTCTAGACTAATCTAGACAGTTCTAAAAGAATCTAGATAGTTCTACGTGATTGTGGAGCATTCTAATTGGTTCTAGACAATTGTAAATATTTCTGGAACGTTCTTAATGATTCTAGACAATTTTAAATGCTTCTGGAGTATTCTAAATGGTTCTAGACAGTTCTATATAATTGTGAGGCGTTCTAGATTGTTCTAGCCAGTTCTGGAGCGTCCTAAATGCTTCTGAACAGTTTTAAATGGTTCTTAAGCGTTCAAAATATTTCTGGAGCATTTTAAACGGTTCTACAGAGTTCTAAATGATTCTGGAGCTTTATAAACAGTTCTAATTGATTCTGGAGGGTTCTAAATGGCTCTATACAGTTCTAAATGATTCTGGAGTGTTCTAGACTAATCTAGACAGTTCTAACGTGATTTTGGACCAGTCTAATTGGTTCTAGACAATTGTAAATAATTCTGGAACGTTCTAAAAGGTTCTAGACAATTTTTGATGCCTTCGGAGTATTCTAAATGGTTCTAGACAGTTCTAAATAATTCTGGGGCGTTCTAGATTGTTCTAGACAGTTCTAATTGATTCTGGAGCGTCCTAAATGCTTCTGAACAGTTTTAAATGGTTCTAAAGCATTCTAAATGTTTCTGGAGCATTCTAAGCGGTTCTACAGAGTTCTAAACGATTGTGGAGCTTTATAAACAGTTCTAATTGATTCTGGAGCATTCTAAACAAATGATAACTACTTAAATAGTTCTATACAGCTCTAGAATTACTTATAAATGTCGCAAAGAGGAAACGAGAATTTCTTGCTGATTGGAGCGCCCTTTGCGTATTAGCCCGAGAACCTTTCACCCTACCATTTCGTATGTTCATTTAGCGAGAAATTACTTTTAACGATGAGCTCGAACAAGAACCAAGCGTTCTGCATGGCCAAGTCCTTGCAACGTCCGCTCGACACCATCCAGTGCACGGCGAGTTCCTGATGAACGATCCGTTGGCAGGCCGACGAGCCGGCGCTCATGGGATCGTTGGTTTGGACGCGCATGCTCGCCGCCCGGTCCAAGCCTCGCGAATACTGCACGTGGGCCACTTCGAGGTCGGGATTGGATGAGCTCCGGGCCATTTGCAAGGAGGTTTCGTAGTCGGCAGAGCCGTGGTTGTACAGCGGATGCGGCATGTTGCACTGGAACTGCACGTAGGTGGCCAGCAGTTGGTTTCTGCCGTGCTGATCGACCGGCAGCTCTTGGACGTTCTGCGATTTTTCGACGTTTTAACGAATATAATACGGTTGATGTTAACTAGACTCACGGATATGTTGTCGAGCAGGGAGCACATGGCTTCGAAACAGATGTTTCCGACTGCTAATTGGCAGGTTAACCGAGGCGGTTGCACCAGCAGCTCTATGATGTTATCGAACAATACTGACAAGTATCTGACGATTGTCTCCGGTTGGGCACCAGATAATCCCAATATAGCAGATCTAAAAAACAAGCATTATACAGAGCGTTAATTAGTTGAGTGCCGATATTTCAAGATGTGAATATTTGGATGATTTTAAGAAGAAAAGTTTATATCAATAGATGTCCTGAACCTCTTAGTTTTCGAGCTACAGGGGTTGCAATTTTATAAAAAATATTTTCTATCATAATTTTCTTATTACTCCAGATATTTTTATGAAATTTTGTACACACTTTTTAATTATTAAGGAGCATTTTTTAAGGCAATTTTTTTTTTATTTTTACCAGTGACGTCCGTATGCGGTTTGAACTGAATATATTTATTTAACTTATTTTCGTAGGACGCACCATTTTGGCGTAAAAAAATAAAAACCAAAACAGTTTTTTCCAAAGTACATTGAGACTGCTTTTGATATTTTGTTGAAATTTGGTAGGCGCCGACCATGCATGGAAACACTTTTTTTTTTGGGACAAAAATTAATTTTCTACTATTACCAGTGTCGTCCACGTTCGAAATTTCATAAAAATATCTGGAGTAATAAGAAAATTATGATAGAAAAGTTTTTTTTTCTAAAACTGTAACACACTGTAGCTCGTAAACTAAGAACTTCAGGACATATATTGATATAAACTTTTCTTCTTAAAATCACCCAAATATTCAGATCCTGAAGTATCGGTACCCAATTACACCCTGTTTAACTCACAGATTTTAACATTTAAATGGATAATAATAGAACGTATTCGAATGTAAATTTCTGGTGTTTTTTACCTAAATTCGTTTTCAGACCCAACCACTCTTAATCTCTGCGGTATAATACCAGTACGAACAAAATCGTAAGCGGCGAAAAACCGTTCGATCGCCGGATCGTGCGTGTGTATCGATGAGGCCGTGTCCAACGTAACAGTGAACAATCCCTTGTGGTTATCCAGCCATTTAGTACCGGGCAAATACACGTCCGGAGGGATGTAACTGTAGTTCCTTGGAGGCGGTTCCAGCATAATGGGCAATGAAAATTCGCCCGATATTAACCGCCCGTCTCTTAACAATGGTAACCACTAAAACAAAAATAACTCGATAACCGGTCGAAATGCCGAGAGATTATAAAACTTACAGTGTACCCGACGGGACTATCGACGGTGTTCTGTTCCATTTTCTTCTGGCACGAAATGTGATAGAAAGTGAACAACAAATGATGGTTATCGGCCAACGCTGCCGGTAGCTTGATTTTTATCTCATCGTAGAATACTGGGTTTTTGCAGTGATAGGTAACGGACGAGTAAGCTTCGCTCAGCATTTCGGGACAGCTAGATTTGCCGAAAATGTTGTGCAAGGCGTTTTTCTCTTCTTCACCAGCCATCAGTTGTATCCGCACGGCGAGATTTCTGGCGGAGCCCGTTCTGTTCGAAAAATTGAGATCCTTCGGGGACACGAACAGGAGGTTCCTGTAGTTGTAATGCGGCACGAGGATCTCCTTGATGGGAAACTCGAGCAGTTCTTTCACCGGTCTGCATTTGTCGTCCGGAAACGGGCGCAGCTTCACCAATTCGGGAGTAAGGCAATTTCTACAACAAGCAAAATATATCGTTATATCTTACTATCTTACTAGTTTCTTCATTATCAAATTTACCTTATTTCAGGTGGACAAGGCGATATTTCCAATTTTAACGTGGCCGGTATACATTTCAATTTCTTCAAAACCAACGTTGGTCTTTTCAATTCCTGCAAGCTCTTGTACAAATCGTCGTCTTTCAATTTGTCGCTTTCCTGCTTGAAAAACGATGACATCGTCAACGTTATCGGTCTGAACGTGTCTATGTTATTAGCCAAGTGATCAGGAGACCAGGATCTCCTCTTGTTTTGCCTTTCCAACGAACCCCTTCGTGTTAAAGTGCCCATATCGGTAGCCCGACGTCTCAGTTGCTCCAAACCGCTAGCCGAAGATTTTCGATCTAATATAATACAAATAATAGAATTAATTGATAGCATATTAAACATACATTTATTATTAATTACCCAAACTGTTCGTATTCGATCCACCCCCCGTGGAATCCCTATCAAAATCCCTTTCCATAGAATTGCCTCCGTTAATTACATTCACTAAATTAATTGCAGTCCAAGCAAAGGCTTGTCTGTACTTCCCCAATCTTTCGCATACTGACACAGCGATTGATTTCAATTTGTCTCTATTCTAAAAAAACAAACAATAACTTGAATCAAACGTGATTATCAAAAGAATCAAATTACCTTGTCCTCTTTCAGATAGGGCTCTACGCATTCGCTGATGTCGCCCTGTAGCACCTTTTCTAGCCTAATTACGATGAACAAATCGGGCGAGGGATGGGTTATGTTGAAAATGCAACCTCTAGCCAACGAACTAGTATCTGCATAGGGCACGTGTCCTCCCAACATGCGCTTCAAACCTTCCGGATTCAAATCGAAGTAAAACGTTTCGGATACCTTCTTGCGTTCTTTGCAATCGTAGAGGGCCATCGAGGCGAAGAGGGGCTCAACTTCAATATCCAAACTGTAATAAAAAGAATTGTAACAGTTTAGTAATTGTTAGGTATCTGTCTCTATTGAATTGAATTGTTCTTACGTGAGTTGTTGTCCCTTCACCAGCACTCGATGTCCGATGTGTTCGTATGGAGCAATAGCAGGCAGTCTTTTTTCCACTGAATCGTTCTCGTTCTGGCCTTCTCCTACTAGAGTAAACAGGGTGTCTTGCCTTTCGATCTGTCTTCTGGTCTCGTTCAGTTGGTCCAGTGCTTCAGGCATGGAATGCTCCAGTATTTCCGGGATAAGAGGATCGCCGGCTGAATGTCTCAAATCCAAAGAGGCCCAGGAATTCCTGGGGGTAAGGGTGTCACCGCAAGATGATACAGAGGCTATGGACACGACGCTTTGCCTGCCACTGCTGTGAGATCCCAAGTCTAAAAAAATTAAATCCATTATTCTGAATCTAATAAGAAGAGTTGAAGTATACCTGATTCGCTGTTACAATCAGAAGGAGCTACTTGAAAATCGACTTCGAATTCCTGCTTAGGGGTAGGGGGCAATTCTTTGCACAAATTCGACCTGCTGGAAACACTGCTGCTGTACCCCCGGTTGTTGTATCTAACAACTTTCCAACAAGCTTTGTAGCACTCGATGCAGGTTTGGACGTGAGGCGGTAGTACCTCTCTAAAAAATGGTTGATTATAGGACAAGTTGTTTGAGTTTTAATAGCGTATTTACATTTTTTCTTCGGGTAAAATGGGTCTGATTGTCCTGATAGGCCGATCTATTATTTCAACTTCGACGTCCCCCTGGGGTATATCCAGAATGGACCTCAGCGGATCCCTGTCGATTAAATTTTGGTAGCTCTGTAGGAAGTCTTCGAATTCGAGAGGCTCCACCACCTCGCTCATCCAACCCTTCAAATAAACAACATTTAAACCGATATAAAACGATGGGAAGACAATAAACTTACCGATGAGGAAGGGGATATTAATCCGGATTTCGTGCATGATATCGTTCGACGGACATCGGCCGCGTGTTGCCTGCAAAACAATCATTTAATTATTAAATTTCGAGCAATTTTCAAGGCGTACTTCGATAATTTTTGTGCGAACGCCCTTTGAGTAGACGCCATTTCAATTGTTTAAAAAACAAACATTGTAAAAGTGAGGTTAGGTTGAAAATGACAGATAATTGACAATATATGTCATTGGTAGGTGATTTGTATTGTTCGTTTGAACTAAAAACTAAAATGGTGAATAGCAGCACTTGTTACTTGTAATGGATGTTGCCTATCGATGATAAATTTCCAAAAATAAAACTTAATTTTTTCTTAAAATTGGCATTGTGAACTTGTTTTGACAAAGTAATAGGCAAGGATTTACAGGTTTGAAATTAAAGTCGTATACATTCAAACAAATTTGTTTAAATAAGCTTTTTACAAATAAAATCTCTCAAAAAATAGAATTATACAACATGGAATAACAATAATTATGTTGGAATGTAATAAAAAACAATTAAGTAAACTCTTTTGAACGGTGCAGTTTAAAATTAATCAGTGCAAATAACTATTAAAAAACCAATAAATTCGATTATCATTAGAGAGCATTGGTCATTTGTATTTAGTGTTAATGTATTGTGCTATAATTTTATTTTTATATTTATTACAAAAATTACCTACATAAATTCCTAAATAACATTGCTTTTAAAATTTAAAAAGTTACCAACTTCTGTTGATTCTATTACCATTATACTCAAAAATCCACTAAAACTAACACCATTGTATTACAACTTACAGACAGCCAGGAATAGCCGAAGACGCATGAGTATTAACTTCTGCCTTGATCTACACAAAAATAAAATTATAGCACAACAACGCACGATCTTATTGCCCACCCACTAGGCCTCAATCACCTCAGTTTGGTGATCCTTGGTGACGAGCTGCAGCAAACTGCCGCTCTTCGGCCTGTCCTTTCCGGAGGCCCATCGCACGAACAAATCGGCAACGAACTCCAGCGGTGTCCAGGTGGAGAAGTCGGCCTTCGGCATCCACTTGCGGTTCATTGGCGTGTCCAATGTAACGGGCAGGATGGCCACCGATATCGCTCCGTCGGGAAGACCGCTGTCCTTCTCTGCGAGAGACTTCGTCAAATGGTGCACCGCTGCTTTGGCCATTCCGTAACCGATCATGCCTGGTAATCATAATAATCGAAATGAATGTAATGTAATTGGAAAGATTTGCATGTTGCGTTAACTTTGGATTGGTTTTGCAAGTTTAATGTCAGTGAATTGTGGGAGTAAATTGTGTAATAATTGAAGATTTTTGGGCACCTTGAATATTATATTCTCGACTTCATAATTGTAAATTTTAGTAACAATTACCCGATAAACTACTGTGTGTTAATACAGCCAACTTCTAAATAAATTACAAAATTCTCAGACTACTTTTAAGAATCTTGTAATTGCTGTGAAGGACAGTTACAGGAGGAAGGAGACACAGTGAAGGAGGAGTTACACAAAGAATTCGAAGGAGCAAAATGATTTCACAAAAAAGGAAACAAATACATACAAATGGACCCCTTCTAAATTAATTATAAAGTGTATTTATATTGGAGAGTGTACGAAATTACCTGGAGTGCCTTCCAAGGCGGCCTTTGCACCGGTCAATTGAACGATACCACCATCCTTCAAGTGGTTCGAAGCCAGCGAAGCAGTTATGAGTGAACTGCACACACTTTGTTGCCACATGAGCTCCGAGTTTTTGACCAGGTCTTTGGCAGCGTTTCCGCCAGCCCAGCCGCCCGCCACGCAGAATATCCCGTCCAATTTGGCGCCGTTTAGAGTGGAGCTGAGGTCGGAGAGAATGGACGTTTCCTGGCTTTGCAGCGTCTCTTCCTTCTTCACCAGCAGATTGTAGTCCGCCTCGGAGTTTTCCGTCAAGTCGATGCAACCCACCCAGTAGTTGTTGGCTTTGAAATGGGAGACGCACTTGGCCCCCAAGGCGCCTCTCCCGCCGTAGACTATCACTCGACCCGCGTAGCTCATTTTTTGAAGTTTGTTATGCGAAATTTAACGATTCCTAAGAGATAAAATCACCAAATATTAAAAAATATGTTGAGATTGTTGAGTTGAAAACCGCAGATCTTATCTTTTAATTTTCCTTTCACTTACCTAAGGAGACATTAGTTCCTTATAAACTACAGTAGGTATAATAAAATGCCGAATCACTAAAAACAAAAGTTAACGATAAGGATAACCCTCGCAGGTCGTGGAACTCTAAAAATTGTTGTTTAAATTGATAAACTGATAAATAATATTTTATAAATAAAAATAAACATAACTTCAGTAACTGTAATGCTGTAATGTCGAGACCTCTATTGGAATTGGAAGCATTGACAGTGACATATGTCATTAATTAAAAATAACGAAGAAAATTTATTATTTTAAGTTTCAATATTTTTTACATCTATGAAAATGATTATTTAATAAATCTTATCTATTTTTAATATCGACCGGAGAAATTGCTATTTGCAAAACACGCCCGAATGAATAGTTATGTATAGTTTTGATTGTCAAACGAAAAAAGGTTGAAATGGGCTCGTCTAGTTCTCATTTTCAAGACACCGTTGCTCAAATAATGAGCGACGATTCAGCAATGATGAACACTCTTCTTTCGGATGAAATCAACCGCTTAACCTACGAGGATTTCTTGAAAATAGTAGGAGAATTGAATCTACTGTGAGCCATTCCTTTGCTTAAAGAATTTCGCGTGTACTTTATACATATTTTGCAGCTCAAAGAAATGCTTGGATTCCAACGGAAATCAACTGATATTCGCTGTGAAGAAGGACACAGATTCCACAATATTTTGGAAAGCCACCGTTCAAATAGCTTGCGTAAAAATCGACCCAACAAACCAGACTGTTAAAACCTTCAGGCTCCTTTCGCTCAACGAATTTATAAAGGTTTTCAAAACCTTCAAGTGTCAAACGATGGCTGTTGAACAGTGCGAAAGGTCGGTGAACAATCGATAATTCGGTATTGTATTCGTAATGATTTCGATTTATGTTTAGTAATGTTCCTGAGGAAGACATTACTATATCTGGAATACTAGAGAAAGTAAAGGAATCTAGCATGGATAGTCAAAGTATATGCTGCATTTGCTACGAAAGGAAACAAGAAATCCTCCTACCTTGCGCTCACAGCTATTGCAAAAATTGTATAGAGGAATGGTAAATTTACTTTATTTAATTCCACCATCCAATTACTTAATTTAGCTTATTATAGGAATGAGAATCACGATACATGCCCGATTTGTAGAGAAAGATTGGATAGTACCGATGATGCTTGGGTGCTTTCAGAAGTACCTAAAGCCGATGAAATAAATAAAGAAATCAGGGATAATCTGCTGGAGTTGACGGATAACGATAGATCATCACCTTGCATACCTTTTTGAATGGTTATAGACTCTCTTCTTACTCGAGACTTCATTCAAAATTATTAGTATTTCTCAAAAAAATTATTTGTTCAATTCAGGCTGTGATACAATCAGTAATTATTTAATTTTTTTGGTCACCTGACAAAAGCTTTAATGTTATAGAAGAAGGCGGTCTGTTCAAAACTAATTTGTTAGGGTTAGTAAGATGCAATAGAATTGCAGTGTCATTCACAGAATAAATGATAGTCTATAGTATACAAGTCAGTTTTTTATGCTGATGCTAGCACTTCTACAGTACATCTGATTTTTTATCAATACTTTTGTAATTACTTTTTACATTCTCTATGTAGAGGCATATGGTAACTGTAAAATTTTAATTGCAAATTAATTATTATTTTATGTTGTAATGTTGTTTTTTATTTTACTTAGATTGTAATATGAAGGCAGAATCCATGATTGTAGGTATATTGGGTGTCAATTTTACAACCACTTATGGAGCTATTAAATGAACTATTTTACATGGCTCCCTAATAATAAACTCAAAAAATTTAGTTAGTCTTTCAATAAACAATGTTCGCTAATTAAGTTTGTATTTACTATCGGATCCTAAATAATTCTAAATATTCAATAATGACCTTATAAAAAAAACTGGAGTTTGTGTTGGATTGGATATTTTTCAGTAAAGAAGTATAAACAATATGATAAATATATTATTCACATTCATTTAAAATGAATAATAACTGATATGTAATAAGCAAATATATAGGAATAAATTTAATAGTACAAGTGATTGATCTACCGGTACTAAAACTAAGAACAACTTCATTCCCCGCAACTTGCAGCATGTTCCTGAAAAAATGTTAATCAATTAGAAACAATATACAGATAAGTGCAAATTTATTTGCAATGTGGATTCCTTTATAAATAGGACTAACAGAAATACCTGAATTTCGTCCTTAGAAAAAGAAATTTGACACAAAGGACAAGTTTCCAGTTTAAGTTGCCTTCGTGAAGACGTAATTTCATTGGCACGATCCTTATTATCTGGAAGCGCAAGAAATATAAAAAACGAAATATTTATTGAGAAAAAATGGGAATAATCATTACCTATAGTTTTGGTTCGTTTGCTTGAAGATTTACTCGATTTATTCCCCTTAGTAGTTTTGTTATTTTCAACAGTGTCATTGTCATTTCCTTTATTCACCACCGCTGCTTCATCATCTATCGTGGACCAGGTTCTTTTAGTTACAAGCGATTCGTCGTCGAACAAGGACGATTTGCTAATTATTCCATTGTTGTTCAAGTTCTTCCTCTTTGATTTCTGACTAGTTCCACTGGACGAGGCTGAAACATTTTAGGTAAACTTAGGTTGTGAAATCTCGTATTTTAATCTACCATTTCTGTTTGTGCTTTGCCATTCTGTATCGAAGTCTTCTGCACTGTCCTGGTCCAATTCAAAGTACGGTTTTCTTCTGGTTTGTCGCCCGGATTTAGTTGTGTAGATATCCTGCGGGGGTTCCCAATTGGTTGATGAAAGATGCGGTTTCTCTTCAGCGTTGCTTATGGGTACATTTAAGAGAATAGGTGAGATATTCCTTGGTGCTTGTACTAATTGGCGCTTCTTCTCGAGACACGTGTGGTAGTAGTAGAGCATTTTGGCTCGCAATTCTTGATCGGCTTCGCGGAATGTCCTGCTGTTTATAATACTCACGAATTGCGGAGGGCGATCAAGCACCAAAGACTCGATTTCGCTGTGGCTTTCGACGTATTCATCATATTCTTTGATGACCTGCTGAGAACTTCTCGGAAGGTCTTGAGAAAATTCTTTGGAATCTTCTGAATCTGACTCAACAGATACGTTACTTAGGCTTTTGTTCAGATCTTCAAATGGATCTAATGAACTGGATGTGCTCTCGATTGATTCATTCGACGCAACTCGATCTAAAATATCGAATTATTATGATTAACATACATGTTAAATTATTGAAAAAGACGTTTAAAATATTTGCTGTTGGTACCTTTTAACTTGGATTTAGCAGTTTTCGAATTGTTGTCCATTGTAATGATAAATTGCACGTAGAATCAACATGGATATTATTAATAAAATACCGAAAATAAAAAATATTGGACAAAAATAACCATAAAAACTTGTAAATCTTCATATTGTAAACCGCCAGATTCGTTCTGGTCGCAAATGTGAGATAAAAATTTTAAATTCATGGAAGTAAAAGTTCTTTAAAAGTGCACTATGTTTTATCCATTTTTTATAATTTATTTGTTTATAAAATTGCATCAAAACAAATGCACTATGCTTTACTACATGAAGTTAGCTATTTATCTGCTGTCTGCTGCTCATCGGAGTCATCGGCCATTTGATCGAAAATCGCTTAAATAAATTCGTAAATGATAACAACTATAGTTTATTATCTGTTCCTTTATTTTTTTAAACTTTTTATCTGTCGATTTATTAAGTTTTTAAATTAATATTTCCCTTGCTTATCTCTCTAACCTGGACTGAATACCCTAAGTAGCTGAGGATTCTGCAATAAAAAGAAGAAGAAAGAAGCAAAAATCTTTTGCTTGTCTTTTATAATTTGTTTACATTTTTTTAATTTACAGTGATTAGTGTTAATTTCCTGTTTTATCGTACTACAAATTAAAAATATGACTAAAAAATGTTTTTTATGCGGAGAGCGATGGAAGAGCAATGAAAGCTCAACATTTCATGCGTAAGTAGAATTATTGAAAAAAAAATTCTTTTAATAACAGTCCATTTAAGCTTTATATTTTATGCGTATTTTACTTTTTTCTAGACTACCTACAAGCAAGGAAACAAGAAAAAAATGGTTGGATTCTCTCCAATGGAACGAACCGTTGGAACCACACAAACAATATTTTGTATGCTCAAGGCATTTTGCTAAGGACGATTTGGTTAATAACAATTTGGATCCGTTTAGCAAAACACGTATTAGACGTGGCGTAATTCCCACCATATTGTAAGTAATAAAAATAAATTGAGGCGCTACTTCGAAACCCACAAAATTTTATAAATTCTAGAAATCCTCGTTCAGCAGATTGTCACAATACTGTTAAAGATGAAGAAACCTCCTCTTCTGTTGAAGATTCAACGAGTACAGACACAGATAGTACTGTTACAGCAACCAGCGTCTCTGAGTCAGATTCTCCTTTAATTCCATGTAGATGTACTGCTGTTACTTTATCATTAAATAAGACCAGCTCAACTGCTGTTGATAATTTAAAGACTAATGACTCGGAACGTACGGCTAGAACAAGCACTTCCTCAAAGTCCGAGTCTACTTCAATTTCAAAGTAAGTTACATTGCGTAAGTTTGCCCTGTTAAATAAAAAGTGTCTATTTTAGGAAATTCGTTTTTGGGAACAGGAGAGTTAACGAACGGCTCAAATATTTCGGCGATTTCAACGTACAGTCACTAAACACCGAGTCGAGACGGCGGAAGTTCTTTGAAATTTCTAATAGAACTATTTTAGATTTGAGAAAGAAGAACAAATTGCTACAAGCGCAAGTACGACGATTAAAAAAATCGGTTCGCAGAGAGACGACGGGCGTGAAGCCCGAGTATATAACTGTAATCGACGAGAACACACCCATAGATTGTTTGGAGCCTTCAGAACCTTCTCCAAGCGAAGCACAAAATGGGAATTCTGACTGTAACAATCGCGATCATGACTATGCAATCGGTCCAGTTGATTCAGTTGAAACAATTCGTATCGTTGTTTGTCCAGATTAAAATTGAAGAGAAGATTGTCTGTGTAATTTAGAGCACCTTATATCCTCTTCAGGTCCTACCCTAAGAGAGTCGTGATATAAATTGAAGGAAAAATGCGACAAATTGTAAGGAATGTAAGGGAAATTTTTAGTCATTTATTTATTACAGTTTAGTCCACGCAGTTATCAACAAGACACCTAGTTTGTGTGACTTTTCTGTAAAATTCCCCAGACGGACGAATCGTTCTCGTTCTGTTTGGACTGCTAAAGTCCACTTCGTAGAGACCGTACTTTTGCCTGGAAACGAGTAATTTGCGATAGAATTCAAAAATTTTAAATTTCTTTTATACTTACGTATACCCAGATGTCCATTCGAAGTTATCCATGAAGCTCCACACAGTATAACCCAATACAGACACTCCATCCTCTATCATCGTGTCTCTAATGTAGCTTAAATACCCCTAAATTAAAAGCTAGTTAGAGTGTATACAACTAATTGTAAGAAAATTACTTACCCTGATATAATACAACCTTCTATCATCCTTATCTCCTTTACTTGGGTAACCGTTTTCAGTGATGATTATTCCGGGATTATTGTAAGTGTTTTTGATCCAATTGAGCAATGATCTCACCGTCCAAGGAACAACCTTAATAGCATACACATTAATACCAGCTATTTCATAATCTGAGATACTTCACCATACCTTAGTAAATTGCTGAGAGGTGCTCTCCCAATCGGAAGGCATGGACGTGGTGACCGCTTGGTCCTGCCATTTACTAGGAGGATTCTGAACGGGAGGATCCTCCATAGCTTGAGCTACAGAGGCGCTGTAAACGTTCAGGCCGAAAAAGTCGTGAGTTCCGCGAATGTAATCGATTTCCTCCGGCGTCAATTCGGGCAAACGCGATTGGTTTCTTCCTTCGGCTGCACTTCTAGCCGCTACGCGAGATTTTACCACTTCGGGAAAGTCTCCCACGTAAATCGGATTAGCGTAGACGCCTAACTAAAAAGAAGCAGCATTAAAACGATATTGATAATGAAAAAGCTTACTGACGAACTTCGAGATTACCTACTGACGAAAAAGTACCCGGAAATTCTGATTTAAATTACCTGCAGATAATATTTTCAACTATTTCAAGTTTCTGTATGTAGGTAACACTGTTGTTAATTAGCGTGTAAAAAAATAGAGAGATTTCTCAATCAGTTTGTTGAAACAGTTCATCTCAATAGTGCTCTGCGAATTTTGCAATGGACAAAAATAATGTACAAAATGAAATTCGCTACCAAAGAAAATTTGCAGGCGCAAAAAGCCGTACCAAAAAGGGCCTATAAAATGCTCCGATTATTGGAAAAGGCGTTTGACTTTGTGTATCGCTTCAAAAGGATCATAGTTTGAAGAACACTCGAGAAATATGAAGATTAGGAATTTTGCGTTTTGTCCAAATTTCCAGGTACTTTTTTGTCACATTATATACTATAAGCTATGTATAATAATTTAAATGTCTTACTGTAAAGTGCAACATCCTATCAGCCGCCTCTTCATCAGCAGAACTATTAGAAGCAGGTAAAAATGCTCCAGTATCTAACGTTATAGATACCTTCCCTGAAAAATTTATCTAGTTACTTAAGTTTCTAAAGTTTCAACGCCACACCAAAAAATAGCAAGAGAAACACTAGAGTATTAAAAGTCCATTCATACTTATAAGTTCTCTTTGGAAACATATTCACCTACCGTTTTGTTTACTTCTAAATTCACTGTCGTAAATATGCCAGGCCTTGGCGTGGGATTTGACCACTTGAGAAACGCAGAAATACTCCAGCAGGCCCTCGGATTTGACGGCTGGGGGAAAGTACCCATAGCCGTAGCCTCCGGTGCAGACTTGTTGGGGTTCGTTGAAAGTAATCCAATAGTCGACGTCGTCGCCGAAGCGTTTGAAGCACTCCCTGGCGTAGTCGGAATACCACGAGACGAAGGACGAGTTCAAGATGCCGCCCATGTCTTGAAGGGCCTGAGGGATGTCCCAGTGGAAGATGGTTACGAACGGAGATATGCCGTTGTTTTTGAGTTCTTTTATGAGTTTTTTGTAGTACGCTACTCCAGCTTCGTTTACTTCTCCGATACCTGGAGGAATGAATTGGAATTGTTCTTGTGGAAAGCGTTACAATTTGCTGAGATCTTACCATTAGGAAAAATTCTCGTCCAGGCTATGGAAAACCGGTAATGAGTGACGCCTAATTCTTTGAGATTGGCTACATCTTCTTCAATTTTGTGATAAGAATCGCAAGCTATGTCTCCGTTAGAAGAATCCTCTATAAACGCAGGATTATTGTGCACTGTAGTATCCCATATGCTGGGACTCTTTCCATCCTCATTCCAGCCACCTGTAAATATGCAATGTAATTATTTGAGGATTTGTGTATTGTTCCTTTCTTTAAAACCGAAAAATCGTGGAAAAGAGTTTTAGATAATATAGTTTTGTTATGTTAAAAATTGTGTACATTACCTTCGACTTGATAAGCAGAGGTTCCGACAGAAAATATAAAGTCAGGTGGAAATCGTCTGTTATTTATTACATCCTCACCAGCGCTAAAACAACAACAAAATTTTTACCAAAAACATAAAATCTATTATTTATTATTACCAAACGCTGAGTAAAAGTACTGTGAAATAATATAACGAGAACATTGCTGGTATTGATTTATTAATTCAATTCAAATGTTTCTATAATACCTACATATTTATATGAATATCTATATTATTAATTAATCAATTACAGAATCTTCAGATTATTAATTTGATAGTACATGCTCGCGTGCTCCAGATAAAAATAATTACAAGTATTTTGAAAAATATTTTTTAGATACGTCAATCGGATCTATAGGTACTTTAGATAAGTTTCTTTCTTTTAAGTCCCTTTTATATATTTTTTATTTATTTCTACAGATTATTATTGTATATAATACTATTACCTGCAAAAAAACTTTGTTAAAATAAAAAACATTTCTGCTAATTTTGACCTAAAATGATTTCTTATTTTAATGTATTAATTTATATTATGTATAAAAATAAATTTTACAATAAACATTGCTGTAGGAAATCTATGAAGCTCCAGCAGTTTTCGTTCACCGATAAATTGAATTTTTGATAATTCTGCAATGTAAAAATATAAACATCACCAGTAAAAAATTTAACTGGAAATAGTAAAAATATAATTATTAGCACATTTTAAATAAATTAGTAAATCTGGACGCACCATGTACTCGTATTGTTGTTTTTTAGTATTTTTGTTCAATATTTGGTAACAAATTTTACACACTAATTTTTATTATTTAACTATTATACCTTTATTTTCAGCCTTTGCGAGGATATAATAAACAACAAACGTTTTCCCAGCGATTTTATATTTTCTGTGGGAACCTCTGCCTATCAAATTGAAGGTATTCTAAATATTTTTTACTCGGTTAATTAGTATCTACCTATTTATTATAATTAATTACAGTTTATATCGTAATATTGTATGACAATTAAATCATAGGGTTGATTCAAAATATACAAATATTTAGAATGATCATCTACTTCCGTATAATTCTACTAAGTATATTAATGAACATTTATGTTATAAATATAACTTTCTTAATTTTAAAATTTATTTTGCCGATGTTTCAGATAATACACGATCGAGTTCCTGATATTTTTAAAGAAAGGGATAAAATTCACGAAACCATGGATAATTGCATTGCATATTTACAGGTGGCTGGAATGAGGATGGAAAGAGTCCCAGCATATGGGATACTACAGTACACAGTAATCCTGCGTTTATAGAGGATTCTTCTAACGGAGACATTGCTTGCGATTCTTACCACAAAATCGAAGAGGATGTAGCGATTATCAAAGAATTAGGCGTCACTCATTACCGGTTTTCCATAGCCTGGACGAGAATTCTTCCTAATGGTAATAAGAACAACAAATTGTAACGCTTTCCATAAGAACAATTCCAATTCATTCCTCCAGGTATCGGAGAAGTAAACGAAGCTGGAGTAGCGCATTACAAAAAACTCATAAAAGAACTCAAAAACAACGGTATATCTCCGTTTGTAACCATCTTCCACTGGGACATCCCTCAAGTCCTTCAAGACATGGGCGGCATCTTGAACTCGTCCTTCGTCTCGTGGTATTCCGACTACGCCAGGGAGTGCTTCAACCGCTTCGGCGACGACGTTGGATATTGGATAACCTTCAACGAACCCCAACAAATTTGTACCGGAGGCTACGGCTCTGGGGTCTTTGCCCCAGCTGTCAAATCCGAAGGCCTGCTGGAGTATCTATGTGCTTATCAAGTGGTCAAAGCCCACGCCAAGGCTTGGCATATTTACGACAGTGAGTTTAGGAGTAAACAAAATGGTAAGTAAATAAGTGTTAAATGAAATACTTTAATTAGGTACTCTACTGTTTCGTTTGATACTACGATTTATGTGATGGTGTTTGAACTTGTATAATTGAAATCCTTTTTCAGGAAAAATATCAATTGCATTAGATACTTTAGCTTTTGTACCGGCATCTTCTAGTCCATCTGATAAAGAGGCAGCTAATAGGATGCTGCATTTTACGGTAAGAAACTTAGATTTTATTATATGCCTTCGATAATTTTATATTGTCTAAATAAGTAATTAATACGAAGTTTGCTTAATTTCTCTATGTCCAGTTTTTGCACTTTCTACTATTTTTAGGTAATTAAATATTTTTTAGTTAGGTTTGTATGCTAATCCAATATTCTTGGGAGACTATCCATATGTAATTAAGGCGCGAATCGCTGCCAGAAGTGCTGCAGAAGGCAGAAACCGATCGCGTTTGCCCGAATTTACACAGGATGAAATAGATTACATTCGTGGAACTCACGACTTTTTCGGCCTGAATGCTTACAGTGCCTTTGTAATTGAAGCTATTGAGGATCCTCCCGTTCAGAATCCTCCTAGTACTTGGCAGGACCAAGGGGTGAACATCTACATACCTTCTCATTGGGAGGGCACTGCCCAGTATCATTTCGTGGTAATACTAATAATAAAATTATTATTGATATAATGCTGGAGATTCGTTTATTTTGCTTCCGTTCGTAATGTAGATGTGTTTGTATTATTTAGGTAGTTCCTTGGACAATTAGACCATTGCTCAATTGGATCAAAAATACTTACAATAATCCCGGAATAATCATCACAGAAAACGGTTACCCCAGCAAAGGAGATAAGGATGATAGAAGGGAATATTATATTAGGGTAAATATATTTTAATTCTGTTTGTTAATATTCTATTCATTTTAATTTCTAGGGATATTTAAGCTACATTCGAGATGCAATGATAGAAGATGATGTATCTGTATTGGGCTATAGTGTGTGGAGTTTAATGGACAATTTCGAATGGACATTAGGGTATACGTAAGTATAAAAAAATATAATAGAAATTTTGAAAATTATTGCAAATAACTCGTTTTTAGTTTGAAGTACGGTCTCTTCAATGTGGACTTCAGCAGTGCAAACAGAACGAGAACGATTCGTCCATCTGGGGAATTTTATAAAAAAGTAATCCAAACTAGGTGTCTTGTTGAGAATTGCGTGGAGTAAAAAAGACAAAATTTTATAACTTCATTATGTTTCATTCATCCATTACTTCATTCACACATAAATGAATTCTCGTTTAAAAAATAATACCCAACAGATTGTCAATTAAAAATTTGATTAAACAAAAATATTTCTCCTCAGTTCAAATCTATAATGATGGAGATTTTGAATTGTTTCAATCAATATTCCAAATAAGTTCTATTAAGTGTAAATATACAAACCTATTTCTCTTGGTCCGATTTTATAATTAAACTCAAACGTGACAAAGTGATTTTTATTTATTTAATACTCCAGTATACAGAAGTAATCATAGCTTTCCAATTTATTTACATTTTTCCACAAGGCACCTAGTTTTACTCACTTTACCGTAGAAAATCGACGAAGGCCTGGGAGTTCTCGTGCGCTTTAGCGTCTTGAAATCTACTTCGTACAAACCAAATTTCTGACTAAAAATCAAAAATAAACTCATTAGTATAATCAACACATCTATATTAAATTATTTATTTACGTGAATCCGGAAGTCCATTCGAAATTGTCCAATAGAGTCCACACAGTGTATCCCAACACCTTCACACCGTCTTCTTCCATAGTAGTTCTAATGTAACTCAAGTAGTTCTACAAAATATTTCATTAAAATCCGCAACTGAACCTACCAGCAGGACTAACCTTAATATAATAAAGTCTTCTATCATCCTTGTCGCCATTCCAGCTCGGATACCCGTTTTCCGTAATAACAATCCCAGGATTGTTGTAGTGGCTGGCTATCCAATTCAACAACGGCCGAATAGTCCAAGGAACAACCTAATAATCGAAATTTCTATCCGTACACACAGCAATACTAATCAGAAATAAACTCGCGTTACTTTGATATGCTCCGCCGAAGTCTTCTCCCAGTCATCGGGTTGATAGGTATTCACCCCGATATCGGCCCAATTCGAGGGCGGATCCGTAACAGGCGGTTCGGCTATGCTATTTACCAGGTAAGCGGAGTAAACGTTCAACGCGAAGAAGTCGTAAGTTCCTCTGATGAAGTCGATTTCGTCTCGGGTGAACGCCGGTAGACGAGACTGGCTCCTGCCCTCCGCCTTGCTGCGGGCCGCTATGCGGGTTTTCACTATCTCCGGATAATCGCCCAGGTATATGGGATTGGCGTAGATGCCCAACTGCTCGAGAAGCGGTGTTAATGGTTTAATAAATGGAGATTATTGCGATTGGATACCTGGAAGAGTTGTTGCGTTTCGGCCGCCGTTCGGTTCTCTTTGGAATCGGTCGCTGGCAGATGCGAATGGGTGTTCAATGATATGGAAACTTTACCTGGAGAATATACAGGGTGTGACAAAAAGGAGGTGTATTCTTGGGTCGACATTAAGTCGATTGGACTATAATCTAGATGCTGTAATTAAAGAAGTTACAGGCTCTTTTTAAAGGGCTAACAGAAAATCGATTTTTTTTCAATTTAATCGATCTTCATCAAATTTGGCATTATATTTATAACAAGAGCATGTTATCAACAAGAAATTCACATACTCGATCGAACTCCCCATAAAAAATTAAGGGCTAAAAAATATTCAAAATCAATTCATTAAATTAGTGGAAAAATTGTATAAAAAATATCCTAAATCTGTAAATGTACTCTTCTCTCCTCTGTTCTACTCTATTCTACTTTAACTAAACACTGATCTACTCTAGTCTACTCGACTCTATTCTACCCTATTCTACTCAACTCTGCTCTATTCTATTCTACTATATTCTACACCATTCTACACAACTTTGCTTTATTCTATTCAACTCTATTTTACTTAACTCTGCTCTACTCTATTCTGTACTATTCTACTCATCAGCTATACTCTATTCGACTCAACTGTGCTCTATCTGTTCTACCTCTACTCAAACATACTGTATCAAAAACTATACTACACCTTTCTGTGTTTTTCGGAATTGTTGATCGTAAATGCGCCAAGCTTTCGCATGGGCTTTGATCAGATTGTGAACGCACTGGTACTCTCCAATAGCCGGGGACTTGATTAAAGGCGGCACGATACCGGCCCCGTAGCCCCCCGAGCAAACGGACTGCGGCTCGTTGAAGGTTATCCACCATTTGACGTCGTCCCCGAAATGCCGGAAGAGCACCGTCGAGTACTCGGAGAACCAATCGACGAAAGAGTCGTTGAGCAAACCGCCGTAGTCCTGGAGCGTCTGCGGAAGATCCCAGTGGAATATGGTGACGAACGGTTGGATGTCGTTGAGTTGGAGCTCCTTGATGAGGTTTTTGTAGTAGTTTATTCCCTTTTGGTTGACTTCGCCGCCGTATCCTGCGCGTGAACGAGCGAGGTTTATTGAATGTGAAGGGGTGTAAATTTGGTGCGGGATTTATACCGTTTGGTAATATCCTGGTCCAGGCGATGGAAAACCTGTAGTGATTCATGTTCATTGCTTTCATCATCGCTACATCTTCCTTGTATTTGTGATAAGAATCGCAGGCGATGTCTGCGTTATTGCCGTCTGCCACTATGCTGTTGTTGTTGTGGATATCTACGTCCCAATTACTTGGAGATTTTCCATCTTCATTCCAAGCTCCTGGGGGCATATGTAAACATAGATAGATAGGTAAATACAATAAGAGCAAAAGAAGATATACATGGTGTATCTAAATAACACCGAAAAATTTTTTGAATACAGTCCCCGGAGTAGTTATACACCTCCAAAGATTGAAAAAAATGGTTTTTCTTTTTTATTTTTCCTGTATATTAACCTAAAGACACGAAACTTGGGGGGAATATTATTTGTTAATGAAACTACACATTTTCGAAAATTTTTTCAACCCTGAAGTATGCTTAAAAAGGGAATGTTTGCTATATTACTATTCTATGAGATGAACAAAGAAATATTATTAAAATATAACAGTGCTTAGAGTTAGATACTTGCAATCACATATTATTACACTGTCTTTTTCCTTTATATGAGACTAATCGAAGTTATCTAGACTATTTGCAACAAACAATTTTCTTCTTTGGAAACTCTGTTTGAATAAACATTGCATAACAATGGAATTTTTTTTAATCAGTTTACCTTCAATTTGAAATGCAGCAGTGGCTGTGCCAAACATAAAGTCATCGGGAAAACTGTTGTCGTTGATGTCTTGCCCTAAACTGATGTAAAAATTATGTAAATTGACGGAAATAATATTAAATAATGAATGTTATATGTACCTACCAGACTTGTAAAATTAATGCTATTACTATAAACTGCATATTAGATACTTATTTGACTGATTACGTATATGAATTGATGAATTGTATTAAAATCGACTTTGTTGAAACGGTGTTTTAATCAATATCTGTTTAATAATAATCATACATAAAAATATTTATTCAAATTAAATTAAAATATCAAGATTAATATCGTTAAATGGTACTTGTATTTGATACATTTGGATACCTAATATAATGATTATTTAAAGTAGGTATACGTGTACTTAGAGAGTACCATTATTTCAAAGAATAAATTTATTTATAAATAAAAGATAAAAAAATCTTTTTATAGTTAGCTGAATGCACCGTTAGATGAGGCTCCGTAGAAAAAGAATAATACTTGAAAATGAAACGCAACGCATGCGTCATGTATAAGGAGCTAACTTCACATAATTTTGATTCAGCGATTTGTCAATGTCAATTGTCAAGATCAGGATTTAAATTTTTTTAACGGATAAATGAAGGAGATGTTTACGTTGGATTGCTTGTTTTTTATACTTCATATTGTTAGTTAAGTTAATATTTTTATAGTGTACTACTTTTTACCTACATACTTTTAATTTTACATGAGTAATTCAATATTACTAGACCACATACCACGACTTTTAAAATAATTAGTCCAATATAATACTTATAATATGGAGGAAAAAACTTCTGTAAGTACCTTTAACTATAAATACCCTTAGTTATAATAGCATAGGTGTAAGTATATTATTATGTAGGTAACACTATTTCATTTTGTAGATATTAAAAAGAAAAAGCTTAAATTGTACAATTGCAAATGAAACTGTTACTGAAGATGTAGTGAACAAAGATAAAGCCAGAAGAGTGAGTTTCTCGAGTAAGAACTATGTAAAGTAAGTGTTTACCACATTATTTTTTGCTTTAGAGTTACAAACGTACACTTTTTAGGCATTTCATGGTAGATGATGAAAAAAACACAATGTGGGATAGCACTTACGAAGAAACTGCTAATCAACTGGATGAAGCCAATAAATTGGAATCTGCTGCATTATCATCAGACATGGAACTGACTTGTTTGTCAACAACTACTCGACAAGTGGATAATTTGGTTTTATCAAATACATTAATGATTGATGAAAATAACACAACTAACGATTCTAGTGTAGATATGGAACTAACTAGAATGTCGTTTGGTAGAGATGCAATAAGTTATTCCAAAGAAAATAATCAAGCACAATTAAATGACCCCCCAGCAGTGGAAAATAGGAGATCCGTTTGCAGGACTTTTGCTAATGATGAACAAATAAATGGCAGATTGTCTGTAGATATGGAATTGACGAGGAATTTACAAGTGAATATTGCGAGAATGGAAACGAATTTGGATGATATGGAATTTACTGCAGTTTTAAATACAAAAATTCAAGAAAATCCTATCAATCAAAATTTCAATACACCAACTCCCGAAGATATAGAATTACCTCAAACAGAAGTTGATAAAGAAAATGTACCAGTTGCAAACATTAATATTATACGAGTAGATATATTGCGCAGTCAAGAAACAACTTGCAAAGAGATTATTCAGAGTAATCAGAGTAATATGGATTTTACTAACGTGGATCCCACCTACAAAGCGCCCATAGGAGGGAAATTTTCGATTTTAAACGAATTCGATTCAAAGGAGAATTCAACTGAAAGTGAACGCCTTCAATTTCCTTCCACCGAGGGTAAGACTCATTTCGAACAAACAAAAAGTTTTGGTAATCATTATTATTTTTAGATGTCAGCATTTTATTGGAAACATCGGATCCCTGTGTATCGATGTCGGATATTGAAAACGATGATGTAAACTCTTCGATCTCGGATTCAAGCTACGCCGAAGATTCGCAATTTTTCGACGAATTGCAATATATCCAACAGATAAACCTCCTGGTGTCACAAGTGCAAAACAGGAGATCTCTAGACGATACGGTACTTGGGGAGTGTGTTGATGGGGCTTTGCAACAATCCATGCAGGAAGTCGCGTCTTGTATTAGCGCTATTGATGATACTGTTAGGAAATTAAAACAGGCTATAGCTACTAATGTGGCGGAATCGAATCGAGAGCACGAGGAACTCCTGAACAGATTTAAACAGGCAGAATCATTTTTCAGCGAATTCCAATGGCCCAAAATACCATTGGTACCTTTTAAGGAGTTGGAAAAGGCGCAATGGGAGAGCAAAAGTTTAGAAGAAAAAATCGAGGATTATAATAGGAGGTATTTATTATATTCTTTCGATTCTATTGAGAACTTTTAATTTTGATTTGTATTTTTTTTAGTTCTTCGCAATTTTGGGAATACAAAAAGAAAGAAAATGCCGATTGTTTTTGTTTCTGTACTTTCCACAGCCTGGTTTGTTTTAAGGTCTATGCTCATCCAATATCGGGAGTTGTTCGGGACATCGAGGCCTTCGATAACATAAGTAGTAAGTAATAAATTTCTGGAATAATTAATAAGTATTGCTAAATAAATTGTTTTTTTTAGGTGATGCTCCCGCAATTCTTTTTTATTTAGCCTTGTGTGTTAGAGAAACAATGAAGCGGAAAAAGCTAAGTCAAGTATTGACCGATTCATACACCATTTTTTCGTTGTTAGACTATATGGATTTGTTCATGGTCGATTTGAAAAAGTTTGAAATGGAGTACGAAAGGTTGGAAAACTCCCATTTCAGGATGATTAGAGGCGACACCGAGCAGACATTTATGTATGTAAAAAGCACTTGTAAACGATGAACTATTCTACTTACATTTCCTTTAGCTTTAGGTGCGTTTTCGTTGCTCCCGAATTTTTAATCGGCTGGAAAATTATGTTGGGAATGTCGGCCAAAAATATCGGTTCCTTCAGTTCCTTAGAGGTGGAGATAGATGAAGTGATGGGCGAAATTGTGAATAAAAACACCATCTGGAATTTGGCTAAAGGTCTCAAGGGATGCAAATCCTTGAGAACTTTCACTGGCAGAGTGCATAATTTAATTAAAGAAGTAGGACCGAAAAGAAAATCTATAAGCTGCCAACGCATTAGGAAAAAATATCCATTTATGAACTTTGAGCAAATGTATTAATGTTTATAGTTTTAAATAAGTTCATTTCAACAAAAGACAGAATCGTTTTGAACGTACTGCGTTTATGCAAAATAATTCTTCAGTGAACTCTGCAATCGTACAAGAGTTCAGAACGGCTTCGGTACTTTTGTTGAAATAAACTACTTACTAAAGATGCTACTTATTAAACGAATTTTTTAATTTTATTGAACGAATTTATAAGTAGAAAAATATTTCAACGACATAATTTTAACAATACGTAGGAGTTTTGAATGGACATACATACAATATATGAACTAAACATTTACATAAACTAATCGAAAAAAAATATTTATAGTAAACATTTTGTAATGAAAAATAAGAAATATTTTTAACTCCATAGTCAACCACATCGCAAAAAAAATGTGAATGGAATTACATCACATTTGTGAATTATTGCAAATTGGTCTTTATCACAAGTCGTCAGTTCGATATCTTATTAAGTTTTTTGTACTCTAGTATAATGCATTGATCAAAAATTAGGATAGAGTTTAAACATAACTAAATTATATACCATTCAAGTATGCACTACTTTCTAATTACGGCAACTAATTGACATGAGATTACGATACCAAAAAACCGGTACAAAAATATTAACTTTGTTCTATCAGAAATAAAAACATTGATCCATCTGAAGTAAATGAAATCATCATTCTCGGTAACATAAAAAATAAAACAACATTAACGAATTCTTAATACTAACGAAAAACTTAAAAAAGATGCCTACAAGTAAAACAGCTTGTCTGATAACTGATTACTAGGCGCCTTCTTAATATTCTGTCCAACGAGAGAGGCCAATTTGTGCGCGTACTGGCAAGGAGCCGGTACCCTGATTGTTCCCGACCAATTATAGTACAAATGGCACAATTTGTAACACAGCCTTTGAACGTGATCGGGTTTAAGTCCGCAGGTGTCATGTAGGACAATATAATGAGTGGGGTTGACTGTCCCTTGACGAACGCTCTGTGGAACGAGGAAGAAATCGTGAAGATAACGCCTAGTGATAGTGTTGTCCATAATTGTACCAGAAGGGGGATTCTCACAACCACCATTACCTATAATATAGTTAATATAATTATACTACATATTAACTGGATTAATTCAAATAATTTTTTTAAGTGAAACGCAAATAATAGTATTTACCCAAAGCAAACAGTCTTGTATTAATCCTCTTCTGAACGACAATAAAGCAAATCGTCGTGTCGAATTCGAGTTGCTTCAAAATACTTTCCATTTGTTCGATTTCGTATCTCTTACATTGCTCTAATTGGCCATCTCCGACTCCATCCCTTACAACGACTATTCTTTTAGGGATGAAACCGTTCACGTTCCGCCACATTTCCAACGCTTTAGTGAAGGCACCTTTCAGATGATCGCTGAGCTCTTTCTGTTGGAATACAGCTACGCTAAACCACCTACAAATCAATAAATAACATATTAACGAACTACATTTGCCCAAAACTCTGCGTTAATTATATCAAAAAATAAGCAATCCTAGTACATATACCATTGATATTTACCTTGATATACTCTCATTCAAACTGGCCACCAGTCCAAATACTGATTGTCCGTTCGGGCCTCCGTGATAGACGTCCATACCGCATATCATCCAGCCTTTGAAGGGAAACCTCACCGTCCACAAGGTTCCACCTAATTTACAAGTCATTTGCTGGGCGATTTTTTGGACGATACCTCGAACTTTTTTCTGGTTCGATAACGTCCTTGAATTGATCACTTGACAGGCGACGGGATATTGCACACATGTTAGGTTTTTAATCACGTTGTAACGATCCGACCTCGCAGTGGGACATATAAAAACGCACACCTGAAATGAACGAAAGCGCTGGGTAATCTTAAAAGTTCAAGAAATTAGGCTGTTCTAGATCAATCCAGAACTCACCAGAATCATTTAGAACTGTTTAGAAACATTTAGACTCGTTTCGGCTAGTTTATACTAAACCCTGTACGATTTACTTTATTTATCCGAAGCGTTTCCTTGCAATGAAAAGGCGGAAAATTATGAATATGCATCAGAGCAAAACCTTTTCCTCTTACCTTTTACTTCAAGGTAAACGCTTCGTTTTTATAAATATGGACTACAGAACATACATAAACAAGAAGGGACATCTCCGTGAGAATTTCGTAGACGTTGTAGAGCGCACTCTGAGAGTAGTAGCTGTACTAAATTAATGGGTGTTGCCTAGTAAAAGGGGATATCATGTAGAACTCTACACTAAAATTAGTAATATAGGTTTTTTATTCGATTTTTTCTGACTTTTAATATTATCCAATTTCTTGTAGAACTTGTACAATTTGTTACATTATTATAAAATGTATAGAATTTTGATATAGATAGTAAAATAAATTGTACAAGTTTTACAAGAAATTGGATAATATAAAAAGTAACTACTCTCATAAAATAAGTAAACACAAACACTTCTACTTAAAAATATATTGAAAAAAATGTCAAAATTCATTAAATTTAAATAAAATCGCTAAATAAACAAATATTATGGCGGAACCAGAAAAATTCACTACGCGCTGTAAAAACAAGCAATAGAACGAAAGATTTAACTTTAACTTTACACAATTGCTCACTAACAATTCACTAACACTACTATACACAAAACTTATACAACTTACAGGCAATAACAATGCCCTTTAAACTCACTCGAAAACAAACGAAATAAATGAAAAAAAATAACTTTTCGGTTTTAACTTCATCTTGCACTACAAGAGAAAATATGCAGAATCGATGCGAATCAATACAAGACGCCATTATTGTTTTTGAAATACGGCGTTGAGCGGGTTGCTTGCGCTGACCTGAAATAAACTACTGTTGCGCCATCTATCAATAGCGCCGAAACTAAATGAACGTCTAAAATTTCTCATAAGGCTGTCTAGGCCCTGATATGGACTCTTACCTCGATATCTTTTCTTATATTTTCTTGGAACGATTTCAAGTAAGTATCTGTCCTGTCATCGGGGAGTTTTACCATTTTCGGACGTTTTATTATGCAACCCATAGGCCCTGCTAGTCTACACATTAGATCTACAAAGTTTTCCGCGTACGCCGTATCCTTCTGAGTATAGAAAAGCATCCAATTCGTCATGTCTACTGGTCCAATAAGCTACAAGATAAATTGATTAGATGTTGTATTTGTCTAGTTAGCAATTGGAGAGAAAATTTAAAAAAACAACATACTTTATTATCTCCTGCAGCTCTGGACCAATCCCCGTTCATACTCCTGACTTGTTTACCATCACCGAAATAGACAAGTTCATTTTCCAATTGTCTGCCGGGCAATTGCAACGAATCATCGGCCACTTTCAGCCCCCAATCGGCCAGAATTTCCTGAGCTTGCTCGCACTTTTTAACGTTCGACAGGTAGGTTTTCAAAGCAGCTATTCGTTGATTGGGCGTCACTCTCGTGAATTGGGCCACGTCTTTCATAATCGTAAAGTCGTTTCTCATGTTGTCGCTCATACCGGTCAAATAACTGATTTCCGGGATCAAGCACACCATTCGTTCCACTTTCTCGGAACTACCAGGCACCATTACGCTCTTCCTGTGTATCAATAGCGGTTGATTTAAATCGCGAATGGTGATATCGTACTGCCGTTTGAAGTAATCGATGAAACTTATTTCGCCGCCGTCTCTCGTGGGGAACGTGTCTTTGGGGGTCATGTCCCAAGCCACGTCTTGTATTGTGTACGTTTTGTTACTGTACCTCGTGAATATGCAGGATCCGATGACATTCGCCACCACTTGTTCTTTGAACCGACGCATGTCCGGATGCGCGGACCTGGAAAATACAAACAAACGTTACAAGTGTTTATCGAAAAGGAATATTAACTCGGCTCACTTTAATTCGTTCAACAGTTCGTAGACAGTTTGGGTTCTGATGACCTTGTGTTGCGTATCGAGGCATATCATCAGGCCGTCTTCCAATTCGTCCACGCTAACGGCGAAACCCGGGTATATTTCGAGCTTGTGTTGGGGTATCAGGTAGTTGTGTTTCGTGTCGAAGTAATTCCTTCCGATTTGATGGTAGAGCAGGGTGTGCATGATGCGCTTGAACAGGACATTGTACAAATGAAGGCACTCCCTTTCGCCCATGTTCTTTTTCCTTTTGTAAATCATGGTAACGGCGACTTCCTGGCTGCTTTCAGGCCCGTCGATGGTCGTCGTGAATACTTTTGATGTGTCTGTTATTTTTTCAGGTAAATACAGTAGGCTTCCTAGAATGTATATGGAATTATAAACGTTTTTTTTTATATAAAAATAGTTTACTAACCCCCGTCGAAAACCTTTTTCAGGCCACATTCCTTGGTCACTTGGTGTACGCATCGCAGCCTCTTGTTTTTCGCATCTAATTCAGGCGTGAATTTGACCTCGTATTCGAAAACCCCTTTGTTCTTATCGACTATCAGTTTAATGTAGTTGGCAGATAGTAATATGGGCTTGCCATCTTCCCCTAAAAATCACTTTATTAGAGCGGAAATCAACCAAAAAAAATGCGATAACCTTACCTTTGAAATGCACCGGTTCCTTTTCCTTAAAACTCATAGAAGATACGGAAGCAGCGACGCTTTCTACCTCCTCCTGTTGCACTTCCACTGAAGCTGCGGTGCTTTCGACGTCCTGAGACGATGTACCGGGTCTGAGCAGTTTCTTGTCTTTTATGCGCTGTAGAATCGCAGCGCGGCCCTTCGGTTTCGGGGGCTCTTCGACGGGGGGCGCCTCGGACTCGGCGCCAACGGATTTCTCCAATTTCTTGGCCTGCAATCTGGCTAGGATCGCAGCCCCTCGTCCTTTTGGCGGCTGTTGGTCCATCGTCAATCACGATTGCGTTTGTACGTGCACCAGAAACCTGATATTATTAAACTGATATAGAAAACTTCCGTAGTAAACAAAAACAAAGTATCGTGATAAGCACGTTTGGAATACGAGGTAAGCATAGAGTTATAAAATGTACATTCAAACGAATAGAAACGCTAAAACGTGTTCCATAAGAAACATGGAATTAATTTTTCCTTTTGAAAAATGCGACCTACATAAATAAAATGATTGGGAACTGCTGTCAAATGTCAAATGGTTTTGTTACTCTTGTGGAGTGGAATTTTTCCGAGCTAGTTGTAATGAAGGTTGAAGGCCAAGAATAGACAGGTAAAAGGCGCCTAATTCAAAATTCAAAACAAACGTTCTAGGAATAAAACAAATGGCTAATAAATATATATTTTAATGTTCCTCTTTCGAACTTTTGAATATTTTAACTTTTCCTTTTAATTCTTTGTTAATAATGGAGCAATATTGAGCAATGATAAAGGATATGAGCGAATCCAACGTTTCAGAGAAAACAATATGCGAATGAGTCGAACACAAAAACCAACTAAAATCTATAATCGACGTCAAGTAAAGCTTAATTTTCGTCTTAAAGCGAAGAACGTGCCCGTATTCATTCAACGCATTGAGGACAATGTCGCAGACATCGTTAACAAACCTCAAGAAACTCGCGTTAAAACCCTGCGTTAATAAATCAGGATCTTCGAACTGAACCTGGTTCGATAGGATATTATTTTGGCATCGATCACATTCGAAAATTCGGTACTTTCTGGAATTAAACGAACTAAAACAAGCTGCCGCACAGGCACCCAAAGCGGCCCCACTCGTCCCCAATTCTCGCTTCTCCTCAATAATCGCATGTAAATTAAACATTTCGTTTTGAGTCGACGGTATATCCGAATACTCTGATTCGTCGGACAAAAACGCGCTGAGATCATCCAACAAGAAGCTCGTTTTATCTCTTTCGCATTTGGCCCAGTATCTCCGCTTCGGTGACATGCTGTCGCTTAAAATGCAAGTTTTGAAATTCCTCACGAATTCCGCGCAATCTGGTCGCGTCTCATCGGCGCCGCGCTGTTTGATAGCGGCTAGCATGTCTTCGAGAGGGTCTTGGTTCAGAAACCTCGGCTGCAGGTGCTTCATTCCAGAGGCCAAGCACTTGGTGAATATCTCTCGAACTCCATTGATAGTTATCAGCCAGCAGTGTTTGATGGGCAAATTTTGCTCGGCTTTTCCGTTGTTCTCCGATATGGGAGTGAATGTCCAGCTGTTTATTTTTCTTTCCATGAGTTTCCAGTATTTGAAGTGACCGGATTTCGTTGATATGAATCGCCTTAAGGGTTTCCCGTCGTCTGGAGCTAATCGAGTGGCGTTTAGACTGTCGAATAAGGTATCGATGTCCACTACAAAAGCGGCTGTGTCTGACGCAGAGTTAGGTAAATGTTCGGTGTAATGAGAAATTGTTGAACCCATTTTGTAGCTTAAGACTTGCGCCGCTACAGAAACTTTGTTTTTCAAACGTTTGCGGGGTAAATTCAGATATCGTTCGTCGATTTTGTTTAGAAATGAATACCGCCTGTCTCTATTCTTGTCCATTCTTAATGTCTGCTCGAGAATAGCGGATTTTGCGCATTTATCCTCAGAGTAACTTATATTGTAGTTAAAGAAAGTGTTTCTCGTAGCTTTTAGTAAGTGAGGTGTGTCGAAGAGAGTCACTATTTTCTTTCCATTTAAGAGGAAATAAGGTTTTCTGAACTGGCTTTCGTATGAATTATTGATAGTACCATCTCTAGTCCTTAACAATCTTAATGCGACTCTATTATGTGCTTTCAAGTCGCAAACTGTGCCTAAAACTTCAAATCCTGCGTCCTGTAAAGCTGTGATAACTTCTTTTACTAATTCTTTCAATAAATTGGCATCAAACTGGTCGCCTGTAAAATAATAAGCGACTGGCTGCTTCCATGCACTTGCTACCCCTCGAATCATAAATACTACAGCATGATCAGCTAATTCTTGACGCCTGCCTAAGTTAGGCCCCAAATCCACGTATCCAGAAATTGTATCGTTTTCAGCATTACATGATAATCTTCGAGTTATCGCTATATTTTGAAACATTAAAACGCAAGTTCTGTTAAGTAAAGGCTTCTTTTTAATCAGTTCTTTGTATTTAGAAAACAAAGCTTTGTTGATGCCTGCTTCAAAAGGGACCTTCTTCATGAGTTTTTCGATAGTTGACTGATTAGGCATTAATATTAAATTACGTAGAACATTGTATGCCTTGGGTCCATTTTTAAATAAGGCGAAAATTGTAGTTAAATTTTGAGGTGTCCACAAAGGCTTAAATATCTTTGAGTGTTCCAACTTTGTTTTAAAATATACAATTGATGTTGAATCTAACTCTCTGTTGAAGTCTGTGAATAATTGAGTATAAGACAATTCTACAGCTTTCTTGAGGTGATGTCTAGTCGATTTAATTGATTTACTTAATTTACACGTTCTAATTCTCTGTTGTCTGCTCGTAAAGCAAACTTTTTTATTGTTGGATTTTAATTTTTTCGAAGCTGTTTCAAGAAATGTTTCTTTAGTTATCCTACGTTTCGGAGGTGTTTCATCGTAAGGAGAATCATACCCAACATCTCTAGACAAATTACTTAATACATGCTCCATTTTATGAAATCGCTGGCTAAAAAATCGTTTGTATATTGCTAGCACTAGAATATTGTACGAAATTTGAAATACTTACGAAATGAACTATTTTACATGTAGCACAGAAAGTAATATTTCACAATTTCCAACAAAATAATGAACAAGAACCAAGGCCCAAGAACTCTTTAATACAATTAAAATAGTATTTACTATTATTTTACTACTATAATATTAAACATGTGGGGTTGGACGGTTGTTCAACCTCCTACAAGTCTGAAAGGCACGTGCGGGAAGCAGAAATCACACCACTTTCGAGAATAACATTTATTTCACCGGTTGCGGTAAAAACGGGTAATTTACATGAGACGTGCAAGCAGTCTTGCTTGCCGGAAAATTCTTTCGTGTCTGGCTTGTCTGGACGAGTTTTTGGCGCGCGTCCTGCGCTTGGTTTGGTTCCCGGCGCGTCACCTGTCGGGTGCTACCCGGACTGCTCGTCGGGATCTGCACGCGGTCGCAGGAGTTGTTTTCGGCGGCGGCGAGAGGGCGCCACCGGTGGGAAACCGGGTCCCACAGTCACTCCCCTCCCAGCAACGTCCGTCGGAGGCGGAGGGAGCGAAAAGGTAACCCTCTTGGCTGCTCTGGTCGGCGAGGTCCTCGGCGGAGAAGGCGATGGCGACGGCTGAGGCGGCGACGGCGAAGTTGGCGATGGCGACAGCTGAGGCGGCGACGGCGACAGCGGGGAAGGCGATGGCGACGGCGGAATTGCCGGCGGCGGAGTTGGCGATGGCGACGGCGGAGGCGGCGACGGCGAAGTTGGCGATGGCGACAGCTGAGGCGGCGACGGCGAAGTTGGCGATGGCGACAGCTGAGTTGGCGACGGCGGGATTGCCGGCGGCGGCGTTGGTTCGTCTGTGTATGCGGGTTTGAGGCAATCGGTAGAAATTGCTTTCTCCTTGCCATTAATGTCGATGATAAACGTACGGTCGTCTAGGCGATTGACTACCCGGTGTGGGCCCGTGTACGGGGGCTCGAGCGGGCGACGGATTTTTTCGAGCCTGCAAAAAACGTGTGAGCACGAGCGGAGGTCGGCGAAAACAAACGGCCGATGTTGGACATGTCGCGCTGCAGGTGCTGGACGGATGGCGTCGAACAGGTTTCGGAGCTTGGAGACGAACTCAGCCTGATTGATGGGTGCGTTTTGGGCGGCGATGAACTCCCCAGGAATGCGAAGAGCGGTGCCGAAAACCATTTCCGCCGGGGACGCCTGGAGATCTACTTTAAATGCCGTGCGGAGGCCGAGTAGCACCGAAGGTAGCGCTTGGGGCCACGGCGTGTCCGGGCAACACATGAGTGCGGCCTTAAGCGTCCGGTGGAGGCGCTCGACCATCCCATTCGATTGGGGGTGGTACGGAGCGGTAAACCTATGGTTCGCTCCGAGGAGAGCTTGTAGCTGGGCGAAGAGGTTTGCTTGGAACTGCTTGCCCTGGTCTGTGGTGATGGTGAGGGGAGTCCCAAAAATACTGATCCAACCTTCAAACAAAGCCCGTGCGACTGTTGGGGCGGTCTGGTCTGCTAGCGGAACGGCGAGGGGCCAGCGGCTGTATCTGTCTATGACTGTTAAACAGTACTGGAGTCCCTGGACAAGAGGAAGTTTGATTAAATCGATGTGGATGTGATCAAACCTGTGGTCGGGTGCGTCGAAATTGCCGAGAGCCGCCCGGTTGTGTCGGTGTACTTTGGCAATTTGACATGGTTGGCATTGGCGAGCCCAACGGGACACATCTTTCCGGAGCCCTGGCCAGAAATACCTCCCAGCTATGCGTTTGGCGGTAGCTCTTCCGCTTGGGTGGGAGAGAGCATGCGCCGAGTCGAAGGCCGCTCGTCGGAGGCTAAGCGGCAGGTACGGCCTGATGAGGTTGCCGGATGACAAGGCGTGGATTTTGCGGCCGTCGAGTTGGAGTTCCTGCAGCCCCAGGCGGGTGTTGGTCAGGAGGTGTGGGAGCTGTTCATCCGTGGCCTGAGCTGAGCTGATGGCGACTGCGTCCAGGGTCGTGGGAGTCGTTACGGTGCAGACTCTAGAAAGAGCGTCTGCGACGACGTTTTCGAGGCCGGGTGTATATTTCAGCTTGGTGTCGAACTGCGAGATGTAGTCTAGCTGTCTTTGCTGCCTGGGCGATGCCTTGTCCGAGCGTTGGGAGAGGGCATACGTGAGAGGCCGATGGTCCGTGAACGTGGTAAACGGCCTGCCCTCGAGAATTCGGTCGAAGTGCTTGATGGCAGCGAAAATGGCAAGGAGCTCCCTGTCGTACGCACTATAGCGGGATTCGGCAGGGCTGAGCTTGCGTGAGAAGAACCCTAGTGGAGTCCAGGAGCCATCTGGTTGCTGTTGGTCCAGTGCTGCACCAACCGTGGAACCTGATGCGTCTGTGCGAAGGGCGAGTGGGGCAGTAGCAGACAGGAAGGTGACTCGGGCTGCTTCGGCGAGGCTTCCCTTGCAGCTTTGGAATGCGTTTGACGCTGCGTCTGACCACTCGAGTTTGGTCCTCTTCTTGCAGGCCCCTTTGAGCAGATCTGCTAGCGGTGCCTGAAGGGAGGCGGCGTGGGGTAGGCAACGCCGGTAGAAATTGACCATCCCGAGGAAACGACGAAGCTGGGTCGAGTCTTCCGGGCGCGGGAAGCTAAGGATGGCATCTACCTTCCTCGGAGGTGGTTGGTAGCCGGCGCTGGAGATGAGATACCCGGCGAAGGTGACTGTTGGCATCCCGAAGTGGCACTTGCTCCAGTTGATGCGCAAGTTCGCATCGCGCAAGGTCTCGAAGAGGAGTCGCAAATGGTGTAAGTGTTCTTCGTGAGACCTGGAAAATACGAGGAAGTCGTCGATGTAGCATCTGACGAAGTCGAACTTCCTCAGCAAATGGTCCATCATCCGCTGAAGGGTCTGCGCGGAATTCCGGAGTCCGAGCGGCATGCCGACAAATTCGAAGAGGCCGAAAGGTGTGGTAACGGCCGTCTTCGGGATGGCTTCCTCAGCTACTGGCACCTGATAGAACGCCCTCTGCAGGTCTATGACCGAAAAGACGACGCCTTGGGCACCCTGGAGGATATCCTCTATGACTGGAAGCGGGTAGCGGTCGGGAATGGTGCAGGTGTTGAGGCGACGGTAATCGCCCGTTACTCTCCATCCTCCGCTCGGCTTGGGGACGAGGTGTAGCGGACTCGCCCATTGACTGGACGAGGGGCGGACGATTCCACGGTCCATGAGGTCTGCGAATTGCTCTTTGGCCGTGGCGAGGCGGTCTCCTGCGAGGCGGCGCGGCCGTTCGAAGACTGGAGGGCCTTGCGTGTGGATGGCGTGTTGCACCGGGAGGTCCGGAAGAGTTGCAGTGACCTCGGCAGGGGCGGCGAGTTCTGAAAAAGACTGAACGAGTTGTGTGTATGCCGTGCCGGAGCTTCCATCTGGCACGGTGTAGGTCTGCGCTATGGTGACGCTGTGGACCTGGGCAGGCTCCATGGAACCTCTGACGGCGACTTGGGTGAGACGGTCTAGCAGTCGTCTTCCTTGGAGGTCGATGAGGATCCCGTAGCGAGCCAGGATGTCGGCTCCAATGATGGCCGTTTGTACGTCGGCGACGACGAAGCGCCAGGCAACTGGCCGGCGGAGACCCAAGTCGAGGACGAGCTGGCGATGTCCGTACGTGGCGATCGGCGATGCGTTGGCTGCCTGGAGGACCAGGTCTTGGCGTTGCGGGCTTCCGGCTACGGTTGTCCTGGGGATGATGGAAACCACTGAGCCGGAGTCGACGAGGAAGCGGATGGAGGTTGTTCGGTCTAGAACATGGAGACGGTTCTCGGCGTGGAAGGTGCCGGCGACGTCCCGTCCACGGATCGCCGGCGTTCCTAGTTTTCCGACGTTGAAGGGCCAGCTGCTGCGATGACGCCTGGCCAGGCGCACGGCGGCTTACAGCGGTTGGCTTGGGCTCCCCACCGCATGTGGTACCAGCAGACACCAGGAGGAGCGTTGGCGGCTGGAGTTGCGGAGCGGTCACGGTGTTGGGATGCGGATCGTCCGGTGGAACGACTGCGTCTCGTCTGGTCCTCCTTCGTGGAGGAAATGAGCTGCGAAATCATCCGGCGTAGGGCGGCAACTTCCTGGGCCAGGTCGGACGATGTTACCAATGGCGGGTTCGCTGTCGGGGCTGGAAGTGCGGGAGTGTGCTGACGTGCCGGTGGTGCGGGGTATGCGGCGGCCATGACGGGTGGACCGCAATCGTGGACCTCATCTGCGGCCTCAGCTAGTTCGGCGAGGCTCTTCCCCCGGAAGAGTCGTAGAATGCGGCGGGTGGCGGGCGGTAGGAGATCCAGCCACTTAATCCGCAGAACATCGTCACTGACGCCCCCCTTCGCCAAGGATTGCATCTGCCTGAGGAGCTGCGAAGGCTTGCGATCGCCGAGCTCCAGTCCCGTGAGGAGCTTATGCAGCTGTAGGTCTGCGGAGTCCGTCATCCGCTGGAGGATAGCTGCCTTGAGTGATACGTACTTGTTCGCTGCAGGTGGGTCGCGGAGGACGTCGGCCACCTCCCGTATCGTATCTGGGTCCAGAGCGGCGACCACCAGGTGATACCGCGTGTTGTCGTTGTGCACGCGGTGCACTTGTAGAGCGGATTCGATCTGGATAAACCAAAGTTCCGGATCGACGCGCCAAAACGCGGGTAACCTGCAGTTGCTGACGGCGCCGACTGCTGGTTGAGCGCTGCTGGAACCCGGAGGGGATCCTTGGGCGGCGGGAATCGGACCGGCACGTGCCTCGTCGTCGGATTCAGCACCGTTTGCGTCGTTGGGCGCTTGCATTGTGTCGCGATACGCGGTTGAACGGACCGGAAAAGCGAAAAAAAGGTCACGAAATGTTAGTAAAAACGGTTTACCTTATTTAGTCCGGTGAACAAAGGAAAATGGCGGAGTCGCGGCGACCTGCCAGAGCACGCACGTAGCACTTTTGTTGAAAGAAAACTCAGTTTCGGGGTCACCACTGTGGGGTTGGACGGTTGTTCAACCTCCTACAAGTCTGAAAGGCACGTGCGGGAAGCAGAAATCACACCACTTTCGAGAATAACATTTATTTCACCGGTTGCGGTTAAAACGGGTAATTTACATGAGACGGCGTGCAAGCAGTCTTGCTTGCCGGAAAATTCTTTCGTGTCTGGCTTGTCTGGACGAGTTTTTGGCGCGCGTCCTGCGCTT